GTCAAATCACAAGCCAAACAAGACAATTATGTAAACATTTCCTCATACAATTAGTTCATTTTCTAAAATGAGACTTTTGTCCCAAATTGCCTCATTTTGAGAATGTTCCGTTCAAACGACGCCTAGGTAATTTGTATGTGGGATTTGGCCCAAAATTATTTTTATTTGTGGATTAAGTTATACAAAAACCTAATTTCAATTTTGTCATTGTCTTCCTCGTTTCATCTTCTTTTGGCTGGGTAGAACACAAACCCATAAGATGTCATTGATGAGCTGTGGCAGAGGGAGAGAGCTTACCGGCGGCACCCTCCGACAGGGAGATAAAGATTGGCCAGAATTCCGTTCTTAGGTGGAGGATGAATAAGAAATGAGACTTGTGTGGGTGAAGACAAGTTTGGATTTACTTAAATTAAAAGGGATAAATTGAGATGAAAAATCAATAATGAGGGATTTTGAAATAGTTGGGGAGTTAGCTGTTTCGAAATCCGACATATGAAGGTTTTGAAATTCTCCGATTTCAAAATCTCTCAAATTTAATCCCTTTTGCAAATTATGAATTTGAGCAAAATTCGACATAACGAAAAAGTTGAGCAAAATCTCACCCAAACCACTACGAGTATAACATCTAACTTTGGACTCAGAATTACATATTCATAATATTGGTCACTCAAACATGATTGAGTGATATGAAAATTCAAACCTTTCTTAGGTAGGGCTGGGGAAACGTTGCAGTTTAGTCTAAACCGGATCATATATACGATCTACAATCCTACCGAGAGGCTGGAGTATAGACTAGAGACCATACCACATACTAAACGGTTCAGATCATTCCACGCCCGTGCAGTCCGGTACGGTATGTTCCATATAGACCATATTAAATGAAAAGTGAACAATTTATTTAATCAACCACACAAAAAATTGAACCAATAACTGGAAAATTTGTTTTTGCCTTAAAACATTAATTCCAACATAGATGAATAATTTTGACACTCTAAACTTCAATAAATAACAAAGATACAAAGTCAAAACATCTCAACTTGCACCATAACGTCATAACACAATCATCTCTACTCTACTCTAGGGCTGGAGATTCGGTTTTTTCGGTTATAACCGGTAACCGAACGGTCGGTTACCGGTTAACCGCAGCGCAAGGAATAGATACCGCCAACCGACCGACCACCCTCCTCAATTATCCGACAACCGACCGGTCGATTACCGGTTAGTTGGTCGGTTAGCCGAGAAAACCGACAGAACAGACGGTTTGATTGTAACCGACTGACTGAATCAGTAACCGAATCGGACAGTCACCCTACACGAACAAAGATTAATAGGGAGGGAATCAAGCAAAGAGGAAAAAGGGGTTTGGATTGGATGGGGAGAATTGGGGGATGAGAAACAGAATTAGGTTTTGATCCCCAACCCAACAACATTAAACAAAGAAAGAACATATGCAGCTTAAATGCAGCTTAAGAAAAGGGAGTATGAGGGAATAATGGAGAGAAGGAAGAGTTAGTTTGTTAAATAGGGTAGCAGAAATTAAAGCTTTCTTCTCTCATCAGAGAATGGAAACCCAGAAAGCAAGTTGTACTGCTAGTTGCAGAGGAAGAAGAAGTAGCAGTGGTGGTGGTGTTTTCTTTCTTTCTGTGTGTGTGAGTAAGCAGGCGGCCTGCAGGGCAGCTGGCTCCTTTATGCAAATGGGAAGAGGGCTGCGACAGGGGAGAGTGAGGGCAGGCGACGGCGGCAGGGGAGAGTGAAGGCGGCTGCAGGGAGAGTCGGGGAGAGGGAGGTCTCGCCGTCTCGCGAGTCGCGACGCAAAGCAGCAGGCAGTAGAGGAATGACGGACTCGGATAGATTTAGGCGGATTAGGGTTAGGGTGAATGTGGAGCGGCGTCGTTTTACTAGGGTTAGGATGCCCCGGTTAGTCGGTTTAACCGACGGTTATTACTGTCGGTTAGCCGGTTAACCGGCCTCTCCAACCCCTCTACCGTACTCCGCCCGAGGCCTTAATTTTTGGTTAGTCGGTTAACCGGTAACCGCCGATTATCGGTTTAACCGGCCGGTTAACCGACAATCGATAATCGAACCTCCAGCCCTACTCTACTCTAGTGAAATGTGGTTGTGAATGAAGGAGGAGACAGGATTCTCAAAATTAGGGTTGAGACTTGTGTCTCATTGGTTGGGGGGGGGGGGGGGGGGGGGGGGGGGGGTTGGGAGTGGTCGACTGGGCTGCTAACATGTACTGGGAAAGTCAGCTTGGTGCACGATTGGGTTCGGTGAACCCCGACTATACCTGACCAAGAGATCAAAACATTACATAATATAGACCATGGGCCAAAACTACCATTTTTAACAATCTACGGTTTGAACCAAACCGCGAGGTTTGATTTGTCCATGACTATACGTCATTTCTCCGAATACCCATATCATAATATTATCAAAATTTTGCCTAAAAATCAAAATTACATCAATTTTGTTATAAATTTGGGAAACGGATCCCGTCAATAACCTACAGGTTAATAACCATGCATAACCCAACCAGAATCCGCCATATCAGCGTCCCCTCTTTCTTAGAAATATTAACCTTTAATTTTTCCCCTTTAACATTTAACGGATGATTTCTCTCTCATTTTAAGTTGGAATTCATTTTTTTTTTTGCACAGATAAATCACATTAGTTGTGCTCTTCAAAATAATATTTACTTTGATATATTTTTGAAACAAAAAAAATTGTGACATTTTTTACAAGTCTATACCATGGTGGTATTGATTGATATTAAAGCATACAATATAGTATAAAAAGCGTACCATGATTATATGAACATACCAAGACTGTAGGATGGTTGAATACATGATACTAGAAGTATACCAACAGTCATTTATGACTTCCAACATTGTGTACGACAAGATGTCACCCCCACACCAGGGTGGTATAGTGTGGTATTTTTTGGTCCTGTATTTTTTTCACCCAGAGATTTTAAGATCCAATAGATCATGATGAACTCATTCTTTCTGTGCAAAATTTTTCAAAATCGACTTAAAAACGAAGGAGATACTATATGGTATGAAGTTGGTAACGAGATGTATGAAATTTGTTTTTTAAAAAAATATTGAAAATGGATATCATTTTGTAGAGCACAATGAAGTCGTTCCATCTGTGAAAAAAAATTTGAAATCCGAGTTAGAACGAACAAGATAAGAGTCAATTAAGAAAACTATGGAAAATAAAATGTTTTTAATTCTCAACCATTAGATCTGGATTTTCTGGACCCACTTAAAAAAAAGTCTAGATTTAGTTATGCACCCTATCTAGAGCCTAAATTTGTATATAACATTTTTTTGACAAAAGATCACTCGTATTAACGAAAAAACAAACAGATACAAGAATGTCACATGACCAAAATAGCCAAGAAGTAAAATCGAACCCTCCCAACCAAGGAAACAATGAAAGGGTTTTACGAGCCACCAAGTGGGCTACCTTGTTAAAATTTCTTCCTACAAACTGAATATGAAAAGGACAAAAACTCTCGCCGCAAGAGCAAGATCTCTTCCAGGACGACTCCACCAACAACATCTGTAGTTTGCTCAGCATACACCTTATCCGGGACCAATTTTGCATCACCAACAAAGCATACCGACCGCAATCCTCGAGATAAACACTAGCGCACAGTATCACGGAGAGCAAGCAACTCTGCATGGAAAGGATCATTAACCCCACAAATAAATTTGTATATAAAATGAACAATATGAATAATTTATGGATATTATTTGTATTTAAGTTAATCTTATATTATGAATAATTTATGAATTTTATAGTCTTTATAGAAATATATTTTTAGGGAAAATTTTGATAATATTATGATATGATCAAATAATTAAAGTACCAGTGGGTCGAATATTTTTTTCCAAAACCCAACCTGCTTCCCACCCGACCCGATCCCACCTAAAAAGCAAAACTACGTGAATTTTGTTATAAATTTGTATATAACATGAATAGTATTAATAATTTATGAATATTATTTGTATTTCAGGTAAATCTTATATTACGGTTGGGACTTTTTATACAAAAAGAATGTGTTATAATATTACGATATAGGCAAATTATTCGACCCACGGGTACTTTATCAAAATATTACGATATGGGTCGAATAAAGTCCCAACCGAACACCTACTAATCAGCCCAATCTTTTCATTTTCGTTCTTGCCTTTCATTTTGTAGGTTTTATAACTTTTGGGCCAAAGTCTATTTTCAAGCCCATTTCTTGCCCAGAAGAAAGACGACCAAAACCATCTCTCTGTTTCGTCCTCTCTTCTTCCCCTTTCGTTCCTTCTGGTTTCTCTGAAAAGCATTTTTTTTTTGGGACCATTTTTTTTTGGCTTCTTGCTATTGCTCCGCCGCCGTCGTATTCTCGTCAGCAAGTCAGCAGCAAATAAGGAGTGTGGCTACCGAATTCCTTCACCTAATTCACTCCAGTAAGTTCCCCTCAACATCTCGAGAATGTTCATCGATCTTTAAATCTTCCATCTTCGACGTCTCCTCTCCTCTTTATTATGCTCGCCTGCATTGCTGGGTTTTACTTTTAATGCCTAGGGTTCACCTTGCTCCGAGATTTCAGTCTTCTATCGGCCCTTTTCTCGCTTTAATGTTGCTTCCTCTGCTTCTTCGGAAAAATTATTGGTTAATTATTGCCCGTAGCTGCTTGCCTGCTGATTATTGCGCTGGATTTCGGACTTACATGGGCTTCTGGCATGCTGTTTTGTGAAGGTTTGTGACAAATTTATGGGGGACTGGTGGTTTTGGTGTGCACTGGTCGTAATTTCAAAGTGACAAGCTAGGTACATGCTCTTCCACATGTTCTGAAGCGCTGTAAGTTTGATTCTGCTGCCCACCTCCTGATGCCAAGTTCTTTGGGTTATAGAAATTTCGGTACTTTGCTGGCGGGAAGGTCGCGGATTGTTAGTCTGAATACTAGTCCTTGGAGGTGTTCGTTTAGGTCAGTTCGAATGGAGGGTGACAGTAGTAAAGCCAACAAGGTCAGTTTAAAGAATGTTGGTGGAAGCAATGATCCAAGAGGTGCATTGATAGTTCTGGAAGGCTTGGATCGAAGTGGGAAGAGTTCGCAGTCTGCAAGATTGGTTTCTTACTTGGAGGGAATTGGTCATTCTGCAGAGTTATGGCGATTTCCTGATAGGACAACTAGTGTTGGGCAGATGATTTCTGCTTATCTTTCGAATAAATCTCAACTGGATGATCACACCATCCACCTCCTTTTCAGCGCCAATCGATGGGAGAAAAGGTACATAATCTGTTCTTTTCTTGTCATTGGGGTTTTGCAGGACTAATGTTAGTGAATGTTGATGATCTTGCTCACCCAATTGACAATCATATGATAGCCTTGTGCATTATGTTCTGCTAAAATGAATGGGAATCTAAAATGTATAATCGAATTCTAGAAAATTGCAATTTATTATGCATCTCCGCTGAAGGTCTGATCATGTTCTACAATGTGATTTCATTTGTTTACATAGTTTAGCATATGCTCCTTATGACTACCTGTTACTCTATGAACTGCATTGATTATCATATTCACTTTTTTCCAGTAACATATATATCTACTGTTGATAATACTCATTACTTCTTCATGCTGCTGAACCTTTCATGGCCATTTTTCGAATGAGTTTCGATGTGATGCAAATGATGTTTGCTTCTATTTTGTTTCTCTTACAAAGTGCTTAACATTTAAACTCTTTTTCCAGGTCACTAATGGAAACTAAATTGATGAGTGGAACCACTCTGATCGTAGACCGTTACTCATATTCTGGCGTGGCATTTTCAGCAGCCAAAGGACTTGATCTCCACTGGTGTAAGGTAAATACTTGCTCGAAACCATCAGAAACTTAGGATCACATCTTTTGTGGGGTTATTGTTGAATAGAATAATCTTTTGCAGGCTCCTGAATTTGGGTTGCCCGCTCCAGATCTGGTTCTGTACCTTGACATACCACCAGAGGTAATTTCTTCTCTGTCTAAGATGAAAAGAAAGTGCATTATAGACATCTAAGGCGAAAAGAAAGTGCATTAGACATCTAAGGTGAAAAGAAAGTGCACTATAGACGTCTAAGGTTGATTCAAAGCACGCTACCCAACCTAGTTGAAACTTGAGCAGGCTTCATCCCTTGACGTCAGACGTTTATATTAATATGTGATGCTTGATCTGTCATTTGAGAGATGCCAATAGCCCACAAGAGTGAACCATTTGTTGTGATTTCATCATGCAAGATCACCCAACTTTGGATTGTCTCGACTTGATGACTGCAATTGTTTCTCCATTGACTTGCTGCTAAGAGTTCACTTAGGAGTATAGGTTTTTGGGCATTAGCTTTTGGTTCCCTAAAAGAGTTCCTCAAGCCATTATGTTGTTCTTAATCATCAGAAAGCTGCAGAAAGAGGAGGTTATGGAGGTGAACGATATGAGCAACTTGAGTTTCAAAAGAAGGTTGCCGAATGCTATCATGCCCTTCGTGATTCTTCTTGGAAGGTAACTATGGTTAATACTTCAAACAATATTGAAGAATCTGGATCATATCGTACGTGCTAAGTTGAACGACTACTTTAGCTTAGTGTCGTAGTTTGCTGTGGTTCCATTAGGTGTCCTGATACTGGTAGGTAAGCAAGCAAGGACATTGCGTGCTTTGTCGTTCAGATTATGTCCACAATTCTTTATGAACTGAAACAAAGTAGGTTGCCTAGTAAAGCGGTTCAGATATACATAACAAGTCTGGAGTTAATTGCCGAGTCTTTATGGATTTCGTCAATTGTCTGCATATTCAACAGTAATCCAGAGTTTATTTTTGTTTTAGCGAGAGACTGGTCTGATCACTTCATTTCTTGCATCAACTTGTTGCAGATCATCGACGCCTGTCGGCCAATGGAGGAAATTGAGAAACAGCTGCAGAGCATTGTGCTGGACAATATTCTGGCATGCAAAGTTGGGAAACCCATTTCCCAACTCTGGTCAAGTTAGATTAGGAGGAACGTTGTAGTAACTTCGGATTTGGGATGGACATTCTGCGAGTTTAATTTGTGAATTTGTGCTGCTGTGTGGCAGCTTCTTTGTATCGCCGGAGTTGCTTGCACAAATTCTAACCAAAAGTTTATTAAACCAAGATAACCTTTCACCTTAAATTCGTTCTTGCTTAGTTAAAATGGGTAGAAAATGCCCCAGCATGCTTGTAGGATTTCAGATGGGTGGTCTTCTTTCAGGAAGCTGGTAACCAAACTATCGAAAGGAACAATGAACCTGTAACATTTGCGTTTTATTTTTGTTTAATCACAGCATGCTATCAGCTTTGGACGGCAGCCTCCTGAAGAAATTACTTGGAACAGAAGGCAACTTGCTTCGGAACTTGGGATGCCTCAGCCAAAGCAACCCTGCAACCAGAGCCACCATCTTAAATGGCGTAATGTAGAGCGCCACAGCCACAACGAAGCAGAACATCACGAACAAGCTCGTAGCTCGAGGATCCCTCCAGCTCAGCAGACCCTGAAACCTCTCCCCTTGTGTCGCAATGTCTCCGACCACGGTCTGAATCCTCCCTGCAACGCTCCTCAGCCTATCGTACCTCATCCGCACCACGTCCTGCGCCTTGGTGGTCGGGAAAGTGTCGAACTCCTCGTCCAGCTCGTCCGCTGCAACCGCCTCTGCCCACGACAGCTTGGTGTCCATGTGAGGCGGGTTCCTGGGGCGAAACCGGAAGTTCCAAACCCCAATCAAGAACATGTACAAGAACACCGTGGGGAGAATCAGCTCGGGGTAGCACACCAGGATGAAGAACAGCACGTGAACCAGCACCGTGGTCACCGGATTCTTCCACTGACAGACCTCGCCGATCCACTTGCTGATAGACATCATTCCGGAGAAGAGCGAAACGACCCTGAAGAAGTTCGCCTTGCTCCTCCTCATGCTCCACATGTGTGAATCCACATCGATCATGTACTCTACCACTTCCTTTCTCAGCGGTGGCTCGGCTCTCCCAAGCCGAGTCGCCACAATTCGCATCGCCTGGAACCTCAAGCTGTCCACCTGGTTCACCGTGAAGGGATGCAGGTAATGCATCTTGGGAAGCAGAGGCTGGCCGTAGAGGTAGATCATATGGGCTAATGACAAGCAGGTGAATCGAACCGCGAGGTGAAGCTCCCCCATTTTCTTCAGCCCGGATGGTTGCAGGACGAGGAGAGGGTACGAATTCGTGTAGATTCGATCCGTTTCGAGGGTTGACAGTCGGATCCTCACTTTCCCGATTCTGGCATCGTTCTTCCCTCCATCGTTGCTTCCCAGATGGTTGTTGTCGAACACTCCGAGCGTGATCACAGTGGAAGGATCGTAAACCTCCCAGGTATACTGCTCGTTCCATTTCGGATTAAAGCTGTCGAGTATCGTTCGAGTTCTCACCCACTTGAGCCCGTACTTGGCTACACAGTATGCATCCGTTGCACCTCTCCCATCTTTGGTTTTCATTTGCTGAACTCCTTGCGCGCTCAGTATCCCGACTTCGAGTAGCCCAATCGGCTGCTTCCACAGCTGCTTGGAAGTCGGCCGCTGATCGCTTATGTACATGGTCGATTCATCCATCACATGGTAACCTCCTTCCAGGCAGACCCTCAAATGAATCCTGCTGGAGAACTTCTGCTCGTGCCTCTTGTCCGCCTCCAGAACTCCAAACCCAAACTTCTCCATGTTGAACCACTTCGAATGGATCGTTCGATGGTCCATCCGCTTCTCGAACGTGTGGAGCGGCAGCACGATTCGCCCCACGGTCTCGTCTTTCGAAGGAGCCACTCTGTTCTCCAGTGTCAGCACCAGCTGCTCTTCAAACGGCTCAGCAGCTACAAACAGCAGGTCCTCATTCCACAACGGATTCGGAGTCTTTGTTGGGCACAGCTTGGTTTTGAGTACCTGGTTCCCAACTTGAGCTTTCACAAAAACCTGCGGCTGCTGAGTTTTGTCATGTGGCTCGACATCCTGTGCTTCGATGACGTTCACCCTAAGGTACCATAGCTTGGGGGAGACGTAAACTTTGGACCGGACATTGTACACGCCCTCGCCATGGACCGATGCAGCGTCAGAGTGCCACGAGTCGGGGAAAGCCTCGTCGGCTTGTGTTCCCATCCAGACAGCCAACATGACTTCACCTTTCAGCTTGGTCTCGCCTCGTCGGTCCTCTAGCCGGTACCATTGAGGAGCTAAGGGACTGTCAGGAGGGACTCGTGTCGGGACCTCGTGCATGTCGAAGATCACTTTCCCTATGTAGTCATCCCTCCCCACCATTTCCCTGTCTCGGAGAAACACCTCGAGGATGGAGGATTGAAGCTTGTCTTTGGAGAATGCGAAGACTTGGTTCCATAGCGGATTGGGTTTCTTCTCGAAGTGCTGTGTTTTGCCTTTGTAGTTCCCTAGCTTGACTTCCACGTAAGGGTCGCAGCTTCCTGAGACGGGGTTCGGTGGGAGGTCTCGAGCCTTGACTACTCGGACGTACAGGTAGAACATCTGCTCGACGAGATCGTACGTGCTGGTGGCTCGCTCGCTGCTGATCCATCCTCCTCCGCCTCGTGAGCCTCCGTGGGGCCATCGTTCGCCGAGCTGTGGCTTGGTGTCCTTGAGCTTGAAGTCTTCCTTTTGAGTATTGGAACCTGCTGGATTCATTTGTGTTTTGGGTTGAATGACAATTTGAGCTTTTTCAGAGGAGCTAATTGGTGGGGAATTTGAAGGTGGACTGATAAGTGTGATGATGAAAGGTGAGGCCTTCCAGTTTCAGATGAGCTAAAATGGGGACTCTGAAACCAGGTGCCTTCTGCTTATAGCTTTCATTATTATGATTCTCTGCTATCTGTAGTCTGTAAGAAGCATCTTCCAGTTCCACTACCAGCTGCATAATGGCTTTTTGGTTGGACTGAATGCAAAATGAATCTCAGTTTTTTGTAAGTAAAAAAGTTGGGGAAATATGATGATCATGGTAACAATTGAAAATTAGGGGCAAAAAGGCACAAATGCTACTGCAGATTGTTCTGTTGCAAAAGTTGGAACTTGGGGAAATAGGGTACTTATTCTTTCTGGTTAGGCACTCAAGTCTCCTACATACAAGTAAAAAATAACAACTCTAATTCTGCGGCTACTAAGCGTGAATCATCTGTTCTCATGAATTTGTCGGTGTATAAGACAGACACAAGCAGTTGAGTAAAGCTATAGAAAAAAGATTAACCATTACTGAAAAAAGCTTAGAACTTGGTAGTTTCAAAAAGTTGTTGGTTTGAGATTCCTTGGGGATCATTTTGCTTTTCCATGTTTATGGTCCATTGGTTGCCTGCTATGTCCAAGAAAAGACTGCTTTTGTAAGGCGTGGACAGCCATTGAACAAGCAAGCAAAGGCTGCAGTGCAGAATGTGTGGACAGTTTTCTACTTTCTTTTTTTCTCTTCTTCTGGGTTTTGAGTGTGCAGTGAAAAACAGCTTGAAATGTGGGTGGTGGGCGTGAGCTTGAAGAAAGCAAACAGAATCTCAAAGTTTGAGAGTGTTGTTTGTTCATATGGAATTTCAGATAAAGAAGCTTTATCTTCATATTCTCAGCTTCATCTTTATTCGCCTCCTTTCGTTCATCATTTCAAAAGATTACTGCTTTCTGTCTTTTCTCATCCATATATGCTCTCAAAGATTTACTTACAGATGTGAGATGCCAGAAGTTGTTTTTTTCTTTCTTCTTCTTTTTTCTAAGGTCCACTTTGGAGTGGTTCACAGTTGAGAACTCTGCAATGCCTTTCTGCTTCCTTCTTTTTGTTGTTGCAGTTGATGAATGGCTCTGATGCAGTTGTTATTAGGGTTCATTAGATTAGTGGGTGATTGATATCATCATGGCGAAGCAAATCATATATGTTGCATTTGGGACTCATGGGAGAGGAGTAAAGAGAGAATTTTTGTTCCATAATTTCTCAATTAAGCATATTAGAATCTGTTGCATAATTTTGTTTCCCCAAATTTTTAGTCCTTGTCCCACCTAGGGGTGAACAAACACACCCGCAAACCGACCCATCCGTCCAACCCGATCAAACCCACCCGTATTTATCGCTAAAGCGAAGGTTTTGGGTTGGGTGAGAGTTTTCTTTTGTATAACCCGCCTCTTTTGGGTTGGGTTTGGATTTTGGATTACACAACCCGTAGAACCCGACCCAACCCGTGTTCCAACTATTAGTATGAGTTCGTATCTAAAAATATTTATGTCGTATATAGCCATACTTGTGAGAAAATTAAGATATTTCGCCATGTTTTCCTATCATGGTCTCCCTAATCTAATGCATTCTTCGATTAAAAGTTTAGACATAAATTGAATATAGTTATGATTCACATAATCATTTTTCTCTTGTATACAATTTTAATAGAATAATATATTATGGATGCGTTTGTTTATAACCTTTTTAGCCTATTTCAACAAATATCATGAAAAAAACTAGACATATGTTGAAGTAAACCGTAGGGTTTAAATATTTTTTGATGGGTTTGGGTTTGATAATTCCCAAACCGTAGTGCATGAGTCGGGTGATTAAAATGGTTAAACCCGAACCAACCGACCCATGTACACCCTGGCACCCGTCGATAAGTAGATCTGGTCAATAACTCAGTTTTGCATAACCTTCAGCAGACTTCATTGATAATACATGTGAGACAAATAATTTTTTGCTTCAATTGTTTTAGCGGGCTATATCTCATTTTTTAAGTTGTAATTCGATTTTTTCATAGAAATATCAAATTAATCGTGATCTTTAAAATGATATTTAATTTGATATATTTTGGAAAAAAAAAAAGAGAGACATATATCATTAGTCTGTATCATGGTTCATGATGGTAATGCTTGGTAGTACATAAGATTATACCATGGTAGTAGCGAAATGCACCACCACATGGTGGTGGTATGGATATATCGTAGTGTAGAAATGTTGTGACACTACATAAGATTATGCTATGGTGATAGGAAAATGTACCATGGTGATATATTGTGATATGAATATATCATAGCCAAAAAATGTTGTATGCATACAATAGTAGGAATATACTAATTGTCATTTATCACGTTTAATCACTAATTAACCACTAGCTACCACTCCATACCAGGATGGCGTATAAGGTGGTATGTTTGATACGAAAATTTTCACAACAAAAAATTTATAGATAACGATCAACTCGTTCTTTGTTATGTTTTCCCTAAATTTCCATGGGCGGGGGGCTTCCATTATTGACTGGTCCAAAACCATATGCTTATGCACTGCTGTTATTGGAAAAAGAAGGATGGCAAGCATTAACTAAACTGACTCATGAAAGTGGAAAACCGCGTATTCTGCAAAGCGGCCAGCCGACAACAAAAGAGTTAGAATCTGGTTTGCTAGGGTTCGTGGTGCTCGCCTGTAACCGTGTTTTTAATCTTCTATATGAATAATATCCACTACTCTGGTAATTTTCATTGGTCTCTGAGTTCAAAGTTGAAGCCAACAAAGTAATGGACCAAAATTTTAATATCCCACAAAATGGTCATTGAATACATAAATATATATTACTAATAGAACGATACCAACAATGGAAAAAGAGGAGGGAAAATCACATGGATAAATAGTTTTTTTTTCGGATACAAACACTTGTATTGAAATGAAATTGATTGCACCTAGACTTATTGAACATTGATTAAACAAACACAGTTCGCATCTCTTTAAACAAAAATTCAAATAAGGGTGTTTGATGTTTTTTATTATGTAGGAGACAAAGCTAAATCAAAATTAACTCTATCCTATGGAGGTTCAGTGAAAACTTCAAAATTACAACTATGACTATGACTACATTTTCAGTACAATTTGCGGTACAATATCACAATCCTGCATAATATTGCCTTATCTTAGAAGAGTGTAGGTATCTACTCTCGAGTGGATCTCACAGTGACCCAACATATTATGCACAAGTTTATATTCACTTCTTTTAATCAAATCGCTTTAAAAGAGTGTTATAAGATCAATAATAATCTTGTCCCAACAACTCGAGTTATTTAAACCATGTTAGAGTCGCTACATTTAAGAAAACAACCAATACCCAAACAAGAAGTGGTCCACTCCATTCGTGCCAAAGCAGGGAAAACATGGTGGATGGTACTGAAAGTCGACTTTGCCAAAGCGTACAACCGATTAAGTGGGAGTTTGTGCGAGATACATTGAAAGTTGTGGGGTGTTCCACGACAATTCGTCAATCTTACCGAGGAATGTATCTCTTCACCGAATATGCGACTACAATGGAGTGGAGGACTCATCAAGGAGTTCGCCCCATCTCAGGGTTTGTGCAAGAGGTGCCCGCTCTCACCCTATATCTTTATTTTGTGTATGGAGCACCTTAGCCATATTACTAATGCTTGTGTAGAGAATGAGTCATGGCATCCTATCAGGCTGACCAGAGCAGGTCCCTCTCTATCTCACTTCTTTTTTGCAGATGAGTCGATAATGTTCGGGGAGGCCTCCATGGAGCAGGCCACCACTATCACCAATTGCTTTGAGGACTTTGGTCAGGCCTCGGGTCAACAAGTGACCAAATCGAAGTTCTGAGTTTTCTTCGCCAGAAATGTCACCACCTCGCTGCGATCTCCCATTTGCGCGATGCTCGACATTCGGAAGCTCATAATTTGGGCCGCTATCTTGGAGTTCCTGTCATCTACGATCAAGTTTCCAAAGCAACGTACATTAATCTCATCGATAAGATCGATGCCCACCTTGCAGGTTGGATGGTGTTAAAATATACTTGAAATTTGCTACTAGTCGGTATTTGTTTTTCCTTTTAGGTTTGACCTAGAAAATGGTTTGATCATTGATGATTGTCTAAAGAGACAAACTTGTTATTCATTGTTTTTACTTTGAATTTTGATTTAATAAAAAAATATTTGCTAATGAAAACTATTGGATAGAGCTATGTCTTAGTTGTCAATCCAATTTTTAAGAACTTTCTTTAATTATTAAGAAGATACTTATATTTTAAACCTATCTAATTACACAAACTGTCTAATAATAGTGTTTCGATAAATCGTACAAGTAGTCTGATCCGGAAAAGAAATTGGTTATCAGAGCCAAAGTTAGTATAAGATTTTTGCGGTATGAAATAATTACATCGCTATTAAATCACTGTTAAATCACAAAATATTCTACTAATTACTTTCCCGGTACAACTTTCGGTATCAAATATCAACTTCAGAGTGGATCTCACAGTGACCCAAATTATTATTATACACGAGTAAGTGAGTAACGAGTTTATCTTCACTTCAACTTCATCAAGAAGTCGCTACATTTTTTTATTTTTATAATCATCAAGTCGCTACATTTATAATTTAATCAAACAGCCAATAGCCAAACAAGAATGCAAATCCATTCTCATTTAGTAAAGCAGAGCAGCCAACAATTCAGATCCGCATTTCACTTGCAGCTATCGAGCGGGGCGCCGCACAAGCACCGATTATGGAAGTAAGCCGACGAATCGAAGCCCTGCAACTTCCCGCCGGTCGGAATCTCCCCACAGAGCCGATTGTAGCTCACATTCAAGAACTGCAGATCGAGCTCCGCCATCGCCGCCGGTATGCTCCCGTAGATCCTGTTGTGATTCACATCCAGATTCGTCATGTTTGGCGGAAACACCGCGATCTTAGAAAAATCGAATTCGAACAGATTCCTCGAGATGTCCACAAACAGCACGCTCTTCTCCGCCCCGAACAGCACCGACGCGTCGCCCTGCAGCTGGTTCCTCGACAGATCGATCGAGAAATCGGTGTTGTAATTCGCCATGGAGGCCGGGATCTGGCCGGAGAGCCGGTTGTGGGAGAGGAACAGAGACGGGAATTTCCCCCCGAACCGGCCGAACGAGTCCGGGATCGGGCCGGTCAGACCGTTCCGGTCGAGGTGGAGCGCGTCGAGGTTGGGCAGGTCGGCGAGCTGTCCGGGGATCGAACCGGTGAGCGAGTTGAACGAGAGGTCCAGATAGGTTAGGTTTTTCAGGGTCGACAGCCAGACGGGGACCGAACCGGTTAGGTTGAGGTGGTCGAGCCGGAGGGACTTGAGGTGGTTGAGTTTCGCGATCGCGGGCTGGACCGGACCGGTCACGTTGGTGAGCTTGCGGAAGGTGAGGGTCTGGAGGTAAGGGAGGTCGCCGATCGCGGCGGGGAGCTGGCCGGAGAGCTCGCCCGCGAAGACGGTGAGCGAGGTGATGCGGTTCGTGGTTCGGTCGCACTCGACCTGGTACCAGCTGGTGCAGCAGTCGGCGTCCGGCAGCCAGGAGGCGAGGAGGTAAGGGTTGCCGAAGCTTTGCTTGATCTTGAACAGCGCGGCCTTGTCGTGCGAGTTGCACCGCTCCGTCGACGACGGAAAGGAAGAGGCACAAGAGAAGACAGGTTGCTGCTCTCATTTTTTTTGTTTTTCCGGTTGTGTTGGTGAATGGATGTGGATGCAAGGTTTTGTATTTTTATAGTACAAATAACAACAATAGGAGAGGGAGGGAAGTTTGAATTTGCTTCCTTTGTTGTGTCAATTGTCAATGGTTGCTGCGCATTAATTTAGTATTGTGTGAATCTGGAGTGGACAAGTCAACCTGATTGGATTGGATTGGATTAGATCCACGATTAAACTAATCATGCTACAATGATGAGTTCCAATCGTTTACAATTTATTACGTTTAAATATGTATTACGTGTCTTTTCTTTTCATGAATTTTTGGTGGTTTTGTTTTGTTGGGAATTGGGATGCACAATTGATGCTACTACTCTGCGTCCTAACGGGAAATGCTGTTCATGTAATTCGTGGAGCGCTTTCATTAGAAACTAATTGTATATTTTTATGATGTTTTTAAGTGTGAGTAAGATAAATAAATTCGTAAAGGGAATGATTTGGTTATTGAAAAAAATCGTATCAGTGGTTGTATCGCGCGCGACAAAAACAACGATAGATTATTTTATGTTAAAACTGTAGTTTTATAGCGTGTGTCAATATTTTGTACCGCTAAATACCGCCTACGGATTTCACTTATGATAAAGAGGATTTTTCAAACGTTAGAATTTCTCTTTATTGAATTCATCATTCGTTAGGTCCATTTAATATTTTAACTCAAAATTAACATTTTTTTAAATTTCTTTGTATTGATTACATGTAAAGTCATGAGTTGGATGTACTACTAGGCGCGGGTAAACCACGGGATATTCAAAAAACGAAAGGACGAGAACAAGAATGCAAAACCTACACCGTAAGCAACTCCCCATTCTATTCGGCTGGTTTTCTTAGAAGTTTTGCAAGATATACTCTTTCTGTGTATTGAAATCCGACACAGTCTTCTTCCTGCTCGTCTGGGTACATTACCTTTGTTTTACCATCCACGGATTATTTAGGGCTGGACATTCAACTCGACAATTGGTTGTTGGTTAAGGGGACGACACGTGTGTTAGATCTATCAGACCTTTGTTCGGCTAAATAGCTCTCACATGAGGCGTTCGTGTGTGAGCCAATTTGTGGATGTGATTGGCCGAGCATGGTCGGCTTGACGGGAGGCCTTCTTTATGGAGTGAAGCCAAGCTCTGGGGAGTCATACGCTGCGACCACAACCAATGTATGGAATGTCGAATACCGTAAGCTACGAGAGGAATTTATTCCTTATTGATCCAGGTTGAGATGTCGCCTGAACTTCAGGAGTGAAATTCCTCAAAGGTTGGGGGGGGAGGGGGAGGATTGATGCATTATAGCATGCGTGGGCCTTGTGGCCGAGTTTGAATTTAGTAATAATTTATTATTAGTTAATTATTTGATTATTGTGGTTATTTAAGATATTCGTATTAGTTTATTGTGTTTTGTTATGTAAGTTATTATTTACTTGTTGGGATAGGATTAATTTACCTTGTTTAAGACAAAAAGGGTTTGTGAGATTAGTTCTATAGATATTTACGTTGCCTCAACATTATTATTGATGAATAAGAGTCAAGTAAATTAGTAGTAATGTAGATATCTTTATTGTATTTTACTTAGTACTTCATAGAATAATTCGAAACCCATGCGTAAATCCGTGCACGCGTCATACAGTAGCATACACCAGAAACAAACAAAAAAAAAAACAATTCGATACAAGAGAACAAAGTCCATTAATAATCAAATATAGGGTCTCGACTCTAACTTCATAGCAAGAGCGGAAAGAAACGACTCGGCGCATGCTCCAGGAACATCATCACGCCTTTTCCATCGATACTTTCTAGTTGGATTCAAATACTCTTGAACAACGTTGAGGCCCTCACTTTCCTCTCCATAATCCTGGAAAATGGGAGCAGAGGAGATCATTAATTAGAATGTGAATTGCAGCAGAGATTTCAACGCATTTTGGTCTTGAGTAGAAAGAATCCTCACCCTGACAACGACGCATGCGCATCCAACAACTTTCCTTGGAATCAATCTGTTAGCAAAGTTAACTAGTGTTAGTAACGGAACAACAAAGAGAGAACGGTTACCAAATCTGGAGCTGAGTCGTGGACTTAGGTGGCTTTCTTTAAAACGTTCGCAGCACTGCTTTTGTTGCTCACGACGGGCTATCAACTAGTCGTCTCCAGGATAAAACAGATCCTCGTGGGTGCTCAACGGACGGCTATTTACAGGAGCCGAGACCCACAAGAATATACCCTCTGGCTTGGGGAGTAAGTCGCGTTAATTAGGAAGATAATTATTTTCTTAATTAAAATGCATCTGGTGGATATTCCATTGAGTTAATTATCTTCATTATCGGTTAAGGATAGAAAATAATTAACTCATAAGTCAGTCCATGGTTGATCCATCCACCCGTGCGGTCGACCGGTCTATTGAACGACACGTGCATGTGTGATGGTCAGTTAGGTCCCCCCTCTCCCACAAAAGTGGGTCACCCAAGGGGGTCCCCCCTCTCCCACAAAAGTGGGTCACCCAAGGGGCATCTGCTTAGTTGAGAGTAGGGTTGGCAGTCGGTTAGTGTCGGTTATAAACCGGTAATCGATCGCGGTCGATTATCGGTTAACCAAACTACCGGCCACCCTTACCAACAACCGACCAAAATAGAGATTTAAACTTCAATTATCTCGATTTTTCGGTTAACCGAACCTAAATTCTTGACACCACGATTAACAAATAGCTAGAATTTCACATGAACCGCAACCGCTTAACAATTGGGAGTTTGGGACGAAGAATGAGATGAGAGACACTTACCCCGGCCCATTCACCAAGGGTCTTGGCACTAGGCACAATCACATAACATGTAAGAGACTGGCAGTTTGCCTTATAACCAGGCAGTAACCAGCAACCAAATGCTTGCCAAGTTGGCCTTGTAACAACATAAAATTCATAGGTTCAACAAAATTTACCAGGAAGCTCTCGAAACAGCCTATAGTTTAAAAGTCAACCAATCTTCAACCACCAAAAACGCTTGATACTCTCGCTTCCAAGGAATACAGTAGCATACACCAGAAGGCAGAAACAAAAAATAAAAATTCAAGACAAGAGAACAAAGTTCAGAGGCATAATCTAAGATAGGGTCTTTACTCTAACTTCATAGCAACAACGGATAAAAACAACTCGGTGCAAGCTCCTGTAGAATCATTACGCTCTTCCATCAAGTGCCATCTAGTTGGATTTCAAATGCTCTTGAACAACGTTGAGGCCCTCGCTTTCCTCGCCATAATCCTGAAAATGGAAAGCAGAGGATGATTAATTAGAATGTGAATGGTAATGAAGATCACAAAACATTTGGTCTGAAGAAGAAAGGAGGCCTCACCCTGACAACAACGCATGAGCATCCAACAACTTTCCTTGCATTGCCCTCTGAATCAATTTTGCAGAGCTGCATCGCAGTATTCACAACAACCCATTTAACACACTAGGATATAGTCACAAAAGACACTTATAATAAACATCAAGATACAGATAGATGGCAACACGAGATACCCTTCAACAGCATGGTAAAGGAGCAAGCAGTACATAAAAATGGAAAGACTTTTTGACCCAAACTGGCAGCAAAGAGCATTGGGTAATGGGTACTTCAAGTTTTGATGCTCCAAACTATCTTACTGCATTCTTCTCTAAGGCCTCTATTAGCAAAGTTAACAAGAACTCTAGCAATTTCAAGATACAGTAACATAACCGATACATACTGGAATGATTGCAGAGCAATACAGACAACTCATAAAAAATGCCATCATAGTTTTAGAAAGAGAACCTAATTCTTGATGCCACGATTAACAACTGGATTGCCACTTGAATTCACTTAACAAGTGGGAAACGACGACAGGAACCAAGACTGAGATGAGACACTTACCCCGGCCCATTCACCAAGGGTCTTGGCACTAGGCACAGTCACCAAGTTAACGTTGTGGTCAGCGCAGAGAGCCTTCACCAACTTGACATAGTCAGCTTGGTTGCAGTCCTCGGCCAACACGCAAAGCTGAGCAGCGTGCTTCTCAATCACTTTTGCACCCTCGTGAAGTCCCCTTGAAAGACCACCATGTGCAAGAGACTTCTTCAGCACCAGCTGCAAGCCTGACATCAAGTCCATAGGCTCGCCCACAGCAGGGGCAACAGGGGCTGCAACAGCCTCAGGCTGTTCGACAGCAACTTCTTCTCTGCAAAATCACCACGAACTCGGTAAATTTAGACGACAAATAGGCATGATTGTCCGACAAGAGAATTGAATAACCCTTAAAGACTTAAGAGGCTAAGACTTATCTATCTTCACCAAAAAACAGTTATGCAATAGATGTACGGGAAACAATTCTCTCTGAGGTACCAAACCCAATAGGAATCAGATGCAGCGAAAAAGCAGAGATCGAAGAAAATTGCAGAACCCATTGAAAATGAACGAATCGGAAACGAGAAACAGGGGAAAGATCAAAGCAGGTTCTAGAGCGGAATCATTATACATACCCTGACATTTTTTTTCCCCTGGCTCTTGGTGATTAGCTCCTGCGAGTCCTTTCTCTATCGATCAAGCTGCAAACAGAAAACGCTTGATTCAGATCTCAAAGATGAAAGAACTGCGGCTTCGTGCGATTTAGGTTGAACACAGAGCAACCATCGGCAGTCGCTTACCTTAGCGAGCTCCACTGCCGCCTCAACAACACTCTCCTAATTCTCGGATGCTGAAAATTTTATAGCGTGGAAACCCTAGCCAGCTATTTATTTCATCGTAAAACCCTGGCGATACTTTTATGGGCCTTATTATTAGTTTATGGGCTCCGGTCTATCGTCTCGGCCTGAGGCCTAGCCCGCTAGTGCGTGGACTTGAAATTAGCCCGCTAGTTTCTTGGCTTTGGTTCTTCCTAGCGGTCTGTTCTGGTCTCCATCTTTCTCTGCAGGGCCTCTCTAAGAAGCTTCAGGCATGGAACAAAGATACTTTTGGCAACATCTTCAAACGAAAAAGAGAGCTGTTAAACGCCCTCAACTCTTTGGAGATGATCAATGAAAAAGCCCCAACACAAAGATCCTTGAAGAAAGAACAGGACACAAGAGAAGACCTTGAAAATACCCTTTGGCAAGAACAGCTCCTGTGGATACAAAAGTCAAGATCAAACTGGGTGATTTTTGGAGACATGAACACACGCTTTTTCCACACCAGCACCCTCAGCAGACGAAAACACAACAGAATCCTCAGTCTTAAAGATGATGCTGGACAGTGGATCAACGACCCCGACCTGCTGCAAGCTTTGGCTCGGAATCACTTTGTCTTGACCTTTACAAGTGATGGCAACGAGGCCCCTACACCTGTCCCTGCTGACTTTCCACTTGTGGAACAAAATGCTTTGACCAAGCTGAGTTCAATGCCTAGCCAAGAGGAGATCAGATCCATCATTATGGGAATGAATGGTCTTAAAGCCCCAGGAAAGGACGGATTCCACGCGCTTTTCTTTCAAAAATGCTGGAATCATGTTGGATCTGACCTTACTTATTTTATCCAGATGTGTTTCAGGAACCACAACAAGATCCAAGTTGTGAACGAGACACTTCTTGTCCTCATCCCAAAAGTGGAAGGGCCATGTTCCATGAGTCAATTCCGTCCCATTAGCCTTTGCAATGTGACTTACAAGGTGGTGGCGAAGTGTTTGGCCAACAGGCTAAAGACTATCATGCCACATCTTTTTCACCCTAACCAGTCTAGTTTTGTTCCCAAAAGACATATTACTGACAATATCATCATATTGCAGGAAACTGTCCACTCCATGGCGAAGAAAACTGGAAAGAAAGGTTCGATGCTCCTCAAGGTTGACCTTGCTAAGGCTTACGATCGCATCAGCTGGAAGTTCTTGGAGGAAACCCTCAAGGAAGCCCATTTGCCAACTGATTTCATCACTCTTGTTATGGCCTGTGTCACCACAACAAGTTTCCAAGTGATGTGGAATGGAGGGGAAACTGATAGCTTTCTCCCAACACGTGGTCTTCGCCAAGGGTGTCCCCTGTCTCCCTATCTCTTTACATTATGCATTGAGCGCCTCAGTCATTGTATTTTGCATGAGGTTAAAAGTGGAAACTGGAAACCCTTGAGACTTTCAGTGGGTGGTCCTGACCTGTCCCACCTCTTTTTCGCTGATGATCTTGTCCTTTTTGCTGAAGCTAACATTAAGCATGCTGATGTTGTTGTCTCCTGTCTTGATCGCTTTTGCTATTCCTCGGGGGAAATGGTCAGTAGGGAGAAATCGAGAGTTTTCTTCTCTAAGAACACCAATCCCTCAACTAGAGATTTCATTTGCAGTAGGTTAGGAATCCAAGCAACCTCTGACCTTGGGAGGTACCTAGGGGTGCCTGTCTTACATGGTAGAATGACCAAGCAGACTTATAGATATATCCTTGAGAGAATGGACAACAAGCTTAGCTCATGGAAAGCTAGGTCCCTTTCTCTGGCAGGAAGAGTTACTCTCGCCCTTGCTGTCCTTAATGCTATCCCTAACTATGCAATGCAAACAACCTACCTTCCTGCGTCTGTTTGTGATGCCATAGATAGGAAAATTAGGGGCTTCGTTTGGGGGTCACAGGATGGGAAAAAGAAAGCTCATTTAGTCTCTTGGGCAACTATTTGCAAACCGAAAAATCAGGGAGGCCTTGGCCTGCGCACTGCCCGCAGTTTGAACATGGCTTACATGATCAAGCTAGCGTGGCAGATTTTCAATAACGAAAAAGATTTGTGGGTGCAGGTTATCCAGGGCAAATACTTTAACCACAAGGAGGGAGCTATCACATCCATGAAGACGAGCAACCATTCAAGTCTTTGGAGAGCCATCCTGCGAGCCATGCCACTTATGAAGAGTGGCTGCTGCTGGAGCATCAGAAACGGAGAATCAACAAGCTTCTGGACACACCCTTGGCTTGATAATGATTTTGTCTTGATTGATTTTCTCTCCTCTAACATCTCTGAATCTGAAAGAGAATCCCCTGTTGCTGAGTGGGTTACAGATAGGGGAGAGTGGGACTGGCACAGACTGAACTGTCTTCTCCCTGACTTTTGTCTCAATTTGATTGCAGGAACTGACCCACCAAAAGCTCACCTGGGGGATGACAGAACCATATGGGGAATTGAACGGGATGGAAGATTTCGCCTAAAGTCAGCCTATGCACTTGCAGCAGAGAACGAAGAAAGCGACGAGCTGGAATCGGATCAATGCTGGGCAAAACTTTGGAAGTGGAAGGGCCCGAGCAGAATCAAGCACTTTCTTTGGCTGGTTCTGCACAACAGACTGATGACTAACCAGGAAAGGGCAAGGAGGAGAATCACTGAGAATAGCAGCGCAACATCTGTAAGGATACTGAAGAATCAATCGACCATATCTTGCGTGGATGTGGGAAAGCGAGGGCTGTTTGGAACAACTTCAAGGACACGATCAAGGACAAAAATCCCCTCTTGCCCCTCAAGGATTGGATGCTGAACAACCTGCTGAATGAGGATAAAGGCGTTCACTTTGGAATCGTCTGTTGGAACCTCTGGAAGCAACGCAACGAAGAAGTCATGGAAAAAAAGAGTTTCAATCTTATTAGCCTCTCGTGCAGGATCCATGCTTGGTTCAAAATTGTGGAAGAAGCTGAAAAATGGGTCCAGATGACTACGATCGCTGCCAAGAACATCAAGACTAGGATGCAGATTGCCTGGAAACCCCCTGATGAAGGCTGGGTTCAAGTTCAATCTGACGGTTCTTTCATGCCACTCACGGGAAGAGCAGCAGCAGGCGGGCTCATCCGTGATCACCTAGGAAGATGCATCAATGCTTTCACTTGTAACCTCGGATCGTGCTCTATCACGGCTGCAGAGCTCAAAGCCGCAGCTGAAGGCCTTAGGCTTGCGTGGAATGCAGGTTACAGAAAAGTCGAGCTGAAAATGGATTCGACGACGGCCATTGCAATCATTCGCAACTGCGATGATGAAGATCACAGACATGGACACATGGCTTCTACCTTCAGAGATCTTTTTAATCTTAGTTGGGAAGTGAATGTATCCCATGTTTATAGGGAAGCAAACTGTGCGGCTGATTTTCTAGCCAATTTGGGCTTCTCCTATCCTTTTGGCACACATCTCTTCGATGTATGCGACCCAGGGCTCAGGCACTGGCTGTTCCATGATGTTTTGGGCGTGTCCCAAGATCGAAATATCTCATTAATGAATTAGGCGCACTTGCGTCGACCTTTCTACCAAAAAAAAAGAAAATTTTAGCTTTGGCAAATGATCAGAATCGCACATCTCAACTTGAAACTCAACAAGAACAAATATCCAGTGAACACAGACAATTGTTCTTAGATCAACAGTGGGATACAACCCAGTATCTGTATTCCTTTGAAATGAAAAGGTTGTACAACAATGAATCAAGTAACAGTCACAAGACACTGAGCATCATCACTTAAACTGCAATCTTCAGAGGGTATCTTTGAGGGGTCCGATGGACCGTTCTATGTGCAGGGCAGGGATGCAGGTCAAGGAGGGACAAATAAAGTTGTTAACTTCTTCGATGTTAGTCAATGTCACAATGCGGATTCTTTCCACTCTAATCTGTCTAGACCGTCTTTAATCGCTCTTCGGAACTCGCTGTTGTGAAGAAGGAACGATGAAACGTGACCGCCCTTCACCCACCTCAACTCTGACCCGGGCCAAGCATTTTGAAGCTCCATAACCGAGTAGTTTGGAATATAACCATCATCCTAAAGGAAAGCAGATAATGAACATGGTTACTCAGAGGATGGTGAAAAAACCCAAGAAGTAATTGCCACAAAGAAATCAGAATCGCTAGAATCAAAAGTACGAACACCAGTATTCAGGAAGGGATCAGCGGATGATCACAAATTTGCCATGAATATCATTTTTCGCTTGTTTTAAGAGACGACTGCATACTAGGGCAATGATTCAAAGATGCCAAACTTTGAAATTCTTGCTGTAAACCACCTCCATGAGTCGGCAGAATTATATTTCAACAAAACAGGATTCAGAATATGACGAATACAAAATTCAGTTTTTAAGCTCAGTTACTTACAGTTGCAGCGACAAAAATGACAGCCTTGGGATTTTTGGGGATTGGAAAGCGCGTGACATCAGTGAGAGAAAGCACATTGCGCATCCTTTCTCTCACTTCCTCGAGAGTCATTGCAACCTTTTGTGCTGCTAGGTCCTCTCTCAGTGCCTCCCAAGCAGTGCCATGTTGTAGTATACCCTCACAGAAAGCCACAACAGCAGAGTGCGGAGAAAGGAAAGGCAGAGTTGCAACAGGTGTTGGGTGCAATGATCCCACCATCGCAGCATGAACACCACCTAAGATTCAATAGAAATTAATCTTTTAAGCATGAAACTAAAACAGATAAAACTGGAGGTTTCAGTAGTTGTGCTAAAGATAAACTACATCTAAAGTCAATTGGTTTCTTACCCATGCTAAGCCCGCAAATACCCAGCTTGCCAAAACCTGCTTCAGAGTCTAACCAGTACAAGAGACTACGTGCCTCCTCAATTGTTGCCCTACCCAGTAGAAGCAAGTCACTAACACACAAGAGTTTGGCACCCTGCTGCATCATCGGCCGCCTTTGTCCATAAAAAGGGCTGAAAATACAAAATTTTATTCGGATGGTTTTCGATACATGAGAACATGATGATAAGGACTCTGTAACTTTTCAACTCAGCAGGTACTCAAGATAGAATCTCTAACCTTTCCAATACCATGGTGGCAATATTCTCCTTCAGCAATGGTCCGGCAAGGCGCAAGCGGCGCTCATAGGTGTGATCTCCAGTTCCTGAAGGGATTCATTGAAATGCTGTAACTTTCTATTACATTGGCATTTTCTGTAGCGCAGAAAATAATGTAATTGCAACAAGCATAAAGTAACTAGCAAGATCACCGCTACATCAAAGCTCTAGCAAATGTTTTCTTGAACCAGATAAAAAACCAATAGCATTTTGACAATTGCAAGACTTAACAGTCATCACGTACTCATATTGGAGAATCAGTTGAATCCTACTTCAGAGACGTGCAATGCGGGCATATAGGGAACTGTTCCTGGTAGAATTATGACTGCTAAATCCTTAATGTTTGAGTTGATGCATCAGTAAAGAATAGGCACAGAACAGCCGCAAAGTTAGAATCATTAACATTTAACTTGACAATCAAAGACATCATGTAGGCATTGGTTCAAATCTAGTGATTTGCAATTCTTCTGTCAAATTCACCTAAACCTTATTGAGACCTGCTTTAGAGAATCGGGCAACTTCAGGCACATATTTTATCCATATGTTTCCTAAACATGAGAATTTACACATCAACACGGCACAGGAACATAATAACAAACTCCACAAGCAACATCTAGCTTCTGCATCTAACATGTTCCTGAACTATCCCTAAATATAACTTCTTCCCTTCACAGACAAAGATTACACTCCCTTACCAGCAAGATGAACCACACAAGCCATCCTTTGTGGATCCCCCAGTTTCGGAGCAAGAAAGGCGACCCTTGCGGTGTGACTTTCAGGGGGCAATGCACTAATGAGCTGCTCATCACAAGGCGTTTTAAAGACGCCTTCCCTTAAACAAGCAGTTCTGCTCTCCCAAATCGTTCTCCAAATCGGCTGAATCATACTCGGAGGCTGGGCTCGGGCCTCCAGTTCAGGGAACAAATCATGAACCATTCTCTCCAAGAGAGCAAGTTGCGTACCACCCCATCCTTTCGAGAAGAATGGGGTGCCCAGCCTGCTCCTGTGCATCACCGCTCCATAGATGTGGTCTAGCACATAATGGAGCATCCCCAGATTAACACTTACCATCCCTTCCTTCTGTGTGATGACACCGATAAACCACCAACCAGACCTAACTCACACAACCCCAATCAAGGCGAGCTGCAATCAATCACACGAAAGCTCGGCACTTTATGGAAAACCCAGAAATCCCCAACAAAGAGAATTTGATGGAAACCTAAGGGGGGCTATGCGCTAACATGAATTGTTCAACAACAATTCAACATTCAGAAAAGAACTGCTGCTGAATCCATCTTCTCCTGCTCAAAATTTTCGAGGATAGCTACCAACATACGAACAGACATCTGCCAAGCGATCAATTGAGTTGTAATCCTCGACGAATATCTCCGAGACCTACTCGACGAATGCGGGAGCTCGAGAGAAATAATCGAAGATACCGTCGAACAATCGAATATTCCAATCCGAAAAAAGGCTGGAGAAAGATGATAATTAGTTGGGAGGGAGCTGGAATTATTTAAAAATACCCCGGCATTGTATTTGTTTTGCTCTGTATCTGGGTGAGGAGATTGATTGCCCTGAGAATCTTTTCTTTTCCGCCAAGTCCAAGCTGTACCGAGTTGAAACGGAAAACCGCTTTTCTAAGATCAAAGGAAACTAGGGGCCCAAGACCAAGACAGCGCCATTGAGGACGGGGAAAACGGCTCCCGGAACCTTATCCACCATTTATTATAGGGGTGTTCAAATGGTTACCGTGGTAATAACCAAATCAATTACGCTTGAATTTCATTAACCATGGAATAAAATATTTTAATCAAACCTTCCAAATTAACACAAAAACCAAATTAACCAAACCAAATTTTAATTGGTTTGGTTAATCAGATAATCGGATTAACCAAATAACATAACTTTACATGAAAATAATTATCATGTTAATGAATAAAACATAATCATATGTTATTACTATCATAAACTATCATTATATATAAGCAATAATAATATGGCTAACCATCCATGATTCATAAATATTAAATACATACCAATACCACTCATCCGAAAGTTAAAGCTCTCCTACAAAACACTTAAAGTATACATATTTGTGGTGACTTTCATGGTATTGTACGGAATCCTAAAGTCTGGGTTATGTTTATTTTGTCCGCATTTGATATACAATGAACGCTCTGAACGCTCTCGCTGAAACTTCGACAGTTGCTCCGGCGCTTACCCCTTCTGGGCGGCCGCCGGACACCGAAAGTACGAGAACAGCTCTGATGGCGACGGATGTGCCAACAACGACGTCTACGACTTCAGATTCGTCGCCAATGGCGGTGGAAACCCTTTCCCCGAAAGCCGACTGCATTGTCCCGAGCGCTACCGCACGATCACCAATCTCCTACGCTCGCGCTCTGGCTGGAGCAGAGCCACAAGGGGCGTTAGCTGCTCAGAAATGGACCCCTGTTGGGGAGAACGATCTGGTTCCTGGACAGATCAATGGAGAACCGTCCTTGAGTATCTCTGCTGGATTCAAAGGTCGGCTATGCGCTCCGTGGCAAAAAACTTTGGTCGTGCGCCTGCTGGGGCTCCGCATCAGCTTCACCGCTTTCTGCTCTCGACTTCGAGGACTATGGCGACCCATAGGGGCGATGGAGATCATGGATCTGGATGACGCCACCTATCTGGTACAGGATTTAGGGTTACTTCAAAGCTCTCACATATGGACCATGGGTAATTTACGATCATTATCTCGCGGTGCAGCAATGGACGCCAAGTTTTGGAGTACAAGACCCTCTGCCAAAAACCATGATAGTTTGGATTCAGTTAGCGGCGTTAAAGGTCCATTTTTATCACCGAGAAGTTCTGACTTCACTGGGGAATCTCATCGGGCGCACAATTAAATTGGACTTTCATACGATGAATCGGCAGCGGAGGAAATTTGCTCGCCTGGCGGTGGAGATCGACATGTCGAAACCTTTGGTTCCTCGGATCTATCTGGACGATCATTGGCAAAAAGTGGAATATGAGAACCTCCCTGTCGTGTGCTTCGAGTGCGGGAAGGTGGGTCACAAAGCCGACAACTGCCACAAAATCCGACCGGCGGTCTCACCGAATCAACCACCACTCGCCGGCGATCACAGAGTGGCCACACCAGTGACCGTTGCAGATGAGGTGAATCCAGGATTTGGGCCATGGATGCTTGTTTCCAAAAGAAGTCGGCGTAATTCTGGGGATCACATCAAGAAAGGAAAGACGGAGCAAGGTTTAGGGGACGGGATCAAAGGGTTGAGCAATAAAAATGGGAAAGGCGGGATCAGAATAATGGAGAAAGGAAAAGAGGATCTCGGGGCGGCGACCACGGCGACAAACCGGGAGGATAGCCAACGACCTCTACCTCAGGAAAGGAAAGGGAGTATCTATCGGAAGGAGGCGTCGGCTGCCTCTTCCGCTGCCAAGGAGGCTCACAAGGGAAAAGAGGTCTTGGCAGAAAAAACGACTTGGGGCAAGGGGGTTTTGGGCTCAGGCCCATCTCAAGATACCAACAGGTTTAATGGGGCTAGGCCCACTTCCGAAATTAACTGCACCTCCAGCTTAGGACATGCAAACAGGCCCGATGCTTCGGTCTATGGGACCATCAACCACTCAAGCCCATCTCCGCCCCTGGGCGGTCTCTCTTCAGTGGGCCAGACCTCTGGCTCCTCTGTCCCTCACTCAGTTGAAGCCATAATTGGGCCTAACGAGACCAGAATGCAGGTGGTTGCGTTGCCTTCCTCTCCAAAGAGACTTCGACAGGCGGAAGGGAGTCCTCCATCGGCGGCCGAGCGGACGAAGAGCAAAAAAGGGGGTCGGCGGCAGTCAAAGAAGGGAACCCCGGTGAAGCTTCAAGCGTCCAAGGCCCTGCAAGTCTAGTCTCCGGTGAAGGACAGAAAGGCCAAATCTAAGGCTCGGTTGGCATCCCTGACTCTGCAGGAGATTAATGCGTGGACCGAAGCTGCGGCGGGGAAAGATGATCGGAAAACAGCCAAGGAGGGGGATACCGTTGGGCTTCCCGATCAACGAGGTGCGGTCGAGGATGCGATCGTGGCTGCTGTCCCACTGAACTAATTCTTTCCCGGTGATTTCGTTCCTTGCCTTCTTTTCCTGGCATTTCTTTTTTCCTTGTTCTTGTTTTATTTCTTCTTATGACTATGTTATATTCTGATAATATCAATATCCTCGCTTGGAATGTGGGAGGCGCTGGGAGTAAATGCTTTTCTCGTGCTCTCAAGCTTGTTATTCAATCGTACAGGCCTGATTTTGTGATCCTTCTTGAACCGCAGATCAGTGGTAACGCGGCCAATGCTGTTTGTGACAGATTGGGTTTTCCGGATGTGATTCGGGTTGAAGCTGAAGGGAGAAAAGGTGGCATTTGGGTCTTTTGGGATGCGCGGCGGTACAATGTTCAAATAACTTCGGTGTGCTCGCAGCATGTCACTATCCGCGTCTCCCAGAGCCACATGACTGAATGGTTTCTTACTGCAGTCTACGCCTCTCCCCGCCCCGCTGAGCAACAACCTCTTTGGGATCGTCTTACTGCTCAGAGCAAAGTGATCAGCGTGCCTTGGATTCTTACTGGGGATTTCAACGCCATCAGATCACCGTCTGAAAAGTCTAGGACTGCCTCTATGGCGACCCTTCGGAGATGTCACCTCTTCAACGACAGGATTAATGGGGCTGACTTGGTGGATCTCGGCTACTCTGGCCCAAATTTCACCTGGACTAGGGGGGAGAACTCTGATACTTACAAGGCCAGCAGGATTGACAGGAGCTTGTGCAATACTTCGTGGAATTCGGCCTTCCCAAATACTGTTGTCCGCCATTTGCCACGTCTCAGATCCGATCATAACCCCATCCTTACCTCCTTTGCTTCTCAGGGGCAATCTCTTCACCCTCCTCGTACTTTCAAATTTGAAGCAACTTAGCTTACTCACAAGGACTTTTTGGATACCATTACAGGTGTTTGGGACCCTACCAGACCTTTGCCGATCGCTTTGCAGTCCCTAAGCACTGCTCTGCAAGACTGGAATAGGGAGGTTTTCGGGAATGTGCAACAGAGGAAGAGGCGGCTTCTAGGGCGGATCCAAGGAGTTGAAAGGCGCCTCTCACAGAGCTTCTCCCCTGTTCTGGCCAAGCTGCATTCCAAGCTGGAGGCCGATCTAGATACTGTTCTTGAGCAGGAGGAGCTGATATGGTATCAACGATCGAGAGAGCACTGGGTTAAGTTTGGGGAGCGCAATACCAGCTATTTTCACCAGCAAGCGAATATCAGGAGACGCAAGAACATGATCACCGCCCTTCGGGACCAGGCAGGAGCGTGGATCGATGATCCCCAGGAGCTGGCAGATATGGTGTTCAATTTCTATACTAACCTCTATTTGCAGGACAACTCGGCTTATGAGGACAGAATGCCAAAGAATGCTTTTCCCAGGCTTGCTCAGGAGGATCTCCTTGCGCTTCTAAGGCCTTTCACCATTATGGACATTCACAAAGCTGTCTTCGAGATGAAGTCGTTTCAAGCACCAGGTCCAGATGGGTTTCATGCGGCCTTTTATCAACAAGCATGGAACGTGGTAGGGAAGTCTTTAACAGATATGGCCTTGGCTTTCTTCAACACGGGGTTTCTGCCTGACAAGGTCTCAGAGTCTACGGTCGTGCTCATTCCCAAAGTCGATCACCCCGAACTGGTGACCCAACTACGACCCATCTCACTCAACAACGTAAGCCTCAAGGCTATTACAAAAGCGATCACTAGCAGGTTGAAGCCGATCATGAGGAAACTCATTTCTCCTCGGCAGAGCAGCTTCATTCCTGGCCGCCAGACTACAGACAATGTCATGGTAGTGCAGGAAGTGCTCCACTCTCTGGGAAAGCGAAAAGGGAAGAAAGGAGGCATGATTCTTAAGATTGATCTCGAGAAGGCCTATGACATGTTGCGGTGGGATTTCCTTCGTGATACCCTGAAAGAAGTGGGTCTTCCAAGCTCTTGGATCAGTTGTATCATGTATTGCATGGAGCAGAACAATATGCGGGTTCTTTGGAATGGCAACCTCTCCCCATCCATCACCCCCACTCGTGGAGTTCGCCAGGGAGATCCTCTTTCGCCTTATCTTTTTGTCTTATGCATGGAGCGTTTATTATCTCACAGGATCGACGCGGTCCTTCATAGTGGTCAATGGAAGCCCATTAGGCTCACTAAGAATGGACCGCCTCTCACCCATCTTTTCTTTGCAGATGACCTCTTGCTCTTCGCAGAAGCAGAAACGAGACAGATCAGGATCATCAAGCAGTGCCTCGACGACTTCTGCTCCAGCTCCGGGCAGCGAGTCAACTACGCCAAATCATTGCTTTTTGTGTCCCCAAATGTGGATAGATCGAAGGCTAGCACTCTGAGCGCCAGAGCGGAGATTCCCCTGAAGAAGGAGTTGGGAAGATATCTTGGCATACACGGTCTTCATGGTCGGGTGACGGCGGGGAGATATCAGAGCCTTCTTCTGCGCATTAAGAAGAAGTTAGCTCCGTGGAAAGCAAAACGCCTGTCCTTGGCAGCTCGCCTCACTGTATCCAGGTCTATTATTTCCTCTCTTCCCACTTATCATATGCATACAGAGTTACTGCCTAAAGGAGTTTGCGCCTCTATTGATCGTATTAACAGGGATTTTGTGTGGGGTGAGGAGGATGGGAAATACAAGCTCCATTTAGTTGGTTGGGAAAAGATGATCTTGCCAAAGGACCAAGGGGGGGCCGGCCTCCGTTCGGTAAGGAATGCCAACCTGGCCATGCTCGCCAAAAGTGGATGGAGACTCCTCAAAGAGAAAGATGCTCTGTGGACCCAGGTGATCAGGGATAAGTATGGTCGGGACAAGGAGAACTTGGATATTTTTCGTCCTATTCAGGGAAGTTCCTTTACCTGGAGAAGTCTTAATAAGGCTTCTACCCTCCTAAAGGGAGGTTGTGCGTGGAATATTAAGAATGGAAAAACTACTAAGTTTTGGCATGACCCTTGGATTGTGCAGGAACCCCTCTTAAATCTGGCGGAGGAGGAGATCCCCAACTCGCGAAGGGATGAGACAGTGGCGGAGTTGATCTCTGATGATGGCGAGTGGCGCACAGAGCTATTCGAGGGCCTTTTACCACTGGATATCCAGATGAAGATTACTAGCGTGGCAGTGGATAAGCTTTCCAACGAGGAGGACACCCTCTTCTGGGCTCTGTCTTCGAACGGTCGCTTCACCACGAAGACTGCTTACCAGTCCCTTTTTCCAGAAGGAAACGATCCGGATGCCAAGTTTTGGAAGATTATTTGGAGCCTCCCAGTTCCGGAGAGGGTCCGTTGTTTCGTTTGGCTTGTGAGCCTTGGCAGAATTGCTACCAATGCCCTCCAGCACTCCAGAAAGATCTCTGATTCGGTGGACTGTGGGAGATGTATCGGGCAGGCTGAAACTATTCTGCACATCCTCCGGGACTGCCCCCCGGCTGTATACTTCTGGGTTAGGCAAGTGCCAAGTGAAAGACAACATACTTTCTTCTCGGCGAACACGGCGGACTGGTTGCGGATGAACCTTGCAGCGGGGGAGGCTGAGCATTTGGGGATCCAGTGGCCTTCTTTCTTCAGCATTTCTATTTGGTTGTTGTGGAAGAACATGAATGACATGTATTTTAAAGGTATTTCTTCCAGTCTCACTCCTCCTTCCTTGACTCACTCGATTGCAGCTAAAGCCAAGTTGTGGAGCGAGGCTTGGCGAGCGCCTTCTCTGTTGCCGAATGGAAGGAGAGCTGCGACGGTCCGAGTGATGGCCAACATCTCGTGGAAACCGCCCCCTGAGGGGTGGGTGAAGCTTAACATTGACGGTGCTTCTAATGGGAACCCTGGTCCTGCTGGGGCAGGAGGCGTTTTGAGGGATGAGCTTGGGAGATGGATAGGCGGTTTTGTTGCCATGATAGGAGAAGCTTCTGCAGCCTTGGCAGAGCTTTGGGCTTTCTATCATGGTTTGGATATAGCTTGGAAATCTGGCTACCGCTAAATTGTGGTTGAATCTGACTCGCAATTGGCCATTCAGCTTATTGAGGATAGACATGACCCTGTTCACCCTTATGCCACCTTACTTGCTGCCATTCGCAGGAGGCTTAGCCGAGACTGGCTGGTGCGCGTAGGTCATGTATACCGGGAAGGGAATAGAGTCGCAGACTGGCTCTCGAAGCACAGTCTCGTCTATCCCTACGGTGTACAGGAGCTCGCACACCCGCCGGAAGGATTAGCGACTTGTCTTCAGGACGATATTCAAGGAGTTTCGTTTGAGAGGCGGATTGTGCCCCGCCAATGTAACTCCTCTTCCCCTCAACCCCCCATGTAACTTCTTCTTGGCTTTTGCCTCCCTTTATGCAAAAAAAAAAAAACGTAATCCTAAAGTCTAGTAGTTGTCCAAAATATTTTGGTTTAGTAAATAGGCATGCACATTTAATTTTTTACCCATAATGCTTTGGTTTGTTGTGCACATGGAAATAAAATAGGGAATCATGAAAGTTTGGTTTGGTTGGTTGCATGGAAGTATAAATAATTTTGTATATTATGTATATCATTAATTGGTTTCATTGGTTAGCAGTGTTGAAACCAAACCACCTAAACCAAATAAGCTAAATTGTTTAACCAAACCAATTATCAAAATTAACCAAACCAAATTTACCGAACACTATCGATTAATATGATTACCACGATAACCAATCCGTTTGAACACCCCTATCCACCAAGGATGACACATCAGAAACGGCGTCTTTCTTTCTTTTCCGAGTGTAAAATTGAAACCTAGCTAGCAGCCTCTGACCTTCTCCTTTCTTGGTAAACCGTAAATCAAGATCTTATTTTTCAAATATATTTGCATTTTCAGTCTCTCATTTCGAGTTGTCAAACCTCAAAATTTTGCCTCTTATTCAAATTACTATATATCAGAAAAACAATTATTGCAAAAATAATCGTGAATATCGAGTATGACCTAGTCGGACAGGGTAAATTTCAAAATCGACTGATCTTTAATGGGTAGGGGTAGATCTCGAGCCCGAAAATTATGGGTAATGGACTGATGTTTTTTTTCGATATCCAACTTGAACCTGATCGATTGTATACATGCATATGTATTTTGTTTAAAATGAGCATTATGTTTCTCAATTGTACGTGGGCAACGGGACGTGCCGTCCACGGGCTAGCACGACACGGCACGGTTAGAGCACGGCACGAGCACAGACACAAAATAAATGGGCCAGCCCGGCACGAGCACGAATAATTTATGGGTCGTGCCAGGCCTAAACTTCACGGGCACAGGCACGAGCACGGGCACGGGACGGTATATAAGTGGGCTGTGTCGGGCCTAATATTATTGAGACTTTATTGAGTATAAGAACGGACATGGCACGAAAATAATATTTATTTGATAGAAAATAAGTATAAAAAGAATTATAGGTTCAAATATTACAAAACACAAGTAGAAAATAATTATTTGTTGTTATTAGAAGTGTCATAAAGATATATACGTAATTACTAACATAAGTAAAAAATGGACAAAGAATTAAACAAAGCCAAATCACACTCGCTATACTTTCAATTTTCTATTCCCCCCTATTTGTTACTTTTCTCAAACATTATCGGTTAATACTATCTTCCCCCGTCCAATTTTCACCTTCTTTTTCATTCTCTCTTTTGTTTTCTTCCTTTTCATTAAACACGAATACGAGCATGGCACGAGCACGAATAGGCACGGCATGATTCGAACCGTGCCAGAGCCTGGGTCGGGCCTAGCAAAGTTGACAAATGGGCTTGCATGGCACGGCACGAAAACTGACGAGCCGTGCCAAGCACGACACGAAATAAATGGGCCCGAAGCGTGCCCGTGCCGTGCCGGCCCAACGCTCATGTACGTTCTCAACATATATTATATTAATTATACATATGTAATATTTTTTATGAAATTATGTTATCTTTAACTAATTTATTTCGTTATTGTAATTTATTGTTATATCTTTTCATTTATGTATTGTTAGTATACATGTAATTGTTAACATGTTGGTTGAAGTTATAAAGAACCATTATTACACATGGATAATTGTAGATACTTGAAATTTGATTGAGTGTGGCTATGATTTTCATATTATACCCGATTATTGTTGTTGATATGAATGTGAACAAAAACCGAACTATATTTCAAGGTAATGTATGTGCATTATCCATCTCAATTCGATTTGTTGCCATCTCGATACTTACGGGAAACATTTTCTTCATTTGGTTTGTTGCCATATCTATACTTACGAGAAACATTTTCTTCATTTTCTTCAATTCGATTTGTTGTCATGTTTGTTTCTTCATTATCCATCCTGCAAAATTGGACTTAAAATCTAATATCAATTTACAAAAGCAAGTTAAGCAATAATTACAATCAAGAGGGAAGAAATACAAAAAGCTGACGCGAGGTCGACCAGTTTGTAGAAGTGGTTGATCGCTTGTTGAACGTAGCAAAACAGTCAACACTGTATTCAGTCTACCACATACACTTATCAGTCGCGCGTTTGTTGCAAGTCACTGTAGCAAAGTCCAACTTTTTTTAGTTGCAAAAATATATAAATTTCAGGAGAAAAAAATATGTGTTGTTATGTTTCTGGAAGCTTATTATGACCACAAATTTAAGTTTAAGTTACGATACAAAACTCAGAATTACGAAATCTACAAAAAAATGCATGTGTTACCACTCCTTATATGAATCGTACCACCCATTATATTATCGTACCATGGTGGTATGACACAGAGTTCTGTAGGATTTTATAGAAAATGGTTTGTACCATATCCTTTCCCAAATTCGATGATCATTTGAAGGTATTTTATTGATGTGTATATGACCCTTACAAAATTTAGAGGATGAAGAGAGAAAGAGAAAGGACAGGAAACCGTAACCGTTTTTACTAAAAACCTAAATGTTCAACATACGCGACATATATAGTGTCTAAAATATTCCAACTATACAAACTAATCCTATAGCAAGACTCCTAGTACTTTAACATTCTATGCAAAATGATCATGTACATGTATTTCACAAAACATAAATTTCTACATACTCCAATGATGATGATAACATATTGGATGCAAAAAGGTAGGGGAATCCCATTTTTCAAATCAAAGTTCCAAAATACATGCGTTTTCCTTACTTCATGTACAACAATCTTCTCCACATAAAATTCCAATTTCAATAGATCCTCACAACCAAATACACACATTCTTGAAATTAACCTTACCCAATTCACTAAAGCACACACACTTTTGTCACATCGTCGTCGTAGATAAAAGGTCGCCGGCACCTCGCCTAGCAATTGGAACACAAACCAAAGGACGAGCCCTAGAAAGCGTGAGCCCAGCTCCACCCTCTTCCATGTCCACTTCACCTCCACCACCACCATCCCCAACCGCCGTCCAATCAAAGCACTGAATCATCGCCGCCAGAGTCGTCGGCACGAACCGCAGGGCCAACGAGGCACCGGGGCAGCTCCTCCTTCCGCTGCCAAAGGGCAACAGATGAAAATGTTGTCCCCTCACATCCAACATGTTATTCTTCTTCTTCCACTCTGTTCCCATGAATCTTTCAGGGCTAAACTCCTCAGGATCCTTCCAATGGCTTGGATCTCTCCCCAGGGACCAGATGTTGACGAACAGCCTCGTCTTCGCCGGGATTTTGTAGCCGGCGATCGTGCATTCTTGGGATGATTCTCGGACGATCAACGGACCGGTTGGGTGGAGACGGAGTAGCTCTTTTAGGATGGCTTGGAGGTAGGGAAGGTTTGGGATGTCTGATTCTTGGACCAACCTGTCATTTCCTACAACTAGTTCCATCTCCTGCCTTACCTTGCTCGTCACGTCTGGATGATTTATGAGTTCCGAGAGCCCCCACTCGATGAGAATCGAAGACGTGTCCGTTCCAGCTCCGAATATGTTCTGTAAATCGAAGTTGATTTCGACGGGATTATCATATGCCACTTTGTATATCGTCGTATGAGTTATTTGTATTCACTTTTTTTTTATGAATGCGAGTATTGCGTTGAGTAAATATTTTTTTACTTTTTTCTCGTACATAGTGAACTCGTAACTCTTGAAAATATGCTAAGAAAATATTTTGTTAACTACACTTTCAATTTGAAAACTCTAGAAGTAGTTAAACATAGGAATGTCAATTAGTAGACTCATTAGGGTAATTCGTAATTTGGCCTAATTGTCATGGCCCATATGTGAATTGGGTGGGATCCAAAGAGATTCATACGAGCCCTTTTAATGGTTTTGGATTTGAATTGTGTTTGATTTGGATATAATTTAGGTGAATTGATTTGTGTCCAACCCAAATGAATTCATTTGGGTCCAGATGATTGTACACAAAAATAAGACAATATTGACCATCTTATTATCTACCTTCAATCTAATTACACATTTAATTTTGGGTTTTCCACCTTTTATTTGTTTCATAAGAAGAAAAAAATACATTAGAATAGATTATTCATTTTATTAAGAGTATTCCATATCACGGATCCAATTTAAACTCGAACTAAAATCTATGTACCGAAAAAATCGAAATTACTCAAATCTAATTTGATTCTTACTAAGATGGGTTTGGACAATACACTAGTTTTTTTTCCTTTTTTGTTTAAACTTTAAAATCATAATAATTCCATATATAAGAAGTAAAAAATATGCTACATATATCATCCTTCATTGAGGTCCAATTAGTTTCTAGTCTCCTCTGCCTATAACAAAGTATCCGGTTCATGATTTATCTAATCAACCCATTGATTTGGTTATATCCTGCTCAAATACTTCGAATATCCAAGTACTGAAAATTACAAAATCAACAAAGGAAAAAGGGACTTTCTTACCATGATAAAAGCTTTGATGTTCTCCCTCGTCAATTTCATCTCCGCTTCCTCATCTTCATATATATCAAGCAAAATGTCAAGCACATCCTTACAATCCTCCAAGCCACAATCATCACCATCCTTCATTTTCCTCTCCCTCCTCAAATCCTCGTGCTCCTTCATGATCCTCTCCATCAGAACATCGTACCTTCCTCGCACATCCACGAGCCTCTTCTCAAACCCTTGCAAGTCCCAATTCTTCAAAACCCAAAACGTATCCGACACATTGAACTGCCTCCCGAGCTCCGTCATCTCCCTCACGAGCCGCCTCACCTCGTCGGCCTCCTCCTCGTCGTCGCCGGAGCACCTCGTCCGCAGCATCATCCTCGAGATCGCGTTGTTGGTCAGCCTCGTGAGCTCGGCTCCGACGTCCATCGCTTCCCCTGCCCGGGCCCTGCTCAGGGCCCGGTTCAGAAACCGGTTCGTCTCGTCGCGTCGGACCGGGACGAACCGGTCGAGGGTTTGTGGGCCGAGGAGGCGGTTCATGAGGAGGTGCTTCATGAACTTCCAGTACGGGCCGTACTGGGCCGTGGCGAAGTCGGCCGAGCCGTAGGTGAGGTAGTGGAGGTTGGCCACCTTGGGCCGGTTGAGGAAGGCCGGCTCGTTGGTCTTGAGGATCTCGTGGGCCAGGTCCGGGGTGGAGGCGAGGAGGCAGGGCTTTGGGCCGATGCGGAAGTGGACGAGCGGGCCGTGTTGGGCCGAGAGGGTGTGGAGGTGGCGGTGGAGGGTTGGGCCCAGGTGGTGCATGTGGCCGATGAGTGGGAGGGATCTTGGGCTCGGCGGCAGCTTCCCTCCTCCGCCGCCGCGGAAATTGGTTACTAGAAAGATGACGGACGAAACGGCGATGATGATGAGGAGGAGGAGGTGGAGGAGGAGTGGTGGTGGCGAATCGGAGTAGCTTTGAAAGATATCGGACGGCGGCATGGCGGATTTGATTAGTGCAACGTTTAATTTGATTAAGTTGGAGAGTGGGAAGAAGAAGAAAGAAGGGTTGCTACTCGTATATATAAAGCGAAGTTTGAAGTGAAAAATTGTTTCAAGTGATTGAAGAATTAAGGTGGTTTTTTTTTTAAAAATTAAAACGGGAATTGACGTAGGGTGCCGTACTAATTAGCAAGAAAAGTGGTAGTTTAAGATGATAAGATAAGAGGGGTACAATTTATTATATTGTGACAGCAGCCCATCAACTACCGTATAGAAAATATGTATGTGGGCTTTGGACTATATATAGTGGGAAGGTAGCTATATTCAAGAGGGTTGATTTTCTTTATAATATTTCCAAATCTTGTCTCTCTTGAATTGATCGATCGCTCGTGTAGATTGTGTATGCAAATTTATCTATCTGGTCCAAAGACCAAGATCATATTTGTTAGGATCTCTAACAATCACTTACTAAGGTGGCAAATGCGGAGTTCTATGAGGTTCTAAAAGCTAATAAAGTGGAGGTTGAGGTGCCTCGGAGTTGATGTTCCTCTTGGTTTTAAAAAACGAAAGAAGATAAACAATGTTGGAAAAGCAAAACTATACTATTGGATGGTGAAAGGAAGCACAGGAGGGAAGTTGTTGCATAAGCTCGATCCACTTAGAGTTCCTCTGACTCGTAACTTTGAAAACCGGCAACATCCTTGTTAGGTTTTATCCCTAACATGTGTCGTGGTATGTACCCGGACTAATATGAAACGATTTGGACTCTACGCGAGTGTCTCCTTCGAGGAAGTCGACACGGTACTTTGATCGATTGAAGATCGATAGTAAGGGATTGTTGTGTCTATAGTCTCATCGATCCACTCACGAAGTTGAGTTTGAGGATTTACCCGAAATCGGACCGTATAACCCGGACTTGGACCGGATAGTAAACAATCCAATCCAATCTTTGGGCTTAGATTTGAGGTAAAAAACCGTTCGGGACCGGATCGAAAATTGGATAAAGATCGGATAAGAGAGCTCAACACCCAAAACTTAAGGATAATTGTCTTAAATGGTCAAAAACCTTTGCACTTAGTACAAAACTTAACCAACTCATCACCCTTTCAGGCCTTAGGCCACACAAATCCCCACAAGCTCAATATAAAATCAAGACCGAATTGGGACCGGACCGGATCAAGACCGGACTGTATCCAATCTAATCTTTGGTCCTTATATTTTTAAAAAGACCGGACTGGACCGAATCAATTTGGGCCAATTTAACCGGACCGGACCGTATAGCCACCCCTACCAAAAACTAAGAGTTACATAGTAAAAAAAAACTCCAGTTCAAGCATACCATCAAACCCTTGGCAAAACATGAAAATCGACCATCAACAAAGTTGACGAGCATAACAACCTTTTGTTTGGTTTGAAATCACATGAACTCTCAACAATCTATTTGCCTCTTCTTTTCAATCTATAGCATGTTAAAAATAATGTGGTGATAAGCGTGACACAGGATAACACAACAGAGGTCGAGCCATTTCTCCCCCAAACCCTGAACCAAGCCTCATATCCAACTTCTCCCCGTCCTCAACCTCCCAATCAAAGCACTGCACCAGAGCTCCCACGGTCGCGTGCATCACCATCATCGCCAGCGAAGCGCCGGGGCACCCTCTCCTCCCGCTCCCAAAAGGAAGGTATCGAAAATCAAAATTCCCACCCTCAATTTTCTCATCCGAATTATCTTCCAAGAATCTCTCCGGAATAAACTCGTCTGGGTTCTTCCAGCTTTGCGGATCCCTCATGACGGCGTAGACATTGGTTAGGACTCGGGTCTTGCGCTTGATGGTGAAACTGTTCACTTGGCAGTCGTCGGCGGATTCTCTGATGATCAACGGCGCGGGAGGGTGGAGGCGGAGGGTCTCGTGGATCACGGCTCGGAGGTAAGGCAGGTTTGGGACGTCGGAGTTTTTGATGAGCTGGTTTGGGCCGACGACGGTGTTGATTTCGTCCCTGAGGTTTTTGAACGCGGCTGGGTGGTTGATCAGTTCTGCCATCGCCCATTGCATTGCGGTTGATGTTGTGTCTGTCCCGGCGATGAATATGTCCTGGTAGTACCATCAATGAAAAATCATGGTGTGATTAGTGCTTATTTGTTGATTTTTTTCCCTAACTTTTTCCCAACAACTCAAATTATTAGGACCAACTGATTTATGACAACAATAATTACAATCAAATAATTGATCATGAAGTTACCCTGTTTCAATCATTATGACTCCTTTCAATGTGTAAGTAAATAATATAAGATGCATTTTAAACACCTCAAACAACTAGAGCACTAGAGCACTCTTCTTCGAAACGAATTAGTTTTCTAAATCCATATAACATCAATGAATGTTGCTGTTACTGAAACCGTGTTAGTATTAGGTCTTTCGCATCATCAAATTCTACAATGAAGAATCCAGGGCTTGTAGTGAATAGGTGCTGAAATTAACAAATTACAACAGCTTTTCATGATTAAATATAAATGTTGGAGGAGTAGGAGTACTAACCTTCATCCTATACCATTTTTTAATATTTTTTCAACACATCAATATTACTGTACTTTCATCACTCTAGTAATAATAATTAATTTAATTGGTGGGCACGGACCGTCTTCCATGCATTAATTGGCAAGCGCATGCATGAAATGTAGTTAAAATGGCGCTTTAAAACTTAAAAACTTACGTTTTTACACTTTTATGTCACCAAAATGCTTTTACGCAAAATCTTCGTTTTTATAATTTATGTAGTTAAAAACGCGGTTTTACGCTTCTAAATCACCAAAACACTTCTCCGTAGAAACACGCTTTTGACTACTAACGATTGATTGAAGAAAATAGTTGATTATGGTATATACTTACGAGCAAGAAAGACTTGATATCGGTCTTGGAAAGCCTGATCTCAGCAAGCGGATCGTTATAAATCTCCAGCAAGATATCCAACAAATCCTCCCTTCTTCTTTCCGTCTCTTCCTCCTCCTCGTGCTCCTTTATAATCCTCTCCACCAGCCCATCGAACTCGGTCAGCACCCGAACCAGCTTCGGCCCATTCCCCGAAAAATCCAGCACCGAAAAAAGCGGGCCCAACGCGTCCCCGCAGCTCAACTTCCCGGCGAGATCCAAACACTCCGCCACCACCCCTCTGACCCTCTCCGCCTCCTCACTCTCGCCGGAGCACCTCGTGCTCATCGCCATCCGGCAGATCACGTTGTTCGTCATTGCCGTCAGCTCGCTCCCCAGATCGCATACCTTCCCGTCGCTGCCGGCGACGGATCTCAGAAGCCGGACCCTCTCGTCGTCCACCACGCCGGCGAGGAGGCGGAGCCGGGCGGGGGAGAGGAGCCTGGTGACGGTCAGCTTCTTCATGAACCGCCAGTAGTCGCCGTGGGGGGCCATGGCGAAGTTGGACCCGCGGTAGATGGAGTACTGGGCCGAGCCGAACTCGGGCCTGGACGAGAAGTTGAGCTCGTGGGCCTTGAAGATTTGCTTCGCGGTGGAGGCGTCGGAGGCCAGGACGCAGGTGGAGAATCCGAGGCGGAGGGTGAGTAGTGGGCCGTGGCGTTGGGCCAGGGCCTGGAAAGATGTGGGCAGGATTTTGCCGACGAGGTGGAGGTGGCCGATGATGGGCAGGGCCGGCGGGCCCGGCGGAGGAGTTTGGGCTTCGATACGGCGGCGTTTGAGGGACGGGGATTTCCCCGATATGAAAAGAAAGCTTGTATAAGCTAGAAGTAGAAGAAGAAGTGGCGCGATGAGCAGAAAGTAATTCTCAGTTGGAGGAGCCATGGGATGTTAGAATTAACTGAGAGATTCATAGCGGAAAAGCGATATATATATATATATATATATATATACACACACATACGTCCGACTGACGTACGCTAGCCTTTGCTATATATATATATAAGGTTACTGCCGGCTCTGGGACAATGGAGAATGATAGATTTGGCTCAAGAGCCTCAATTTGGAATCATTTGGGGAAAATTTTGATCCCACATCGCCGGATTATCATGTAACGAAGTCAATCACTTTGGACAATTGCCGTCATTATGGGGTGTTTTTTTTTTTTTGGCTCAAGATGACTTTCTTTTTATTAATGGGTACAATGATTGACTCTATCAATCGTAACAAGTTAAATGAGAGTACACAAAGAATATATGGACTAGGAAATAGGGGTTGTATAACGGGGCTAGGCTAGAGCGCGCTACAAATTTAATCAATTAATCTGGTCGAACTCACTACGATCAGCTCGTGAATGTGACTAACTTGTAATACAATGAATGATTCACTTATAACTTGATCTATCCCAACTTGATTCAAATAACGGTGTTGACATGAATTAGTAAATAATGTAGACTACGGCCGAATGTTTTTTTTTTTCTTTTTCTCCTGAACTCTTGAAAGTTGCAATTGAGATCAGAGACGAGACTCGTATAAAGCAGTGGCACTATGAATAAGAGATGCACAAATGAAGCTGGATGCAAAATCTTCGGATATTCGATAACTGGTACAATTATCAATGAATCTTATATTCTTCTCTTATGGTGAAAGCAGGCATATTTCCCTTAAAAAATCTTCACTAGTTACTATCAACTATTAGGGCGACAACTAACTATTAAGTACCGAGAGATACGCAAATGCATCCGATGTTGAATCATAAGGTATGAGGCAACAACTGAAAAACATTTGCAATCTAGTTAATGGAGCATCATGAAATAAGTTTGTGAAACGAAAAAAATCAGTTTGACAAATACGAGAACAACTTGTGCATGAAGCAAAATCACTAGAAGGTAGGAAGAAAGGCTCATGAACCAAAATGAAGAATTATGTCACAAATTAATTTCTTGTCAACCATTACCCTAATTTCACCGTTCTCAAATTTTCATGTTCCTGTTATATGATTCTATATCTAATACAGACAGACTGATCCATCGAATTAAGAACAGAAATTAGGTTAGAAGGTACAGTGATCACGGCTATGTTGTTGAACTCTTATACAGGATAAACTATAATGTCGAAACGAACTGTTTTGGCTACATAATGAGAAGAAATCGAAGAACGAACACAGTGCAGAATCGATTGGCTAAGAGTTTCAACATCTTGCAGCAAAATCACGAGAGAACCAGAATAAGAGGTAACAAAACCGTATCAAATTGATCTTCTACATGGGTTCAGCCGGTATGGGCAGTTGGTACGGTATCACAAGGTCGAGCTAAAAGAGTCCATTTCGGTTCGACCAAATCAAAATTCCGGGTCAGTGTACTGACTGTTTCTATTACAACATCAAAACGTTACTTTCCAAGAGCTACAATATCACATTCAGCATGTAAAAAGAGGTAGTAGAGACCATTCGACCAGAACCAGATATTCTACCACCAGTCAGATTCCCAACAAAGAAGGGAACAGAAGTTCAACAGTTTACCAGCCTTCCATATCCATCCATCATCTCTTGTATTTTTGAACCCGGTCGCTAAGAGCTCAATCTCCCGTGAGCATTGATGTCTGCGAATTAGGAAACTATATGATTGTGTGATTCATAGCTTCTCATCATCGCATGCTTCTAGCGCTTGGTTTTGTTACAGCTTCCATGATCCTGAACATCCACCTATCAAGCATTCCTGAAATTACGGAGGTAAGCTTTTAGTTTTAGACTACCAAACTGAAGAAAAGGTATACGAAGAGCAAGCAGACGTGGAATGCCTCTACGCAACAATGCACTATCACAAAATTCGTCCGAGTTTGGTTGCCTAAAAATCCAGTGAGAGACTTGCAAACTAATCACTCTTTCTGAACTTTCAAATTCATACCACCACAACTATATAAATGCAAGCTAGGCGTAATTTTAGGAGACAAAAAAGAGTACAGACCTGTTACTGCAAATGTACCGCCTAAAACTGCACAAAGGCGAGTTATGAAATGGAGGAAGCTATGCTTTTCTTCCTTGATAGTCACGGTGATGGGTGATAAATCGTACAGAAAGTAAACAGCTGCAACCAAAATATTAGTCTCAATAAACAACCAGGAAAAAAACATATTCCAGCTCTTCTCCTCTCTCCTCTATCCTTGTTCATAAGACTGGATGTGATTCAACGAACCTGGCCATGATCTATCAAAGTCGTTCATTGGTGAGAAGTATTCTGTAACTGAGAATTGATTAGTTGGTAAAACTTCTTTAGATATGTATCTGTACTCCGTTGGAACAATCTGCAAGATTTTAAGGGCAAAACCTTGTAACTGCAGAAACTTACACCAATAAATTTTCATTACAAAACACCAAGGCAAAATAACACACAAAGAAAGGGATCCCCAATTACTACTAAGGAAATATCACTCGGCGGAGCAGTGAAAATTTCAAGATTAAGGCTGTCCGCAGACAGACATTTCTCCTTATAGTGTAATTGTGCCGTTCTCGTATCGAATAAAGTAACCTCCAAGTTCAATGACCTCCATAAGAACATATTAAACTCTATCCGAACCCTTATATTGTGATAATATAATAAAATGAACACGAATAAACTAGCAGGTAAAATGACAAGCAGATATTCACTGACATATTGCACACATCTACCTGAACAAGGAGCTTAGATAAGCACATAAGAACAAGCTATATACATTGTCTATGAATTGAGGCCCGAGAGATGTTCAGTTTCAGCTGTAAACTAACTCTTGAAGCAGCTTTTACTCTGAACCTACTGGTCTACCACAATTAAAAAAGCTCAGAATCTTACTACAAATGTAGTATGCAGAGCAGATTGATTATTAATCATAAAGGTTGGTGATGGTCTGAACAAAGTAGGCAAACAGAAATGCACACGGAAGCGAATTATTTATAAATACAGGGATCTCTTAGTTGCAGGTTATATAGCAGGGATAGTGATGGAAGGGCCTAAACGTTAGATCAAATATTTCCATCTTTTCGTGCTATTTGAATTCATTTTCACAGAACCAATAAGCTCAAAAGGCTTTAGTCATTAGCGATGGAAGCGTCTAAAGCTCTAAACATTAGATCTAATACTCTTTCCATCATTGCGTGAACCTCCTTTTTTTCACAGAACCAATAAGCTCAAAATGCTCTGGTCATATGTCATAACTGCAATGATTCATAAGTAGAGAAAGCCCCAACCTTGATATAGTATTTGAATATTCCACTCGACTCATGTAGAATCCTCGCCGTCCCATCAAGAGGGTTGTGAATACCAGGATATTTCGGCCCAAATGATAGGTCGTGAATGATGTGACTGACATTGACATGCTTAGCTCCTTCAAAAATCTGCAATGATACAAAATGCTATGCATTCAGGAGAAAACTTTACATCCAACAGTTTGGTGGAAGTTAAACATATGTTACTTGTTCAAACAGTTGACATGGTGAACTTTTCCAGATATCAGCTAAATGATACGATCAACATAGGAATATTGTAAAGAAAAACATTAAACACTAACCATTTGTGCAACCATAATGTTCAACCCATGAACTGAAATGTGGAAGTTCCCGGCTACACGTTGAACATCTAAGACACCATATACCTGCAGATACGTCAAATTCAACAAATAAGAAACTCTTGTATGTACGTTTCAGGGCAGTAAAAAAATGAGTCACCAAAGTGGAATACCCGGCATCCTTCTCCATCTGTCAAAGCTTGCTTCACCTTCTTAATCAAATTTTCAGCATCTTCATCAAAGCCATGACTGTGAAGTTTTTGTTCAGGATCATGATTATGGTCTTTATCATCTGCACAAATAGATTGGTGGTAGTTAACCTAACAATTTAAATTTGCTTTTCTTTGAACAGGAAATATTTCAATTCAAAGATGCCAACTTTGCATAGTGTATACGCCAGTTAAAATACACGGAATGATAATGTGAGTTGACAAAATTGTCATATTTGAAAACTATGCAGCAATTGCAATGATAGGATCTAATATCTTTACGTAATGCTGCTATCACTGAGACACTGACTTGCCCCTACCGCTCTTTTGATGCTATGTCTAAGCTGCAAAAAGGATGATAGCATCTTTATCATCTACCTAAGTAGAGAGAAGAATCTAACCTATATTGAGGTTCAATATTGTAAACTATGTATGAACTACCATACAGCTCGGATGTCAGTTCTTCAACAGATAAGGTGTTTTATTTCTGTGAAGGAATCTTACCATGATTGTGAGAGTGCTCCTTTTCTACGAGGTCCGACAAATATTCAGTACCAATAATCTGGCCATGACTGTTCAGTCGAAGCTGCAAAAGTCCATTTTCATTAGAATTTAATATGGTTGTCTCCAAGTGATTCAACCAAAGCATTCCAGAAACTCAGAAGCAAGAAACAGATGCAAAAGTTCAGGCTTCGTATCAATGGCTTAAACTCGAAATCCATGCCATAAGAAATAGTTGATAGAACATAAAAGGGAGACTTAATGCCACGTCCCAATTCATGAATCAGGCCTAAATATTTATAAAAATAAATTACTAAACATTAGTCAACCCTCGTCATTTATCAATGAGAACATCCAGGATGCCTATATAATAACAAAAATTCAAATTTTCAAATAAATCACTGATCGAATTCTTCTCATCCAAAGCATATTAATTTCAATTAAGGGAAGCGTGAAACCATAAGAAACAATACAAAGATTCAAGCCACTAATTTCATAACATGATGTTTCATCGTGTCGATTGTTTAACTCTCATTTCAGCCCTTCACCGGAAAAGGTAGCAGTAGTACTTTTTGCTTAGTATTTCTCGATCAAGAACCACCAACTCACTCAAGCTTTTCATACAATTTCAGAGAAGACAAACAATTCTGATATAAAGAAGCAAATGCCATTTCATATGAAGAGCACCAAAGTAGGAACATCCACAATACATGAAGATATGCTTCAGAATTACTAATTACATTCCAGCTCTCCAAACAATAATGTCTGTGTATAGTGACTAGAGCAAACGGTTTCATTGACATTGAATTTGGTTCAGAAAATATGGCCGTTTCAACTTTCTATTATGGAATAAAAACGCACATTACAACTTTGCATCTAAAATATTCTTCAAGAGAAAGGAATATGATCTTACTTTCCATATGTTTGTATCAAGATCCACTTCATGCTTGCCAGACATGTCAATCGCATCCACACTTAAGACTAAGAGGAAAAGGTAATAATAACTTAATTAGGAAACCATAATAAGTTAATAACTGAATCTTTGTATAAAACGACAGGACGCAGATAGAAGAAGATGGAAACTCCTGAACAAAGTAGCAGCATGACTAACCATCACAAGCTAGTGAAGGAAATGTGACATTTATATGAATTGGAAGAGTTTGTCCACGTGTCAGGTCAACAGACATCTGCCAGAAATACACAATCAAAGAATCCATTAGCACGAGGAATGAAAATACAGCATAGATGAGGATACGAATTTACATTTAACATTTAAGAGCACCTAATACATTGGAGTATAAGAATTGCTTAGCTTCTAGCACAATGTACTATATCCTAAGTGGATCTAGCTTAAGAGGGAGTTCAAATTACTTTTCCAGGATTAAGAGAGCCTATAGCCTATTACATCACCAAAGCATTTAGTTTCTCACTTCCTGGGGCAGAATGGACCTTTCTGTGGGATGTAATGAAAAGGGCAGTGAACTGATAAAGATGTATGCTACTCACCTGATGAACTGTATACGTGTGGAGGTAGTAAGTGAGCTCGTGCAGAAACAATGTAGCCATTATCCCAAGACCAATAACAGAAACTGCAAAAGACCAAATGGAAATAAGAAAGTATCCCGGATCTGAGACAGAAAGATGTTCGTTGCTGAAGATAGGAGTGCAAAAAAAAAAAAAAAAATTTACCGCAGGGTCCTAAGCCATAGGTGTTTCTTTAAGAACATTGTTTTTCTTCTCAATCAAACTGAAAAATGAACAGAAAAGGGGCCACGCATGGGAAAAGAAACTAGCTTGTTCATTCACTAATTCCCTAGCCGCACAGATGAACATATCTTAGTAAGCAACTTGAATAGGAATGATTATGTCCATAGTATATCATCCACTACTCCAGACTAACTAATTAACAAATAGTTCAAATGGGGAACAATTTTTTGGATAAAGGATTTGAGTATAAACAGTTAACCACAGAGAACCAGCAATCATTTATGTTTTGATTCAAAGAAAAAAGAGAGTGGAAAGAGTCTGGTTACCAAGTGCTCCAGAACGCGTTTTCTGCAACAAGTGTTCTTCTGCACGAGGGAAGGCATCCAGGCTCTTAATAGCCTGTTTCACTCCCATCTTTATTAACTTCCCTTGCACACCCCTCCACCAATTACCAAACTGAATTTCTCAACCAATCAACCTGCTAACCTGCATAAAAAAGAAAACGAAATGGAAATGAAAATCCGCTAAGTTCGACGCATGATTATCGAATCCTATTTTTCAAATTTTCCCGCCGCTCTGCGTTGACATCAATCCTACGCAAAATCCCTAAAGAACACCCATGTGAATCATAAACCCTAGTACGAAGCGAAGCGTTCATCATGTGAGGAGTGGGAAATGCGATCAATTCGATGGATTGATCGCGTAATTGCAAGAAAAGAATCCAATCATTTGGAACGAAGTGAAGCAATTGGAGCAACGAGAAGTCTGAATTCTTCGTTTTCCAAGACATAAAAGGATATGGCCGCCGGCCGGAGAGTGCGAGAGCATACCTGTGGAGACGACCAGAAGAAACACGGAAGGAGAGAAAGAGAGAGATGGAGGGAGTTGAGTCGATGGGGGAAGACCAGCTCGGAATTGACGTCGACGAATAGAGTAAAATAAGTAAATAAAAATAATATGATGGATGGACCATGGGCACGGACGGAGCTCTTCTTCGATTTCCAAGCAGTACATTTTTACATTTGGGCCCATTGTTAACCGTCCTGCGGCCCACTAATATAATCATAAAATTTTACGTTTAAATGAGATTTCGTGTTATACAAAGTAGGGATCGCAAATTGCCAAATTGGCAATTGTATCCGAATTATGGGTATGGGTATAGGTAGTAGCCAATTCGGTTAAAGTGGGTAAAATTGAGTGTCTATGAATTTTGAGTTTGGTGTGATTTATGCCCACTTATGAAATTGATGGGTTGGACTCACTTTCCATTCAGCGGCGGATTCAGAACACAAAAGAGCACTGGGCCGCATTTCATTAAAAAATTAAAATCGTAAACAAATATAACGATTTTTTGCAATATAAATTATACACTATCGTATTTTAATTTAGCGATTGCAACAATAATGGAGTCCACATCCATACCAATAGTATAAACCGTTTCAAATAAAATACTTGAGCAATCGACGAGAAATTCATCGCTCATTTTGTTGCGCAAATAGGTTTTTACACATGTTTCATTTTTGAAAAAGTTCTCCCGGTAGTAGCTGTTGAAACGAGCAGCGTCAACACTAGACAAATCAATCGTGCATTGTGTGTCCATCATTAGATTCACCAACTACTCTAGTAAATTTTCGAGGGAAAAACCTCATATTTCTTCTAGTCTTTTACGTTTTAGACTTTTAGAATTTTAGATTTCATTGGGTTTTTAGACGAATAATCTTTGGGACTAGAATTTCTAGTCTAAATAGAATAATGATTGAAAAATGTTAATTTAAATTATTTTCCTATTATACCCAATCTTATTATAAAATAACATTGAGCCGGATGTCTAATATCAAAAAATTCATAAGGACTATATTAATGTCGGATCCAAAGGAGGGCTGGGCCAGGGCCCGGGGTGGCCACCCCCTAGATCCGCCACTGTTTCCATTCAATTCACATTCATAAAAGCAAAATGACTCACTTGAATCTAATCGGAATAATATGAATAATTTATGAATGTAATTAGTTTTTATGGTAATATAAACTTAATGAAGTGGATAATTTATGCATGTTAGCAGTGTTTGTGGAGATATATTTATAGAGAACTTTTTAATAACATTGTGATGTGTTATATAAGAAATATGTATGGATATATGAAAAAGAGTTTGGTCTGAAAATGAACCTATATCAAACTTATCTATATAAAAAAAATATATGTACGGTTATGTTTGTGAACTTACGATACTCATACACCCGTGATTACCTATTAAATTGGATTTTTACTTCTAAAACACTATTGGTATTCAACTAATTTTTTAGTGAGTAAATCTACTGAGTTGAGTTTGAGTTTAAACAAAACCCTAACTAACTCAACCTATTGTCATCCCCAAACCTAACCGAAATTAGACAATATCATTAGCTATTAAACTAATAATTAACGAAATGGTACAGTCTAAAATAGAATAAAAGTCAGTTAGTTCCCACTGGCAAGCAAGAAGCCCAAAGTTATCAATTGTTAGCACCGAAAACAACAACAACAACAACAACAAAAGGTAAGAAAGAAAGAAGGGCGATGGTAACAGAAACCATCCCTGTGGTTGACTTGTCCAGCAAAAATCTGATCCATGGAACCCCGACTTGGGTTTCCGCTTGCAACGACGTCCGCAAGGCTATGGAACAACATGGCTGCTTCAAAGCCATCTTCTACGGCGGCGGCGGCGATTCTTCCAGCAGCACACAACTCCACAACGACATATTCGCCGCAGCTGGAGAACTATTCAGCCTGCCGACGGAGACCAAGCAGAGGAACACCAGCAGCAAGCCTTACTTCGACTACTTCGGGCAGAGCCAACTCTTCCCGCTCACCGAATCCCTCGCCGTCGACCATCCCACCAGCTCTCTCGCCACTCGGAGCTTCGCCGACGTCATGTGGCCCGCCGGAAACCTCAGCTTCTGGTAACTACGCATATGTTTATATTATTATTATTATAGAGAAAATTATTTAAAGTTCTTTTTTTTCCATAGGTAGATTTAAGAATAGCTCTGTTAATGTTGTTGTTATTGATATAATAATTTATCCATCAATAGTAAATTTTGTTTAATAATATCGTAATAAGAACCGAACCGATCATCAGATGGATCACTAGAATCATCAAACCTGCAGTTGCAATAGTTAGAGATATCGGTTCGTTTGCTTGGAGAGTTAGGGATGAACGGAATGATTTTTTAACAATTTGACATGAAACCATATAACACCCCCCCCCCCTCCCCCTCGACTGATGATCTACTGGTTTAGTGTTTTAACCCGTAAACGAAGATAATCCAATTTAAATTGCTAATTTTATTTATACTTTCTTTTCTTTGTTTCTTCGTGTCCATGTCCGCCCCTTATATGCTCCAGGTCACCGAAATTACTATCTTGAATTGAAACTTTTTATTTATTTCGTGAAATATAGTTTGAATTATTTGTTAAAACTTTTGATCCGTAGATGAGATGGATTTTGAAATTGTTACAACTTTTTTTTATTTATTTACTATCAACAATTAACCTACGATCCTATATTAGTTAACTGTTTTAACTATAAATTACTAACTTTTTCGATTCAACTTCCCGTAAAAAAAACTTGTTGATCCTGTGCGATTTTGGTCCAGCGAAAGCACGATCTCGTTCTCGAAGGTGACGGCGGAACTAGATCAAACGGTGATGAGAATTATATGCGAGAGCTACGGCGTCGACGGTGGGCATTACGAGTATTACCTTGAGGCCGCGAATTACGTGCTCCGTTTCTACCGATACACGGTGCCCAAGACGGCCGGCGAGAGCAACGTCGGGCTGGGCGCTCACGCCGATAAGTCCATGATCTCCATCCTTCGCCAGAGCATCAGAGGCTTGCAGATCAAGGCTCCGGATGACGACAGCTGGGTGGAAGTTGATGAGATGTCGCCTTCGTCTTTCCTTGTCATGGCCGGCGACGCGCTGATGGTACGTAATCAATTTGATTTAAACTACACTAATCATCATGTCATTTGATCAATTTTAATACTTAAACTAGCTTAACTACTGTGTAGTAGTACTGATGGGTGAGAATAGATAATCAATTATTAATGCAACCTGGTGTTTATTCATGCGTATTGTTATTTATTTACCCCCTTAATCGTGACCGAGACTAGATTTAAGGGGTGAGAAAAAAAGGAAAACTTTTTTTTATGTTTTAATTTATCTGTATCTTCTTTGTTTAAACATGGATTCCAGGTTGGCACTGATGTGTGATCTACGAAATAATACTAATTTTCAATATATTTCGATAAAAATATTTTTCATACCACTCAATAGTACTACTCGTTACCACTTACCACCTGATATCATTATGTATCATCTTCGTTTTTAACTCAAATTTCGGAACATTTTATTCAAAGAGGACGAATTCATCGTGATCTACAAATTTATGGAGGAAGAATTTTAGGACCAAAGGGAGATTAATAGTGGTGAATGACATTGTAAAAAAAAAAAGTGGTGAATGATGATTAGTATATTCCTACTATCATTCTATGCTAAGATATATTCATACGACCATTGTATAATCTTATGTGCTAACAAGTATCTTTATGGTATAAGCTAGTAATATTTGTCTAGAAAAATTCAAAAACATATCAATGTGGATGTAATTTTGAATAAGACAATTAATCTTATTTATCTTTATCTTTTTTTTTTTTTGAATTACAACTTAAAACGCAATAGATATCATTCATAAGAAATTATGTCTCTCTTAAACGATTGATTGATGTTACCCATGGTTATGCAAAAATGAGTTTATGGACTGCATACGCTAATTCCATTAATTTGTTTGGTGTTTTTTTAGGCATGGAGTAACGGGAGGATCAAAAGCTGCAGGCATCAAGTAATCATGAGTGAGAAGGAGACCAGATACTCGGTGGGGTTGAGCTCGGTGATCAACGGCGTGGTCCATATTCCGACGGAGTTAGGGTATTATAGTAGTAGTAATGACGACGACGGCGAAGTAGAAGAAGAAGAATCCGGCAAGCCCTTTCGCTGCAGGGCGTTTGACCATTTTGGGTTACTTCAATTCATCCGATCAGGAGAGGCCAAAAACTACGACTCTGCCATTCAGGACTACTGCGGAGTTGTTTGAAGAATGAAAATCCCCTGTTTTGGTCGACGAAAATCCCCTGTTTGAAGAATGAAAAAAAATACTATGAATATCATCTAAAAATCCACTTGTGTGTAATGTAATCAATGGGTATGAATACAAAACATACCTGTAAATAAAAAAATTACATCCACCCCCAATTATCTTCCTAACGCGATCCAACAACATTAACATCGACAAATTCATTACTAATTAACCACTTTTCTAATTCGGCTCCTTCAAGACGAAGAAATTGATCATCAAGTCACAAATTGTATCCTTAATTCCCTACCCAGAAAAAAAGAAACCAACAACAAATCAATTGGTCAGCTAGAGGAACTAACTAGCCACAACAGCCGCCTCTCTTGCCGGCGTCGGTATCCTGGCCGGGGACAATAATCCTCGTCCCTTTCAACAGCCCGGAATTGGGGTCGAAGTCGTCGTTGGCGGTCAAGGTTTTCTTGCCGATGATCCGGTAAATCTCCGTCAACACGGTCAAGAATGCGGTCTCGACGTTGGTGGACTCCAGCGCCGACGTCTCCATGAAGAAGAGGTTCTCTCTCTGCGCAAACTCCTGGGCGTCTTCCTGCGGCACCGCCCGGAGACTCCCCAGGTCGCACTTGTTCCCGATCAGCATGATCACGATGTTCTTGTCGGCGTGCCCCCGGAGTTCCTCCAGCCACCGCGCCATGTGGTCGAACGACTGCCGTTTCGTCATGTCGTATACCAACATCGCCCCCACCGCTCCCCTGTAGTACGCGCTCGTCACTGCCCTGTACCTGAAAACAAAAACAGAGGAATATCATCAATTGCTGCGATAACCCCGAAAAAAAGCTCATATAATCTTACGGATTACATAGAAACAAATAAGAATCCCCTGTTATCGAATCAAGTTTCAATCTTTATTGTGATTAATTAGTGATCTAAGATACAGAGAGAGAGGAAAGAAAAAAAGAGGTTACCTTTCTTGGCCAGCGGTGTCCCAAATCTGGGCTTTGACGGTCTTGTTGTCAATGCTGAGGGTCTTGGTCTGGAACTCCACGCCAATGGTGGCCTTGGAATCGATGCTGAATTCGTTCCTGGCGAAACGGGCCAAGAGCTGCGATTTCCCTACTGCTGAATCCCCAATCAACACGACCTTGAACACGTAATCTATCTTCTGGTTGAAATCTACATAATTCGACATTATTAATTACTGCTAACGCAATTTTTTTTCAAGATGAGATCTGGGTGTGACGATGGATTGAAGATTCAGGACGCGACCATGGAGAACCTGACATAATCGCGGTCGGAGAATGTCAGGGTGGGAGACAGCCGGCGCGGGGAATGGAATTGAATTGAATGTTTGAGATTGAGCGTGGTGAGAAGAAATGAATCGGAAATTGTTTGGACGGACGACAAAGAGAAATGTGTTTTTTTTTTTTTTTTTTGGTTTGGAGGTGAAAGCAAAAAACGGAGATGGGGGACCCAAATAACTGCCAACGACCTCTGCGGGACTCGCATTAACCAGGTTTCACTTTTTGTTCATACAAAAATGTTTTTCACTTTTTGGTTAATATAATTGACAAATTAATCATTGTTTAAATTCATAATACTTATCGTTCTTAAAAATTAAAATTCAAATTTTTCATATTGTTCTCCAGACTTACATTTCGATTTATACATTTTGTACTTTGATCAATATTGGTGTAGTTTATATTCTTATTTTTATATTTTATTATATTTTTTCATGATTCATTTTATTATATTTCACATTAATATATTTTCCAGTTTTTTTTTTTTTTTTGCTTTTTGGATAATTCTCTCTCTCGTTATTTAAGCAAATAATAAGTTTTGTTGCGAGTGCCACATAAAATACACAATAGCCATACAAAGTTTATAGGGTGGAGATTTATCAATGATGTTGATATGGAAGAAGTTTTTGTTGTCATTGACTTATTTAGCTTTTGTGTAGTTGTAGATTAAAGCAAACTAATGATAAACAAAACATACAGAAAATGAAAATATGTATACAATCAAAATCTCAATTGTCTTTGACATAAATTAGAATAAAGATGAGTTGTAGAACACCACAAATCGAGTTATCTACAATATAAAACTTCAATCGAACTCTCTACAATATAAACTTAGCATCGATTGATTCACCCCATCAATCGTGGACGAGTTGCACCTTAATTGGATCGAGCCTCTTCCCCTATTTCGTGTGTTGAAGTTGCTCTTCCCAACTCCGCCTTTGCCTCTGTTTTGTTTGTGTTCTTCCCTAGTTCTTCCTTCAAGGACGCTTGTGAGGAATTGCAAGATCGGATTATCAAGCTTAGAGGTTTGGAGCTTATCAAATGATTTTCATTACTTCCTTACCATTCTTGATGATAGATCTAGGCGTCTTTGGACATACCTCATGAAATTTAAAAGTGAGGCCAGGAAGCTCTTACAAGACTTTTGTGTCATGATACAAACACAGTTTAATAAGAAAGTGAAAATGATTAGATCTTATCAAGGAGCAGAAATTTATATACCAGAATTGTATTCCCAATATGATATAATTCATCAAATGTTCTGTGTTAAGATACCCCAACAAAATGTAAGGGTTGAGAGGAAACATCAACATATCCTAAATGTTACTAGAGCAATTAAATCTCAATTGTCTTTGACATAAATTAGAATAAAGATGAGTTGAAGAACACCACAAATCGAGCTATCTACAATATAAAACTTCAATCGAGCTCTCTACAATATAAACTTAGCATCGATTGATTCGCCCCATCAATCGTGGACGAGTTGCACCTTAATTGGATCGAGCCTCTTCCCCTATCTCGTGTGTTGAAGTTGCTCTTCCCAATTAGAGTACATATAATCCACCAGTACCCATTTTTCCACCTTTCCCATTTCCTACACCTTCTCCTCCAATGCCTACCTCACTAGGTTGTACTCCATCATTACCAAATCAACCTTTTCTAACATCTCTTTTACCAACTCCATACTCCTCAACCTCTTCCTCTTCTCCTTCTACTCCACCTCCTCAACCTTTACCTGATTCTCCAATATCAATCTCACCACAGTCTATCTTCCTATTGCTGTTAAAAAACCATGGACAGTTGATCAGATGACAAACAAGCAACCATAGGATACACAGTTTCAGTATGTGTGGCTCCTAGATGCGTCACATAATCATTGTACTCGATAGGTTTCATAGGATTTTTGGATGGTTTTCTAACAACAATAGGAAAAGATGAAGGTTGTGGATTCTTCTATTCTTCCTAGCTCCTTTGAATAAGCAGTGAGAGAAGAATTTTGGAGAAAAGCCATGGATTCAGAGCTGGAAGCACAAGATGCCAACAGAACTTGGGAGATTGTACCAAAACCTTATCACAAGAAGATAATTGGTAAGAGATGGGTGTATGTCATTGTTCACGTTGATGGATTTGTGAAAATATACAAAGCTAGACTGGTAGCTAAAGGGTTTACTCAAATCTATGCAATTGATTTCCTAGATACTTACTCTCCATTTGCTAAATTAAACTCAGTAAAGACACTTTTAGCGATTGCAGAATTGGGACATGTTTCAACTTGATGATGCTTTCCTCAATGATGATCTTGATGAAGAGGTGTATATGGAACTTTCCTCGGCATCACCAAAGCTGGTTATGTTTGCATATGAAGAAAATCCTTGTAGGACCTCAAGCAAGCATCTAGGTAGTGGCTTGCTAAACTGACTTCACTTCTTCTCTCCCTTGGTTATACTCAGTTACATATTGACTATTCTATGTTTCTACACCACTCTAAATCTTAGACATTTATTCTTCTGGTCAATATTGATGATATCATCATTGCTAGTGATGATAGCGCTGGTATGCAAACCTTGAAAAAACATTTTAGTAGTCAATTCAAGTCTAGAGATCTTGATCATCTTCATTACTTGCTCGTTTTGGAAATGGCCAGATCTAGGGAGGGATTACATATATACCAGAAGAAATATTGGGGTTAATTGCAAGATTGGTCACTGAGATTTCTAAAAGGGTTCATGTTTAGTCACTAAAAATATTTAATTTCATTCATGGTCACTAAAATTAGTAAAACATTTCAAGTTCGGTCACTCTCCGTCCAACTCCGTTAACTTTGACTGATGTGGCAGTCAACTCTTAAAGTTGACCATTAAATGTGTGACGTGGCACTTAAAAAATAAAAAAACAAAAAAATTTATATTTTAAATATTCCACCTAATTATTATTATCACTAAAAAAATAAAAATAGAAACCTAATTCTTCTACTACCTCCGCCAAACCCGCTTTCTCCTCCCCGACTCCACCCGCCGCCATGGCTTTCACCTGCATCTCCAGCGCCGCGATGTAATCCCCGACTTCCTCCAACAGATTCGGCAGCGGCGCCATCCGGCAGCCAGGAACCAGCCGGCTCAACGTCCGGATTCGCTTCTCCACAGCCAGCGGAGGATGCGATGACGACGAGGATTTATTCTTCTCCTCCTCCTCCGCCGCCGCAAATAGCTTCTGCTTCCGCCTATCCATCGACCTCGCCTCCCCGATCACTCGCGCCCGCCTCACCTTCCTGACTCTGGTCAGCCTCCGGTGGCTCGCGAGAATCGCGCGTCGAGCCGCGCTGCGGCGGCCAACACTTTATCAGCCGCGTCCCTCACCAGCGTACCGCTGGCGGCAGCGGAGGAGGAGCTCCCCCGAGAGCTCCGCAGAGCTTCGAGCAGCTTGGTGGAATAGATCCGGTGCTCCGCCTCCGTCCTCCATCTCCTCGGCTTCTCCTCTCCGGCTCCACCGCTGGTGGAGGCGCAATCGGAATCGTGTGCAATTTTTCTCTGTTTTCTCCTCTGCTGCTGTTGTAATTCCTCGGAAGAATTAGGTTTCTATTTTTATTTTTTAGTGATGATAATAATTAGGTGGAATATTTAAAATATAAAATTTTAATTTCTTATTATTTTTTAAGTGCCACATCACACATTTAACGGTCAACTTTAAGAGTTGACTGCCACATCAGCCAAAGTTAACGGAGTTGGACGGAGAGTGACCGAACTTGAAATGTTTTATTGATTTTAGTGACCATGAATGAAATTAAATATTTTTAGTGACTAAACATGAACATTTTTAGTAATCTCAGTGACCAATCTTGCAATTAACCCAGAAATATTGTACAGATCTATTAACGGACACAAGCTTTGAAAACCCATTTATTTAATTTATCATTTTCAATTTCAAATGAAAATTAATTAAAATTTTGGATTTGGATAATGGATAGTAATTATTGAACATATATATTTAGTGGTTAGTAATTTATTATGGTGAAAGAAAATTGTATACACAACTTATCCATGAGTTTTTCCTAGTATAATTTATGTAGAAATTAAAGTCAACATTTTTAAAATGAAGTGTGAGGTTAAGTGATAAGGTAAAAAGATATTGATAAGATGTTGGATTTTAAACTAATATCATAACATGACTATTAATATTGTTGGACTTAGTATCATCAAATAAAACTTGGCCTGTTGGTTAAATGTGTAACCATATTAATACAATAGACTCATACGTTGCAAGTTCAAATCTTAGACAATATATTAGAGAAAATCATTATTATTAAACAAAATACATATTCATGTGTATAATCGATCGGTTGAATAGTAAAAAAAACCAATTTCATCCATTACCTCCAATATTTGAAGTATTAAAAAATTTTACACGGGGTATTTTTGCAATTCCTAATTGTTGTAAGTAGGGGTGGCTATACAGTCCGGTCCGGTTAAATTGGCTTGAATTGATTTGGTCCCGGTCCGGTCTTTTCGAAAATATAAGGACCAAAGATTGGATTGGATACAATCCGGTCTTGATTCGGACCGGTCTTGAACCTATACAGTCCCAATTCGATCTTGATTTTTGATTGACCTGAGGCATGAAAGGGTGAGGAGTTGGTTAAATTTTGGGTGTTGGGTTCTCTTATTCGGTCTTTATCCGGATTTCGGCCGGGTCCCGAACGGTGTTTTACCTCAAATCTAAGCTCGAAGAAGGGATTGAATTGTTTGCTATCCGATCCCAATCCAGATTATATGGTCCGGTCTCGGTTAAAAACACAAAGCCTGGACCAAATAGTGTTGCAAGGGAACCCCATTTAGCTATAGAGTGCAAGGCTCTTAGCGTTGTAGTCCTCGATTCAAACCTCAAAGTCGGCGAAGAAACAGCTAACCATTTCGTTTTATAACAACTGTTTTTTGCAGAGAGGCCGTTTGAAAGAAAAGGCTCTGCCTTTGCCTCCAGATTTCTTTTCCACCCGAATACAAAATAACTGGTAGAAGATGATGAGACGAAAAACCAGAGAAATATCACATCAAATACACTTCCTTGCAACAATAGGATACATACATCATCCACCTAACTGCCCGAAACGCACAAACCAAACCTAAAAGACCTAGGAAACTACTTCCTCTAAACCAGCAGACATCTGCAACACATTCAGCAATCACAAAACCACTACCATGAGTTAGCAAGCAGCTAGCCTCAAAACACTTTACACTGCACACAACACAGACTTCTACTACTTCACCGCAGTTTTGATTCGGTCCAGGCTCTCGGACACAAACTTCATCCTCGGACGCAGCTCAGGGTCCAATTCGGTACAGTTCAACGCAATATGGAACACTGCGAGAACTTGCGTCCTGTTATCCACCTCGCCGAGCAGCTTAGGGTCGACAATCTCAGACAGGGACCCTTCCTCTCGGAACGCTTTCCTCACCAAACTCTCCAATCCCTTGCCATCGTTCTCCGGTCCTGCATCAGGCAGCTGGCCTGTGAGAAGCTCCATCAACACGATCCCAAATGCATAGACATCGGACTTCTGGCTCAGCTTGGCTCCATATGCTCGGGCCTCTGGTGCCAGGTAGGCGTTGGAGGGTGGTGGAATGATTGACCCAAGTTTGGAGGTCATGATCGTCGTCTGGTTATTGAGATACTGCTTCTTGGATGCTGAAGTTGTGAGCTTAGAGGCAGAAGAAACCAGGCGTGTGATTCCGAAGCCGGAGATGTAAGGCTGGAGCTCTTCATCTAGGAGGATTTTTGTAGACTTCATGTTGCCATGAATGCTTTTCCGCGGGCTGTACTCGTGTATGTACATTAACCCCCGAGCTGTTCCTTGTGCGATTCTTAGCCTTGCTGCCCATGGAAGTGGTGGCTGAAGATTCCCAGGCCCACCTAGAGAGAACAGACAAACATCATATAAAGAGGATGAGCAGTGGTTTCTTTGCATGCCAGGACAATCAAACAATATCTTTAAGTTATTCAAAACCATGAAAGAGCATCAAACTTCTTGATGACCCATCTATCCTGGCAGGGATGAATTCAATAAACACATAATATGTCATACCGATTATCACCCGCAGATACCTAGTTGGATCATTCAGCTGACAAAAATATTCATGCGCTCGAGACCATATTAGCTATCTATCAAAGTGGTCCATTTCCATTACCAAATTCCCATCATTGCTCATAGTGACAGGTTCAAACAACATGCATCCCACATTAAAGGTCATGACAGGAACCCGCTTGAAAGCAGAAATTGCATGTTGCGAGGACCACTAAATCTACAGCTAAAAAGATTTTCCTGCAACTTATCTCATTACTTTCAGAAAGAGACCAGGAAGGAAGTGGAGAAGAAAACAAGAAGCACTAAAAACTCCAAACGCAGTTTTTTGTATCCATCCCTAAATGACAACCCCCTAAAGGATTCACTAGCCCAGTGGAATAAGTGGACTTGAAGATCAAAAGATACCAACACCAAGAAACTTTATCACCTGCAAATTATGTTTCAAAAACTCTGTGCCTTTCTGGTATCTTTCCAAATGATGCTGGTAGACTGTTTGAAAAAGTTATCACCCAAATCTGCCCCATCTACCAGCTACCTTCTGAGATACTAATCACGATAATCCGTTTATTTCAATAACTCGAATTGTCTGGGAAACGCCTCGTAACTAGATACCAAGATGAGCAATAATAAATAGGGAATCAACAGAGACACATGCCAATCAAAACCATTTTGTCACTTTTGTTATATCCAAAAGTTAGATTAGTTTAATTATTCAAGGATCATGTTTGTCTGCCAGAGAACATCCCAGCAACCTGTTAGAAAAAAGATAAATTTTTGAACATTTCTTAAGCCATTAGCAACACATAACACCCATCAGCCTAATCCAGCCAAACTAAGATTTTCACTAAACAAATTGGAAACCCATTAAACAAATTTTAGTGGGGAGCGATTAAGACAAATCAAAACCCCAATTGATATAAACTAAACTGCGGCCAAGATTCAGAGAAGCAACCATACCATGCAGCGCGGCGTAGAGGCTTCCGTTGCGGATGAAATCAGAGACCACCAATTTCTCATCGCTGGCATAGTAATACGCCCTCAGCCGTACGATGTTGGGATGCTGGACCTTCCCGATCGCCTCCACTTCCGATTCGAACTCCTTCAGCCGCCACCCGCCGCCGCCGCCGTCGCTGCTTTCGGTCAGCCTTCTCACGGCGACCACCGCCCCCGCTCCGCCTCTCCCTCCTACCACCACTTTGTACAGTATCCCGCTCCTCCCCTTCCCGGCCACGTAAGCCGACGCCCTCAGCAGATCTTCCAATTCCAAATTAAACCCTTCGTCCATCACCACGAATTTACCCTTCTGCCCTTCCTCCTCCACGATGTCCGTACAAACGGCGCCGTTTGAACCGCTGCCGTTTGTTTCCTTGTGGTGGCGATTGCTTTCTTCATCGACTTTCCCCATTTTGCCCTTCTCAGTCCCCACAATTTTCTTCCGCACCAGCCACGCGGACACCGTGATCGCGCCGATCACCACCGTGACCCCTGAAATCAGCGGGACGGTGACGAAGCCGCTGCTCGCCTTTGATTTCTCCGCGCCGCCGCCGCTTTGGAGGCGGCTGTTGTTGCCGCCGTCGGGATCTCGACGGCGGGTTTCCGGGTCGGGGATGTTGACAGCTTCGGGGCAGGGAGTTTGGAGCGGGAACCCGCAGAGGGTCGGGTTACCCGAAAAGGCAGTGGGCCCCTGGTTCACGAGCGACCCGACCAACGGGACCTTCCCGGTCAGATTATTGTGCCTCAAATCCAAGCTGACCCGAACCGGGAACCGGCCGTAGGACTCGGGAATCTCGCCGGAGAACGAATTGAACGACAGATTGAGCGTACCCGACAGGCTCCTGAGCTCGATGAGGGACTCCGGGAGGGAGCCGTTGAGCCGATTGGAGGACAGATCGAGATGGGCGAGCAACTGGAGCGACCCGATTCGGGGAGGGACGGGGCCCGAGAGGCGGTTGCGGGACAAATCGAGGTAGCGGAGCGCGGCGGCGTTGAAGAGCGGGGAAGGGATGAACCCGGCGAAATCGTTGCCGAAGAGGGTGAGGCGGGTGAGGGAATCGAGGAGGCCGAGCTCGGAAGGGATGTACCCGGCGAGCTGCTTGTCCGGTAAGGAGAGGGAAGTGACGCGGCGGTCAATGTTGCAGACGACGCCGCGCCAGTGGCAAGGGGTCGGGTCGGATTCGGACCAGGTGGAGAGGGAACGGGTCGGGTCGGAAGTGATTGCGGCTTTGAGTGCGAGCAGCGCTAGGCCGTCTGTTGTGAGGGAGATGATGCATTGGGGAAAGATGAGAAGGAGGAGGAGGAGGAGAGTGAAAGGAACAGGGGAAAGCAATGATGGCTGCATCTTTTGATGATCAATAATTTTGAATTTCGCTTGCTATGTAAGATTCATGGGGTCATTTGGGAAGCTGGGGGAAGTTGAAAAATGAAAATGCAGCGAGGAGCTGGTTTAGCTTGGAATGAGAAAACGACGAAGAAGAGGAGGAAGAAGAAGAAGAAGGAGCGTTGTTGTTGTTGAGGTGGGAAAGTGTGAGAATTTTGAACTTGGTTGGGTGCGGAGTGGGGAAATCGAGGTGTCGGAGAAGAAGGGTGGGGGAACGTGGCCGTAGGCTGGGAGAGTGGAGTGGCAGCTGAACGGAGAGTTGGGTTTTACTGTGCAAATTTGAATTATTGAGAAGGAGAAGGTCTTCTTCTTCTCTCTCCATTTCTATCTCTCACGTCTCTCCTGCTCTGGTGGTGGATTTTTCCTTTTTTATATTGATTGGAAATGAGAAGATAACAAGGCAAATCCAGAAAGCTGGTTTTTGTGTCGGAAAATTGAAATGCAACATTTGGAATCTAATATATAAGGTGAAAATTTTTTTGCAAAAATTTTTATACTATTTGATGACAGAGGTTTGGACGTATAATTAGGAATGTGCATCAGGTCGAGTCAAATTCATGAAAAATGCGGTTTAATTGTGGAAAAAAAAATTAGAATCAAGAATTAACATTGTATTCGATTTGATTTGGCCCGGTTTAATCCGGTCCAATTTGATTCATTTTTACATTATTTATAAAGTTAATGGGTATACTCTAGGTAACTATATGTGGGATTATCCCTTGGGAGATTTTTAGGGTTCTCTATTTTTTTTCTTTATCTTACAATTTAAGGAAAAAAAATGTCTTTGTAGAATAAGCTTTGTTCAATCCGAAGTTTCAGTAGTTCTTTCAATCTTGTTGATGCTTCTCTTTCTGTTAAGTAGATAAGCCTTCGGGGCTGACTTCTAGATACTGAATCTTTATCTTCGAACTTTGGGATTGCTTGCTAGAAACTATCGAGTAGATGTCTCCTTGACAAGGTGAACAACCCAAAAATAGGTAAGAAACTACTAATCAAATAAAAAAGCCAGAAACATAAAGTGCGTCCAATTTTTTCATTTTATTAACCATAGACAAAACTCATATTTATAGAGTTACACTTCCAAATCTCTTTAATTCTTATTCTAGGCTTTGACATCTCTCCTTTTTCTTTTCATACTTGAAGTCTCCTCCTTCCCTCACAAGAAAAATTAATTAAATACTAAACAATCATTATTGTAAATCATATTCAAACTAGAATAAATATAATAATAAAATAATCTAAATAATTACAAATAATAACCAAGTACTAATGAAGGTACCAAAATCTAATTCTTTGGGTTGTCATGTAGGCTCGATCTCGTAACATCATTCATCCTTTAAAAGAACATTGTCTCCAATATTCGCAGGACGACCATTCTTGCTTCAACCTGAATCGATGTGGAAGAAGTTTCCTCTAACCTTGCAATAAACATTAATGAATGTTTGATGATTTCGTTCACGTTTATGATACTTTTAATTTGCCGAGGCATTTGATCGAAGCACCTAATACCAACAACTCCAATAATAAGTAACCCGTTCCCAGGTACCCACACTACCTTCCATGTTGTCCTTTCCCAGAATTCAAGGTGACATCTTTTAATTTCCCCGTTCTCGGCTTCTCCCCTATCAATGTACATCCCGGGACCATCTTCGTCATAGAAATCGTTTAGCAATTTTTAATATGGTCTCCACTGCCACATCATCAAGTTTAGCAATTAGATCATCTAACAATTTCTAACCACCTCCATCCCCTTGTCTTTAGAAATTTCTACTGATGGAGTTCTACACCAGTATCAGGCATTGAGTGGGCTAAAGGTCAATTTGCCTAAATCTGCAGTTTGTTTTAGCAGGAATGTTAAGGATGAGGAAGGGAAAGCTATGGGAAGGATTTTGAGAGTTGGTTCGATGGGGGTTAATGATCAGTACTTGGGTTTTCCTTATTGATTGGTAGGTTTAAGATGCACACCTTTTGGTTTATGGAGGAGAAGGTCCTATCTAGCCTTCAGGGTTGGAAGCGAAGATGTCTTTCATGGGCTGCAAAGGAGGTTTTAGTTAAATTGATAGCCAATGCCTTACCAATTCATGGTATGTCATGCTTTATATTTCCCTTGACCTTATGCCGTACACTCGATCGTCATCTGACTAGGTTTTGGTGGGGGGTACAACATGGGGAGCGTCGTATTCATTGGGTAGCCTGGAAATCTTTATGCCTTAGTAAACATGAGGGTGGATTGGGTTTCAGGAGGTTAGAGGAAGTAAATCAGGCTTTTTGGGTAAATTGGCATGGCGGATATGGAAAGATCCAGATTCTTTGTTGGTCCAGCTTTATAAAGGGAGATATTAAGTAAGGGCCTTCCTTCGTGGGCTGGAGGGGTATTCTACATGGTAGGGATGTTCTAAATTTGTTGGTTCTGCTGTTGATGTGCTCGCTGATAATTGGGTACCTACTATACATCTGCAGCCACCTAAATCGCGGCCAGGGATTGTGGGGATTCAGGGTTCGGTGGCGTCTCTGATTCATCCTGGGCAAGCAAGATGGTGTATGGACTGCTTAAGACAGATGTTTGAGGATGGTATTATGAGGGCAATTTGGCCATTCCTTTGCCGATTTCGCTGATTCCGGATAGACTGATTTGAATAGGTAATCCATCTGGATAATACACGGTGAATTCGAGGTATCATATGGTCGTGGATCAGAGGAGGAAACGAGAGTTAGTGGTGCGGTCTTGCAAATTTCTGTGGGATACGGGGTTATGGATCTGCATATGGGAAGCCCCAATCCCTCTCAGGTTGCGATATTTCTTATGGCAGCTCGTTCGGCATTTCTTATCGACGGGTGAGGCATTGCTAATCAAGGGCTGGGAGGGGCTGCTTAGTGTCCGGTGTGTGGGGAGGAAGAGGAAACTCTTGAGCACCACTTTTTCTTATGTTGGATTGCTCGATGGTTGTGGGAGGGATCGGGGGGGGGGGGCAAGGGGGTGCGTGTGGATTTGCCACCATATGGGCACCTTATGTAGGAGGCTACTTGAGGCAAAGGGCTTGGACCGTGGCGGGTTGATGAGAGTCGTGGTCTTGTTTTGGCGGATTTGGCGGTGTAGGAATGAGTGGTTTTTTAGCCCACGCAGTACACTCTTTGGGTGTTATTATGTCAGTTTCGTTTGCAGGTGGCGGAGTGGGATGCGTTGCCTCAGACTCCCATTTAATTGGGCTCACGAATGGTTGGTGGTGGTCTGCATGATGGTGGTCAGGGTGGTGGGGTTCCTTCTGTACCTGGTGGTTTGGTCATGTATGTCGACGGGGCAACTTCTTGGGGGTCTCACGGGGCAGGTGGATGGGTCTTGCAGGATGAGTGGGGTGCGACGATGGCAACAAAGATAGCGTTGTATGAGGGTGCGTTTGATACGTTTCTAACTGAGTTGCTCTCCTTATAGGAAGAAATGCAGTGGTGTTTGGATAGGGGTTTGCAATCGATGGTGTTTGCTTCTGATGTAAAGGTTGTGGTTGACCAGCTCCGAGAGGATCAATGGAATCACGTTGGTGGGAGAGCAATCCTTGGTCTTGGCCTTGAGGAGGGGTTTTGATCATATATATATTAGATTTATTGGGCGTCAGTGTAACAAGATTGTCCATTTGATGGCACGCAAAGCCCTTTCGTTGGGTTTGAATTTGTTTCCTGGTTGTTTTCGACCTCTTGAATCTTGTGCATCAGGTTGTTTATTCGGTAATACGAATGATCTTTTGACTAAAAAAAGGTCTCATTTGTCCAGGTGACATTGCTAGTGGACTTCTAATTCAGCAAACATCCACACATCCCTAACAATTGCTAACTAGTTTGCCACATAAACTCCACATCACCTTAACAATTGCTAATTGCAAGGGACGGAGATGCTCTAAGATCCACATGGAGTAATTTAGAAGCTCGTTCAAGTGGTGAGGAGGACCCCTCTCCCAGTAATCTCTGGCGACCAATGTTAGCATTGTTTTTCTACCATACACATCACCCGCTCGAACGTCCTCAACCAATGATGCAGCCGACGTTGAAGTTATAGTGCTTTTCATACGGAACCAGTAGCCACCTCTCTTCTTTCCAAGGTTGTCAAACCGGTTTATGCCGGTTTAGCAAGTGGAATGGTTCGACCGGTGGCACATATCGGCTTGTGCCGGTTCATGCCAGTCAATATTCCAAATAAAATTATAAATACTCATATTTAAACATGACGTTTAACATCAATACCTAAACATTTATGCTTGAATCCAACAAATAACATTAATATTTAACTTTTATACTCATAAAATAAACAATAAAATAATTTTTATCAATTAAATTCACTAAAACAAGGTCATTTTATTTGGAGATTCATATATCGATCATACTGGTCATACCGGTGGTGTCACGCCGGTTTTATGACCTGTACCGGTTGAACCCAACCGGTGGCACGCCGGCCGGCATGACAACCATGACTTCTTTCCCTTTTACCACTTGAATTCCATTTTTCTCATTGAAAGAAACATTAATTAAATGCTAAAAATAATTACTATAAATCACATTTCCACTAGAACCAGTATGATAATAAAATAATCAAAATTCTTCCTTAAATTCTCTCTCTTTGAATTAAAACTTGGTGCTTTATCTATATTCTTCCTTCGTCAGAAGAAAAAAAAAATCACTTCATTCATCTCTGTGATAAACAGTACTTGATATTTATTTGAATTTCAACAGCGAATATATTTCGTTGACAAAAAGAATAAAATGCAAGTGAAGTGGGGAAATTGGGCTGACGGTTAAGACTTAAGAGCATAGTAAGCTCAGCTGTCTGCATTCTGCAATTGCGGTATTGGTCGTGAAGTGATCTGTACTGTCAAATATTAGAGCATCAAATTTGGTTCCAAACAATTCTCTATTCCTTTTTTTCGTTGGACATGAAGGGGGAAATGTATATTTGGATTTTGGACGATGGGGCTCTTTCCCGAATAAAACCTGGACTGGACTTGCTTGTGAATCTAGCCTAAGCCCAAGGCCCAAGGCCCATGAGAAATACAGACGACGGTGATGATTGATGAATGATGAAGTCAAGTATATCAAGGCAGTCTAAGGAGGGATAAAAAGAAAATCATACATACATGCATACAACAACTTCATTACTCTCCTTTCACTCAATAATACCACAAATGAAGCAACATTTTAAGATGTTTTAGCAACATTTTAAGATGTTTTAGTAGGGATGGTAATTTTGGACTAACATGTTTTACACGATTTGATTGATTTGTTTTGCGGTGGGTATAGACAGGGCAGGTATGGGTATTATTCTCGACTTGGCCTATCACCTCCATTCCCGATTAAATTTTGTTTAAATTACATGTAATTGTACTCAAACTACTTAGGATTGTACTTTTACTATCTCATATTTTAGTTACAACACAGTTGTAAACATGTGAGAATCTCAATTTCTCGAATAATTTTATTACATTTATCGTAATAGTTTTTGTTTCTCGAGTATTTAATGAAACAAATACATATTTCTAATGTTTTTCTTTACAATACCCATATAGACCGGTCTGCCCTCGACCCCCACCACATGATAAGTATTCCGACCTAAACTAGACATGCCACGAGACGGATACGTATATCGAGATATCCACCCTCCCCGACACATGTCCATTGCCATTTCCATCTTTAAGTCTATCTACACAAAGCTTGTTAAAAATTCTTTTGGCTCGAGCATCTCGATTTAAGCTCGCAAAAACTAGAACAATGAGTCGTTAACATCACAGACAACAAGCCCAACAGAGCGCTCTCTCTAGCCGGTGAACGCACACTTTCTCCATTAGTATGTTTTTATCATAGCACCAATTTAGTATGTTTTTATCATAGCACCAATCTCCTAAATTGGGCACTTCATTTTTGAATCTCGACTCGATGATCAGATAATAAGAAAACACATGACTTCTAATCAACTACATATACACAGACTCCAAATCATCGCAACAAAACAATTCGTTAACGACATCATATCAACTAGTTTAAACCGTAAAAATTCAACAATGAGGTTGTACAAATTTTTTTTTTATCCAGTCATCAAAATTGTTTTTTTTTTTCCTTCCCAAAAATACTCCAACTACTCATTTACTCTTCTGCACACCCACCACCACCCTCATTAATTGACTACCATCTTCTGCAGCAAATTAATGGCCCGGTTTTACGAACCCAACGCACCTCCATTAAAAGCTTGATTTCTGAATCTTTCTTTTCCCTTCCCTCTCTGGTCAATTTTTTTCATTAAATGCCTCTCCCCCACCTCTATTAATTCTTCTCCCTCTCTCTCTCTCCGTCAGAGAAAAGAAGAAAAGAAAAAGAAATTCCAACACCCCGCCCGCCGCCGTACTTCCTACAGAAACCCCGCCGCTTTCAACGAACGACGGCGAATTGTATCCTCCACGTCGCATTTCACCTCATGCTGTGGCTGAATCTGTCCGGAGAAATTAGGGCCTCCGGATCCCCACACCTCAGCCGGCTCGACGAGAACACCGACGACGGTCTCAGGAACATCGGACTCGTCATGGACTTGCTCCGTCGCGAGGAACCGCCGCCGCCGTGGTGGTGGTGGTGGTGCGCGGGGAATCGCTCCGAGAGAGGGAAGAAACCGCCTCCGCCTCCAGATCTCCGTCGGAAGAAGGGCGATTTGATCCCCGATCTGTAGTAGTACCTGAACGACGAGAACAATCTAGGCTTGGAAGAATTCGACAGGTACGATCCGAACGGGGACGGCCGCTTGCTCCACGCCGATGATCTCCTGCTCGATCTCCACGGCGACACCGTCGCCGGCTCCGTCACCAGCATCCTCTCCGACCGCTCGAATCCGAACGAGTAGGACCGCTTCAGCCGGATGAAGTTGTTGCTGCTGCTGCTCCCTCCTCCTCCCTCGGCGGCTCGATCTTCCAAATTGCAATCCCTAATTCCTTCCTCCTCAGCGCACGGCGTGATCTCGGACAGCTGCCGCGGCGGTGGAGAATCTCTCATTCCTCCCGCCGGCTCCGTACGACTGGCTACGGTAGTTGGAGAACTAATAATTGTATCGTCGTTGTTGTTGTGATTGCGGAGAAGGAAGAGATTCGTGTCGTCGATGAGACTGGGCCGAATTCGCGCCGCCATGAGCGGCACGAATTCCGGAGGCCGGAGGAAAATCCTGGCGCGGCAGAGCGGGCAGTTGGCGTGAGACCTAAGCCAGATGTCGATGCAATCGACGTGGAAGGCGTGAGAGCAGACGGGAAGCTTGCGGACGTAATCTCCGTCTTCGAATTCCAGCAGGCAGACGGCGCAGTCTCTGCAGGCGGCGGCGGCGGCAGGGGAGGGCAATTTACGGAAGCTGCTGCCGCTGCTGTAGAGGGAGATTGGAATCGTCTTGATCACCGACTCGTCGAGACCGTAGGGAGAGGCGCCGGCGTAGATGTGGTGGAATCCGTCGGGGGAGTCGAAGAGCGGCGGGGGCGAGTCGAGGTAATCGCCGGCTCCGTTGGTGGACGGCGGGGAATTCGGCAGGTAGGATCTCCGTCGGCGGCCGCGCCTGCGGCGGTAGCGGCGGAGGAAGAGGATGAGGTAGCGGGAAATGAGGCGGGAGTAGGTGATCAACAGCAGAGCCGTGGCCACCACGACGACCATTGCGATCAGCGGCGGGCTCAAGTCAACGGTCAACTTCGACGAGTACGGGGAGGAAGAGGAAGAAGACGACGGTAGCGAAGAAGCAGCTCCCCAGTCCGGCGGCAGAGAGAAGGAGGACGACGATGATTGTCCTGAGGAAGACGCGGCAGGAGAGGAGGATGGGGAAGGTGATGGTGCTCGGTGGAAGTGGTGGTGGTGGTGGTGATGGCCGTGGGGGGAAGGGGCGGCCGCGGTGATGGTCATCGTTTCCGCAACCGCTTGGCGGTGGCGGGGAGAGGAGATTTGATCAATCAAAACTCTTTTTTTTTTTTTTTTTGTTTGGATTTCTATGGTGCCTGGAGAAAGGGAAGGTGGTCGCCAGCCAGATTAGAAGAAGGGGGGGGGGGGGGGGGGGGGGGGGTTGGAAGGACACGTCAACGTTGATGAATTTAAGGCGTCTTTATGTGGAGTTTTATAATCATGTGCGGACCGTAACAGTGAATCTGGAAGAGAGAAAAAAAGAGTACACACTAATTTGGGTTTCAGCTTTTCACACTCGGGGAATGGGATGGGGATATTTTGGAGGGACACGTGGCATGGTGATGTTTGAGGGAACAAGTTCGCTGGAGGTGGAGCGGAGTGCAGGGGAAAACGGAGATAAGGAGGAAAGTGGGGGCCCGTAAGTGATGATGGATTTCCAACTCGGACCACTTTCCATGGGCTTTTGTGGACTTACCAGTTACCACCAGGGCCCAGGTACTGCCTTCCTCAATCTTCATGCTTCAGGACTTTGCACGACTCCGTTTTAATATGGCAGAAGGAATGCATTTCACTTAGGGGTCGTTTGGAATAAGAATTTAGTTAAGTAGAGATTTGGCCACAATCACTCAATTAAAATACCTAGTATTTTAAACCCAATTTTTGTGTTAAATATTTTGTTTGTTTGTGAATGGGGATTTATTAGTTAGGGAATTTAATTCTAACAGCAATTGTGAAATTACAGTTATACCCTTCACGGATCAATCGTCGTCGGTCCACCGCCTTGGCTCGTCGCCGGCCCCTTATCCCCTTGTCTGACACTGACAAAAATCACCCACCCTGCCCTAAAAAAAAATCGCCTAGCAGAATGATCCCTTCCCCTCTCTTGGATGAAACAAATACATTCAGACACCAACTCTCTGCTAACCCCGAAAGCTTGATTTGGTGCAGATGGCAACGGCGACGACTTGATGGTAGTGGATCCAGCCTCTTGCGAACCCAGATTCGCCGAAAGAAGGAAGAATCAGAGCGCAGTGGTAGAACAATGCATCGATTTGCTAGCGATTATTCCATAAAAGAACCCAGAACGGGAGAATTATATACATCTTCTCCTGGGTTCTCCGGCGACCTCGCGAGCCTTCTGATTCCTCGCCAGTCTCCATCATCCTCTCACTCTACGACGGAGTCTCAATCTTTCGGAACAGGGAAAAGAATCCCTAGCTCTCTTCCCCTTCGCCAGGAGATACAAACTAGGAAGTTGGCGGTCGATTAGATCTGATTGGGTATTGTTGACTGTACATTGGGTTTCAAATCTGAATCCTTTGGTGACCGGCGCAGGGGAAGAAGAGCAGAGTGCGGCGGAGGAAGATGAGAAAGGAGATGAGTCGGGGGCGGCGGTGGAGGAGAATGTGGTGGTGGTTGGAGAGTTTGCGTCGTCGGTCATCTTCTCTGAGCTCCTTCTCTCCCGCGTCCAATTCCGACGAGATTGGCTCCAGTACGCTGCGAAGGGACACGCTGGGAACAAACCATAAATTAATGCCGGATTTTAAAAATACTTGGGGGCTCCTAGGTATTCCCAATTCCGGACTAGGCCGAATTTAAAATTTCTAGTGGCCCAAATCTCTGATGTTTTTAGAGCTATCCAAACAAGAGAATTTATTAAATTCCTGGATGGGCCGGAATTGGGGCCAAATCCCTGCCCACTTTTCTGGATCCAAACGACCCCTTAGGGTTATAGGTATAATATGTCACTATACTATGATGTTTTATCAAACATGCCCCTCTATTATTTTTTACATCATATATGCTCCTGTACTTTGAAAAAATTATCAAACATGCCCTTCTGTTAAAATTTTCATTGAAAAAATCGTCAATCATGGTTGAACCGAGATTTAGACGAACCGACATCGGCAAATGTGAGCGAAAATGTCAGTTTTGTCTCCCATTTTATTTCTCAGGATTTCAAATACAATAGATTTTGGAAATGTCAGTTTCTAAAAAACATTTTGAAGTACATGGATTTCAAATACAAGTATTTAAAACACATTCATTTCAAATACATTGTATTTAAGATACATGGGTGTGTTTGGATAGAATGATTTTGATTTGATATTTGTGATTTGGATTTCTAAATGTCAAATCATTTGTTTGGATATAAATCACATTTGGTATTTGAATTTGTGCCAAATTCATGGGGTGATTTCCAAATACATGTCTAGTGTATTACTTGTCAACTTCAAATACATTTCAACCACTAGTGATTTGAAATACCTCCTAACAAAAGATTGGATATATTTGTAAAATTTTAGAAGTTTAGTTGCTATAGTGTGAGGGAAAAGATATAAAGGATCAAATAAATTAAGGGGTTTCAAAACCTCTATCCATTCTCTTAGGAACACATCTTCAAGTTTTCTATCAACTAGACGAGTGGAGATTTTAGGGGTCCTTTGGAAGTTATGATTCTATATGAATGATTCTTTGAATTCATGTATTCTGGAGAATCCATCATTTTTTTGTCTCAAAACTTTGTTCAATACATGGATTTGAGTTGGGCTTTCAAGTCTCATATCATCAACAATCACTCATTTTAAATCTCAACAAAAAAGTGAGATTCTCCCTTTGAGATTGTGGGCTTTAGTTTGTTCTACTTTTAGGCTTTTAGCTCATAAAGTGATTTTTTTTTCTTTAAAAATTTTAAATTGCCACAAACAAATAAGACATTCTTTCAATCATCTAATTGTTACAATCTTTGTATTTACAACAGATGTATTCATCAAATACACATATTTGAAGAATCTCAACTTCCAAACGACCCCTACATATATTTCAAATGCTAGTATTTCAAATACATGCATTTTAATTACATTTATTTCAAATTCCTTACATTTGAAATACACCTATCCAAACAAACCCATATTTAAATTCCAAAACGCACCCTTATAATGTGCGCAAGTCAAAATTCTATTACAGAACAAGTGTAAAGGACTGCCTAATAATTCTTGGTCAATAGAACTATAGAAGAGCTTAATTATCCCATACAGATTAAGAAGCAAGAGAGAAGATATTGAGACTGCTCAAGCTGGACATTGAAATTTGAGACGGAACAACCTACTTTACACCGTTACTGCGTTACACACAATCCCAAGTTCACCAAATAAGAACCTACACAAACCATTGATCACAAAATGAAATCGAGGGTACATTATCAAATCCCCTTTGCAAGTTGCAACTTATCATAATAAGTTAATAACCATGTGAGCAAGCATGATATATACAGAAATGCAAGTTACATAATGATTAAGCATAATGATCATTCATAAACATGGATTTCTAATATTCTACAAATGATTTAGTAAGAACTTAATTCAATATTAACTGACAAGACGATTTTTGGAGCGATATGCAAGAGTTTTTGTAACAACTTCGAAGTTAAACATGCTTAGTGCAAAGCAAGTGTAAAGATGGGCGGCAACCTAAGAAGTCATTATGATGCAACCTAAAAGTAAAAACCACGCGAAAATAGACTCAAAGCGGACAATATTTTGGTTAGAAAAATGGTTGGAATGTTATATTAATTATGTGAATTAAAAAAAAATGATATTAGACTAGAGAGCTACTCATCAGTGCTATTGACCACTCCGACAACAGCAATTAATACATAGAAATCTCCAACGTCGTCGAAATAAAACCAAAGTATGAATTGATATAACAAACGACCACAAGTTATTGACTTGACCGATATTCAATCGTTAAAAATTTGTTAATGAACTGATACCTCATAGGAACAATATAAGTACTCGATACATAACAACACTTTAAAACATATACCCAAAATAGAGTATATAGTCTTAAACAAATTTAAACCACAAAATATTAAAATGACCGAAAATTTTAAACCACCAAGCATTAGATTCTGATGTGGCTTCCGTTACTTAAACCACAAAATGCCCAAAAACTATTTGTTTTTTTTTTGCTATTAGATTCCTCTGAAAAAGAGGGCGAACAAAGTTCACAGATACAAGAAACCTATCTACTACGTAACCAAGCAACATAGTCGAACCTCGCTATCTGACGAGGCGACAAACCCAGAGCATGCTTTGCTACCGAATGAGCTACTCTGTTGTTCAAACGTCCAACAAATTGGAGGGAGACTGAGGAAAGAACTTGAAGAAGCAAAACAATTTCCTCGAGCAAAATCCCGATCTTGGAATCGCACGTGTCGCCAGCTCGACATTTGTCCAAAATAACTTTAGCATCACCTTGAATGTGGATATTCTGAAGTTGAGCCCGAGTACAATGCACTAGACAATCACGCAAGGCCAGAGCTTCAAGAACATATGGATCACTGCAGGCAGTATACCGAGTCGCTTTAGCAGTGATGATATCGCCAGAGATGTGACGAACGACAAAAGCTGCTGATCCGTCCTCTCCCTGTCTAGTACCTGCATCAAAAGAGCCCACAAAAAGCACATTTGGCGGCACTTGAGGAGTATTGGAGTGAGTTGTTGCTGCTGAAGTCACAGTACTGTGATTCTGCAGAAGGGCCTGGTCATTCTACTGTACTTGGTGCCTCCATTGTGCAGCAAGCTCTTCCACACGGACCTGCTTGAACTCAAAAACAACTTTATAACGATTTTTCCATATCCTCCATAACAAACAAATTACCTGCATGTAGAGGTAGTCAAAATCTTCACCAATCTCCTTGAACAACGAGTACCGGATGAAACCTATGAAAGATCTTTTTTCCCAACGACCTAGATACCTATGCATACCCACCATCCTCCATAAACGTCGAGCAGCCGGACAACGAAAAAACAAATGCTCAATTGTTTCTTCTTTCTTAACACACACCGGGCAAATGGGAATGATATCCATCCCTCGCGTTACTAAAGCTTCACGAGTCGGGAGGATTCTGTGAACACATTGCCATAAGAAGAAGTGTAACTTCGGCGGAACTTTCCTTCCCCAAATCCAATTCCAAACCGAAGGATCCATGAAAGCAATATTAGATTTGGACGGAATTGGACGACAGCGCCGAAAGGCAAGATGAAAACTATTTGTTTACCAAGTAATAAAGTTAAAACCCAAAGCCCACAAATAGGCCCCACAAGCCCACATGCCCTTGCCTCCCGTAGCCCAAATATAAACCCACGTACACCCTGCCTCAGCCCACCCTTCTTTCTTTGGTCCGTCGTCGGGCTTCGGCCTCAAGAAATGAGTAGATGGACACTGGAGGCAATCGGAACAAGAGGGAGCGGCTGGAAAGCTTTGAGCTGACTGGCCGGCTTTCTTCGGTTCGAACGGTTAATCGTTTGAACCGCTAATCTACCGTGCGGTTCAAAGCAGGTGGCTAAAATTCAATGTTGTCAGAACCGAATCGAAGCATGACCCGATAATGCGAACGGCTCGCACTTTAGTGGTCCAACCGGCATTAGACCGTTTAACAATCGTTAGAAAACCGGTACCTAATAAACGTTATCCGTATAAATAGTGGACATTTCTTAATCAGAGCTCGTCTCTTTCCTTCGAAATTGTGAAATGGAAATAAGGATTCAGTTTGAGAGCCCGACGTTTTTGGTTTATTTCAATTTTCTTCAATTTTTTAACAACCGACATGATGATAGTTTTGAACCGCTAATCTACCGTGCGGTTCAAAGCAGGTGGCTAACGCTAAATGATAGTTTTGAACCGACATGATGATTGTGTCTCATTCTATCAATCCACCCGACCGGCTCGATCCAATTGTAACAACCATTGCTCTGTTTTTATAATTGGATATGATATTCAATAAAAAATTTAGTGATTATGGTCCAATGGCTAATCATTATAGAAACGTTGATAAAATCGTTCATGCGCTATGATATAAAATACATATATAATAGACTAATTTATGAATATATTTATAACTAACCATAAATAATTTCAAATTCATATCGTCCATCACCAAAAGTTCGAACAAATCATTTAAACTATCTCACAAAATAACACATAACTTCGTTATTAAATTCAAGTTAGTAATTATGGTGGCAATCCCTAGTGAACTACGTAAAGTCAATAAGGAGTTTAGGAAAACGAAGAAGAGGAAGCAAAAAGTAATGTATTAATTCATAATGGACGATCTTAGTTTATGTCAATTTTTTTTAGATGAGGGTGATATAGGTTTGCTTTTATTATTATTTTTATTTTGTAGTTAAAATGATGATCTAGTGGAACTGTCAAACCTGGGTGGTTATCCATGCAAAATCGTTCAAAAATGTTTAGTCCACCCCCAATCGTGCAAGTCTACATACATAAAGGCAAAACATGGGTTGTAATTCTCCCATTTCAAATTGCGTGGCTTGAGGAATACTATCCCAGTGTTAAAAGCAGATGTCGAGATGTTAAGGCACGTGTCAGATGTTCACACTCCTAAAGTGTACAAAATGTTCGAAGAAGAATATGTAGGTGAAACTGAGTGGAGGTCCGAACCGACTGATGTTGAAGAAGCATCGAATGAGTTGTAGTTAGGGGGTCAAAGCAGGGGATTGCACGATTGATAAGATCAACAAAACTGAAGGTTAAGTAGAATAAAAATAAAATATGGTGGTAGAGTACAAAGCATCGTGTTCAATTTGAGTCATCTCAACAAATACTTAAATGCAGTTGCAAGAAGTTTGACTTTGTGGGAATTTCGTGTGCTCATGCTTTGAAAGTTCTTGACAAGAAAACTATAAAGAAAATCCCAAGAGACATATATATATATATATATATATATATATATATATATATATGATGCCTTCTACGGTACCCCGGGTGAAATCCTGGGTACCGCATACCTTGAGTATGAAAACACTATCTAGACCTCGAATTAGCAGGATTTTTTGCCATGATACTATACCCTAACCCTTAATGAGTGAACCCTAGGTTCTAATTATCTAAATCATAAACTATAAACCCTAAGATGGTGCATTGATTATTTTGCCTATATTTGGATGAATAATAACCGTTGATTATTGTTTCTAATTAAATTGATATTGGAGTATAAAATTTAGAGAATTAAGATGTAGATTTTGATCAAACGGTGACCAAACGGTTGACCAAACGGTGATTAAAGCAATGTTAACTTTTGTTGAAGTGGTAGAAAATGTGGCATCCATATAGATGCCACGTCTTTAACACATAAATTTTATAATTAAAAATACTAAAACGGTTGACCAAACGGTGATTAGAGAATTAAGATCTTAATTCTATTTCCACCTCTAGCAGTTAGGTTGGTGGAGTGGAGCTAGAACTTGGAGTGCCCTTAGCAATTCCTTTGATTTCCTTTATTGAATTAAATTTCAACTCTGTCATCTCCTCTCCCTTACTCTTTAGTTGCTTCAAGACCCCTTCAAACATTGCATATAATAGAACCTGCAAAGCTGAGATCAAAGATTCTTTTTCTACTCCATAGTTGGTACAAAGCCCCTTCAATGTCTCTCTTATCTTTCTTTGCATGCCATTGCCAACAAACAATGGACCACCATCAATGCATCCCACCCTTCCAATAAGCCCTATCTTTGTACTTGTGAAAGTTGAGCTACCATAACGAATCAAGGTTTGGTCTAGTGATAACACCACTAGTTTCGAACTTGAAGATTTTAGATTCGAATCTCTTAAATTGTATTTACACAAAAAACTAATACCATCCTTATTATATTAAAAAAATTGTCTAGCATAAAAAGAAAGACGCAAGACGGGTATGGAATATTGCAACATTTTGGCAAAGGGAACAGAGCACTACATGAAAAGGTTGAAAGCGAACATTTTCCATCACATAAATCGGTGTTTGTGAAACTACAACGATTTTATCCCAAAAAATCTCCTTTCAAAGTCTAGATTAATCGACAGTTGTTAACGACTTAAAAAGGTTAAACTACGACTTAAACACAAAATGCATGCATGTTTTTTTTTTGTACAATGTACTCTCGATACGATTTCAATCCTTACACGTAAGGGGTGTCAGTTCGGGTCGGGTTCGGTTACCCAAACCGAAACCCGAAAAAACCCGAAACCAAAATTCACTAAAACCGAACCCGAACCCGATAAGGACTTGTGGGTTTCGGTTACCCGAAAGCCAAAAATTCCTTATTGGGTTCGGGTTCGGTTAAAGCAAAACCGAAACCCAAAAACCCAAACACCTTAAAATACGGGCTGAGTTCTATTCATTGGAGGTTATTAGCCGGAACCCGAAAAACCAATAAGCAAAACCGAACCCAAAACTGAAAAACCCATAACCCGAAACGAACCTGAAAAACCGAAAATGTATATAATCGGGTCTGTTTCGGGTAAACCCAAAAAACCGAACCCGAATGGACACGCCTGCTTACACGTACAAACCTTACCGCCCCCGACCCTTGTAATAATCAAAGAATCAAATCTTTGATATCACTAGCTAGCTATCTGTCAGACGCGTGATCAATTATATAGGCGAGAATAAAACTGTTGCATCAAAATAATATGATGGACCACAAAATTAATCATGCCTCCAAGAATTGTGAAATTAAGTTGATATAGGATTGGGCAACGGCAAATATATTAACCGTTTTTAGTATTTTTAATTATAAAATTTATGTGTTAAAGACGTGGCATCTATATGGATGCCACATTTTCTACCACTTCAACAAAAGTTAACATTGCTTTAATCACCGTTTGGTCAACCGTTTTCTCTAACGATCTTAATTCTCTAAATCTTATGTATTAAAGGTGGCTGTTAGAGGTAGGTGGCTGGAAAATGTTCTAGCTCCACTCCACCAACCTAACTGCTAGAGGTGGAAAGAGATCCTATCCGGTTAAACGGTAGAGGATTAACTCGATTTAGATTTTCATTTCCGACGAAAATGTAAACATAAAAATGGACTATTACTTATACGATTTTAACCAAAATTGGATCAAATAGTTCTAATTACGGATCGTACGTGTAAGGATCAAGGATTGTGAAATTATATAGAGAGTTATATGTACTAAAAAAATTAACAGTCAGATATTTTGTGCTTAAACCGTAGTTCAATTGTTTTATACCTCTAACAGCCACCTACCAATTTAGAAACTTGTGAGAGATTTTTTTCAGTCGGATTGCTACAGTTTCGCAAACACCGATTTATTTTATGGAAAATGTTGGCTTTAATTTTCATCTTTGCATGATGAGCCATATTTCTCTCTATGCTAGCCCAACTTTCACAAGTACAAAATTAAAATGGATTTGTCTCATTGATGTGTAGTTGGTGGAAGAGAGCAGTTGTTACTGTTGGGGGTATTACTAAAGGGGCCCAAGAAGAGCCCATTTAGGTGAAGGTAGCCCAAGGCCATGGGCCAGGAGAAGAAGCCCGGAATTGTTGAGGGCATTACTAAAGGGGCTCAAGAAGAGCCCAGTTAGGTGAAAGTATCCCAAGGCAATGGGCCAGGAGAAGAAGCCGGCAAAGCCCATTGCACTCCAGGCAGCATAGGCATGGAGACAAAGCACTAAGGGCCAAAGAGGTCCAGGCTGGCAAGTGGTCCCCCGCCTGTGGGCGCCTGCCAGCCGACAGAAGCCTGACAAGGTGGTTGGGGCTTCTGACAGAAGTGAAGGTACAAAGCATTTAATGAGATGGTGACGTGGAGGAGATCCACCTCGAGCTCGGTGAGTATAAATATGGGCAGTTGGTAGCATTTACACAGGTTGGACTCTCTCACTAAAACTTATAGTTTCATACTTCTCTCTCTATAATTGGAACTAACTTGGGCGTCGGAGGATTAATGGGCCCAGGCGCCCCCCTCAGTGTGTGTGTAGGTCAGGCGCCTAAGGATTGGCTAGTAGGACTAAGGCGCACCAAGGAGCGGGCTTCAAGTGCGTGTGTGTAGGTCAGGCGCCTAAGGATTGGCTAGCAGGACCAAGGCGCCCCAAGGAGCGGGCTTCAAGGTGAGGCGCCTACAGGGCGTTAAGTAGGAATCGGGCGCTCAGAAGATCAGGCTCCAAGTGCGTGTGTGTAGGTCAGGCGCCTAAGGATTGACCAGTAGGACCAAGGCGCCCCAAGGAGCGGGCTTCAAGGTGAGGCGCCTACAGGGCGTTAAGTAGGAATCGGGCGCTCAGAAGATCAGGCTCCAAGGTAAGGAGCCTAAGGTGTGACCAGTAAGGCGAATTGTATGGGCACAAACAATTGGCGCGCCAGGAAGGGGAATATAACCAAGAATCATGAGTAAGGAGGCGCCTACAAGTGGGAGAGGAAGAGGAAGCGCATGACACAAAATAAAGAAGGAAAAAGAGGCGCTTTCAAAATTAAGAAAGAGAAGGCTTTGTGCAACGACTGATTGGCGTCGCAAAGCTAGAGGCGCAATAGAGGGACATTTAGAAAGAAGAAAAAAAAAGGCACCGAGTCCATCTACTCGACACAAGAAGCACTATATTCGTCGCATCATGACAGGCGACTCTAACCCAACATGGGCTTCAACATTGAATCAGGCGCCTATACTAGTGGACTACTATAAAATTCTCATTTCACCGGAGACACCTATAATTAAAAGAGCATTTCAAACTAGGCTAACGTCTGGGCACCCATCTCCTATTTGGGCTCGACGCCTCCCTATCTGGTTTAAAAGAGGCCCTAAGCGCCTAATTTCATTGAGGTGCCCATTTCATCTATGAGCCAGATGTCTTCTCCTATTTTTATCTTGAAATTTGGGAGCAAGTTTAAAGCCCAAAACAGAGAGGCTCGTTAAGCCCAGGAGCTCGGTCCGAAGCCCAAGAGAGGTTGACACGACTTATTAAAGCCCAGATGCTCAGTTTAAAACAAAGGGTTAATAAAATGCCTGAGTGAAGCTTTGCACCTCATACCTTCTAAAGAAGAACGGGCGCCTACGCCATCAGGCTAAGTTACAAGTTGTTGTCATCTATTCGTATGCGTCATTATTTCACTTAGGAGCCTCGCAAGCGTTAGCATGGGCTTCGCCGCGGTTGGCATGAGCTTCAACACACTCAAAACAAGCTAAGTACTTTGTTTTTTTGTGAAATTTGGTGTTACCTCCATGATATATCGCTTTGTTTTGAAATGTTTGGTGCACCCAAATAAAATCTTTTGTTCGTAATACATAAAGCGCCCGAAATATAGCGCCCTTGATTGGAAATACTCTCCACGCCCAAATCTAGCGTCCTAATATTTGAAAGATCTCTAAGGGAGATGTAAAGCGCCCGTAATACACAAAGCGCCCCGCAATACCTAAAGCGCCCGAAATACTCAAAGCGCCCGGAATATCAAAGTTGTCGAGATAGAATGTTACGTGGCACTCCAAGCCTCAAGTTTACACAATTGAAGGGAGGCATTTTATAGGCGTCTGTTTCGAGAGTAAAGATGTTGGGTCGTGTGTCTTGCAAAAGGAGGCGCCTGTCATGAGTTAGCAATGTATGCAACGGTCAGGCGCCTGTCACAAATGTGACGATGAACGAGAGGAGGCATTTTACAGGCGCCTACTTCGAAAGTAAGGATGTGGGGCGTGTGCCTTGCAAAGGGAGGCGCCTGTCATGAACGAGCAACGTATGCAACGGTCAGGCGCCTGTCATGAATGTGACGATGAACGAGAGGAGACATTTTGCAGGCGCCTGTTTCGAAAGTAAGGATGTGGGGTGTGTGCCTTGCAAAGGGAGGCGCCTGTCATGAACGAGCAACGTATGCAACAGTCAGGCGCATGTCATGAATGTGACGATGAACGAGAGAAGGCATTTTGCAGGCGCCTGTTTCGAAAGTAAGGATGTGGGGCGTGTGCCTTGCAAAGGGAGGCGTCTGTCATGAACGAGCAACGTATGCAACGGTCGGGCGCCTGTCATGAATGTGACGATGAACGAGAGGGGGTATTTGCAGGCGCCTGTTTCGAAAGTAAGGATGTGGGGCGTGTGCCTTGCAAAGGGAGGCGCCTGTCATGAACGAGCAACGTATGCAACAGTCAGGCGCCTGTCATGAATGTGACGATGAACGAGAAAAGGCATTTTGCAGGCGCCTATTTCGAAAGTAAGGATGTGGGGCATGTGCCTTGCAAAAGGAGGCGCCTGTCATGAACGAGTAACGTATGCAACGGTCGGGCGCCTGTCATGAATGTGACGATGAACGAGAGGGGGTATTTTGCAGGCGCCTGTTTCAAAAGTAAGGATATGGGGCGTGTGCCTTGCAAAGGGAGGCGTCTGTCATAAACGAGCAACGTATGCAACGGTCAGGCGCCTGTCATGAATGTGACGATAAACGAGGGGGGGGGGGTAATTGTTGGGGGGTATTACAAAGGAACAAGTTCAAGTAAAAACTCAATGTAGCTCATTGGGGCAGTGGAAAGCAAACCCCACATTTGGGCCCAGAAAGGTGGGTAGGTCGAATTTGGGTAGCAAGGAGAGCACGCAACCCAGGCGCCTAGGTCCAGAAGGAGGAAAATCAATAATTAACAGGCGCATGATTCAATAAGACGAGGCGCCTGTAACAAGGAAAGGGGGGGCATTTACTGCGTAAGGACGAGGCATCCCACTGAGCGAAGATGCGTGAAGTGCCTAAGTACGGAAAAGTTGCTCAGGAGAAAGCGCCCCACCTTGACAGAACCAAGCGCCTGCCACGAGACACAGTGGGAGCCTTATTCTAGTGGTAAGACGAGACAATATAGTCAGACCCTCAAGCTTTGGGAACTTGAGAGCCTAACTGGGGGGCAATTGTTGGGGATATTACAAAGAGGGCCCATTTGGTCACACGAGCGGGCGCCCGAGCGCAAGACGAGCGTAGATTGATGACAAGGACTCGGGGGTCAAAAGTTAAACTCAGGCGGATAATTGAGCGCCCGCCAAGAATTAGTGGTGCATACTAAGCGTCCAAGCCAAGAGATCAGTTAGGCACTCAAGTAAGGGACTATGAGCGCCTAACTGGGGGGCAATTGTTGGGGGTATTACTAAAGGGGCCCAAGAAGAGCCCATTTAGGTGAAGGTAGCCCAAGGCCATGGGCCAGGAGAAGAAGCCCGGAATTGTTGAGGGCATTACTAAAGGGGCTCAAGAAGAGCCTAGTTAGGTGAAAGTATCCCAAGGCAATGGGCCAGGAGAAGAAGCCGGCAAAGCCCATTGCACTCCAGGCAGCATAGGCATGGAGACAAAGCACTAAGGGCCAAAGAGGTCCAGGCTGGCAAGTGGTCCCCCGCCTGTGGGCGCCTGCCAGCCGACAGAAGCCTGACAAGGTGGTTGGGGCTTCTGACAGAAGTGAAGGTACAAAGCATTTAATGAGATGGTGACGTGGAGGAGATCCACCTCGAGCTCGGTGAGTATAAATATGGGCAATTGGTAGCATTTACACAGGTTGGACTCTCTCACTAAAACTTATAGTTTCATACTTCTCTCTCTATAATTGGAACTAACTTGGGCGTCGGAGGATTAATGGGCCCAGGCGCCCCCCTCAGTGTGTGTGTAGGTCAGGCGCCTAAGGATTGGCTAGTAGGACTAAGGCGCACCAAGGAGCGGGCTTCAAGTGCGTGTGTGTAGGTCAGGCGCCTAAGGATTGGCTAGCAGGACCAAGGCGCCCCAAGGAGCGGGCTTCAAGGTGAGGCGCCTACAGGGCGTTAAGTAGGAATCGGGCGCTCAGAAGATCAGGCTCCAAGTGCGTGTGTGTAGGTCAGGCGCCTAAGGATTGACCAGCAGGACCAAGGCGCCCCAAGGAGCGGGCTTCAAGGTGAGGCGCCTACAGGGCGTTAAGTAGGAATCGGGCGCTCAGAAGATCAGGCTCCAAGGTAAGGAGCCTAAGGTGTGACCAGTAAGGCGAATTGTATGGGCACAAACAGTTACTATTTACTACTGCTTCTCAACTATTTTCATTCACCCCTATGGCCCATTCTTTTGTACTATTTTTTACTTTTACTGTTTTACAGTTGCAGTTTATGACATTTAATTCAGAAGACTGAAGAAGTAAATGCCGCAAGACCAACACAGTGCTCCCCCAACTGCAAAGTGCAAACCCAAGTTAAATTGGTGCATGGAAGAAAACTCACCAATTTTCTCTAAAGCAGACCATTGTCATGGTTGAGTCTAGGTGTGTAGGCAGGATTTTGTTGATGGTGAGTAGCCGAACCTAAGCTACAGTTAAAGGCAAACAAAAGAAAAGAGAGAGAGTGAGACAGACAGAGAGAGATAGAGAAATCAAGTTACAGAAGCTAAGCTAGCCATGAACGGCGGGTCAAGCTCCGGCGGAGGAGGAAGCCGTTCCAACAGTGGCCACAGCGGTAGCGGCAGCGGCAGCGACAGCGACGATGAAGCAGCAACTGGGTTCCTTTTCCTCAACCTGGGCGACTACAGCCTCAGTTACTGCAACGCCTCCCTCAACATGTCCGCTGCCGAACTGAAAGAGTGGGTCAATGAACACTACGGAGTGCCGACAAGCCGGATCAAGCTCTACCAGGAATCCCACGCCGCCGCGGAAGATGGGGATCTGATGGATGACCGCCGGACGATGGCTTACTACGGCTTCACCAAACACCGTCACCACGTCTACCACATGAGGGTGGCGGAGCAGCGGCAGAAGGCTCTGATACCATGTCAAGAACCAGTTGATATCAATAACTCGAGTTGTTGGGAGAAGTTCAATCGTAGATCATATACTACAACACTAATACAGAACACCCCCTTCTTCTTGTGGGTGTCTGAGTCTGGTGTTGACGGTCATACCGTGCGCGTCAATGTCACGGAGGCTACCACCGTAGCACAGCTCAAGGACAAGATCCGTGAGAAGTTGAGGGACGTGATGGTGACGGTGGCGGTGGCGGAGCGCTAACTTTGCATCACCTCTGCTGTACTACCTGGTCACCGAAGGCCGGTACGTGAGGATGAGCTTTGGCGGCTGATCCATGGAGTCAATAATTAGTGTGTCGTGTGTCGTTAGGAGGTTGTGTTTGGTTTGAGCATTTCTTGTATTTGTTGTTTGTGTGGCAAAAGAGAGTCAAGTTAAGGGGTATTTTGAGTTAGTTTGAGTCAATGTTGGGTTTAGTTTATGAAAATCGGGGGTAGTGAGAAGTTGGTGATTTATGTACTCATGGCTCATGTGTTCTCTTTTTCATTGTGAAATAAAATATAGTTAGAAAAAAAGCACTAGAACACCTAACCTGTCCCAAGACAAAATAGAGTAGAAGCACAATATTCACATAAAGAGGCTTAACCCATACAATCATCCAAATAAAAGCTCGCAACTCTCAAACTCAATCATTAGCACTATCCAAAAATCAAAAGATATATGTGGCCGCATCAATTTCTTAACTCTCAAACTTTGACTTGCCAATGCCAGCACACTAAGAAACGACCCAGTATAATTGTAACTCAACAATACAGTATAGTGAGTTCAGTTTTAATTATCAACCCAGGTCCTATATGTACGGACTACTCAGCAAATTATTTATTATCTAGCGATCAACATATAGAGGAGTTGTTTGTATGCAAAGTATAAAAGAAAGCAGGTAAATGTTATGATTTTCAACTGTGAGAAAGACCACTCATGTAACCGCCCCCCTAGTCTGCAGTTAGGCCAAGTTGTAACTCCTCCAATTCGTTTCAATCGATATTTATATTGCGAAACGTCCCGAAAGAGTTTGGAATCTCGACTAAAGCAGACCAGACCAAGAACCTCTTGAATAAACTACAAACACAATTCGGTAAGCCTTCCTCTATTGGCTTTTGGTTCCAGTACAAAGCAATGAATCGATTTACTACTTCCAAATCAAGTTGCTCTATTGACCTATTCACAGACTATCATTCTAGGTCAAAGCAAGAATCATACAAATGTGATCAAGACTCATATAATTCTGATTAATGCCCCAATTGAATATAAATAATCAAATGTCATGTATGTGGGTTCATACAATTGCTCCTAGCATACAGATCTAGGTTTCTTCATACCAAGACGGAAGATGTGCTTAATCCATGGAGAAAGGGATAAATGCAAGGCTGGAGACGGACATCATTGTGTGAATGAGTGAAATCTTCTCCAAATCAGCAATCGATAATCCGAGGGGGAGGAATCAAGCTCCAATGGTCCTAGGTGGTTTCAAATCAGCTCGTGACTCTCCAAACGAGTTATAACCTAAGTCACGACCGTAACTTCTCAAATCCGCCCGTGACTCTTCAAACGATGCCGTCCCTTCAATCCGTAAGGAAAGAGTTACGGTTGACAGCTGGGAGTTAAGGTCATCATACTCTAGCTTCGCAACATGCCATAGAACCTTGACTAGCTGATACGTGCTTTCGCTTCATGCCATAACCTAATCAATGAAGAACATTGAACTGAAGATAAAACATGATTAAGAGTGGGCCTCTTGAGACATAATTGATGGTCTATAGCATCGATGATCTAAGAGTCAAGCATTGATACTACTTGAGCTATATATGGTTGGTGCATTATAACTCCCGATGGGCCTTATGCCGAGTTGGGCTTAGTCGTTGGGGTATTATTATTATTGGTTAATTGTTATGTTATTGTGATTATTTAGGGATATTCGTATTAGTTTATTGTGTCTTGTTGAGTAAGTTATTAGTTACCTTATTAGAGTGGGATAAGGTTAGCTATTAGGTTTTCTTGTGTTTCCCTATAAATATGTACTTTGTGGTTCAGTTATGAATAAGAAGAAGATTATTCCAGTAATTATCATAGTCGCTTAGGAGTAGAATTAAAATAATTTAGCGATTCACGACGCGTGAATTCTATCACGCGCCAATGGTTAATAATTTTCTCTACACTTGTGTAGCATCAATGGGGGTATCACTAGAATGTAATTTCTTAACAACCTATATTATACTAAGCACAATGTATATAGTAATATACTATATAATCACAAGCATCGATAAGAAAGAATTCATATTGAACTAATGAGTCTCGCCCAAAACCTTCCTAAACCTACTAGGACACAATTTCTCTCACTTAGGGATGAAACAAGGCCTTTTGGATCTTTATTTGAGCTTGGGCCTAAGTGGCAGCGGGGTGACGGTTCTGGCTGACACATGTTTTCTTCGTGGTTTGAGCTCTTTTGCCCATAAGCAACCTCTCATGAAGATTTCTTCGTGATGTGACCAAATTTGCTTGCCGTTTGACGTGGTAGGGAACTCATTGTAAGATAAAAGATATTAGATACTCAGAAAGTAAACAAGATGTATATGCTCTGGCAGCGGCGGACCTAAGGCTAGTAAGGGTGTGTCGTCCGACACACCCTCGCTCGAGAATTTTGTGAAAAACCTATATATTTTTTGTACAAATTTTTTTACTTCGGAATAGCCGACACACCTTCAATAATTATAGCCGACACACCTTCATTATAGTCGAAGAATTTATTATCCAAACGAATCAATCTTAATCATAATCCATTTTAATTTTGTTTAAAATAACTCATAAATCATAATCCTATCACTTCATATTAAAAAAAAAGACTCTCAGCCCATATAATATATATGTTGATGTGTGTTGGGTCTGGACCTATAATTAAAAGAGAAAAAAAAAATCACAAGCCAAATGGCCAATAGCCCAGGCGGACACTCTTTATCGTTTAGTTTACTTGTTGTTGAAGTTGATGTTGACTTTACCTGTTGCAACTGCAAGTTGCGAAAGAGCATTTTCAGCTATGAAGATAATCAAGAACGATCTTCGAAATCGGTTGAGTGACCAATTTATGAATGATTGTTTAGGTGTGTATATTGAAAAAGATTTGCTTTGCAACATAAGTGATGAATGTATTTTAGAGACATTTCAATAGATGAAAAGTCGTCGTGGTTCGTTTTAAATATGACCTTATGAAATTTATGAATTAATTTCTTTTAATTTCTACTTAATTAATTTAATTAATTAATTTAATTTAATTATTATTGGATTTTATCGGCGACACACCTTTCCGACAATCCTGGGTCCGCCACTGTGCTCTGGAATTCCTTATAATGTACTCAATAACATACTAAGGCACCACATGATCATATTTACTCGTTATGCATGTTGGTTCAGTTTTTATGTTATGGAAGAATGGTTTTAAGAGTAGGACTGACCCTTTTGCTCGCACTCAGGATTTGAAGAAGCACTAGAGTATAATAGGGATTCATCATTTCACAACAAGGATTAGTGGATCCAGAGGACTCCAAGATGAAATTAGTAAAGTTCAGTACTTGGTGGGACATAAGACTTTATGTGATTTTTCAGATGGATGTTTCAAAGTCAAAATTTTCAAGTATGTTCATGTTTCAATGTTATTTTGTATTTATCACCTCTGTTGTTGTTCAACGTATTTCAATAATGATTTATGATTAAGGGAATTTTGGTAAAAAGCAGTACCTGACCGTGTTAGGTTGTTACAGAAACCAACCAGAAGGGAGGAATCGACACTAAAAATGACTACACAGGCCCTGTTTTCTCTATTGTGGCTGCCGATTCCTGTGGTATTTTGGGGACTTTGTTTTGATCAATGATAGCCTAGAAACCCTTACCCATGGCTTACTAGTTCTTTAGGTGCGTAGGTATGTGAACCCTAGGGGTTATAGTCATTTAAAACTCGATGTCTGGTTTAATGCGATTGTTTTTTTTTCATATGTGCTGATTCTTGATTTCCTCTATTTTGTTATTTGTCCATTTGGATGAATGCTTGGTCAACCTTGAAATCTTCGAGGTGCAAGGATCGAAATCCTAGTCGTGTTGGATTAGACAAGACATGGCGGTCCTATTCGATCGATCCTTCAATCCAACGACGTGATGCCTCAAGGGAGGAATCCATAGGGTCCTTATCTCCCATTAATTCGGGTAAATGCTTTGACACAAGGTGATATCGAATAGAATACAAAATTGGAAGCTTATATGTTGCCAATTATTGAGGGATACGCGACTATGCGATCTAGATGGAGCTTTCCTATGCAATTTCTTCCTTCTATGCTATCTGGTCCATCCAACTTAGCTATATGTTCACTTTTATGTGCACTCTTTTCCTTTTTTTTTTGTTTTCCAAAACTAGAGGCACCTCAACCCCCTACATTATTTTTTCTAAATAAACTGGAACCGTACCTCACTACCAAAGTAAGGTTTATGCGAGAGGCCCTAGGGAAAATATGATCCTGGATTTTGGGCCACCTAAATTTGGTATGTGCAGCAATCAATGACATCAGTATCAAATATGAGAGTGATAAACACTATAAATTGAGTGTCATCAGAAATACCCCACACCTGAACTTTGTTTCTCCCCAAGCAAATACTACTCATGATCGTACAACTCAATGAAAACCCGACAATTATTACTCAACCACAATCTTAGGTTGTGGATCAAAAGTAAACTTACAACGTCAATAATAGCATGAGAGACTCCTCTCAAAACAATAGGGTGAAGTTTTTGAAAAACGTTTTTATCTTTGAATGCTTCTACCATCAACTTGACATTCCTTTAAGCACTTTTGCCTTCTTCAAAAACATACTCATTTTCTTATCTTGCAAACATAATTTTTTCTCATTTTCTAGACTTCTCTGTGTGGAGAGCTCACTAAAGTATTAGACCTTTATTAGTTGAGAAAGAACTCTAAGCTCCTACACCGCAATTTGAGCGGAGGATCAATTAAATAAGGGGTTTCGAAAGCTCAATCCATTCCCTTAAGAACACATCCTCAAGTTTTCTATCAATTAGACGAGTGGAGATTTTACTTGTACTATAGAGGAACTAGCATCACCTTGTAGGATTTCCTCACTAAAGCTCAATTTTTATCTTGTCCAAAACCCGAATTATTGCAATAAAAAAATTCATCACATGCTGGGCTTACCCACACATAATTTCTCAGCATAACATGCCAATTTTTCAAAAAATACAATGTCTTGATGGTTAGATCTTTGCATCCATAGAAGATACAGTTCACCCTATTGAAAAAACTTTTAAAAGGGAAACTACTATGCATAATCAGAAATCCATGAATAGATCAAACAACATATTACCCAAACATATCAAATGGTCATTTCGTCCCTTTGACTATCACATCCTTCATAGTCACTACACTATCCTTCCTATACCAAGTGATGATCCAAAGTAAGATGAGAAGTATCATGCTTGTAGGGGATGGTTAAAAGTCATTAGATGGAAAAACATCTTTAGTAATTCCCAAAAATTTAGACAAGTACCACAATTATTTAGCATTGGGAAAATTTTCAAATTTGAACGACTAATCAAATAGCAAGTATAAAGCATAACAAGGTAAATCATCTCAACACATTTCCACCCCAAACTTTAAAATGCACATTGTCTTCAATGGAGAAAATAATAGTGAGATATGGGAAGGTTTGGAGTGGGTTAGCTTGGTTGTCTTACTTAATTCAAGTTCATAGGAAGTAGCTAGTTTTCCTTGATTGCATACGAAGACTCGAAATGTCAAATAAAATATAGAGAAAAACATATAGCTCAAATAGAGGCATATCTATTTGCTACTTCTCCGGGTCCATTGAATGGAAATAGGATTTTGAACTTCCTACCATCCAAAAATGGCCCCATTGTTGCTCTGCCTCTACTCTCTGTCCCCAAGCTTGAGTCTCCTCATGCTATGTCTATCTCTCCTACTCGAGGGCATCTCAGTGACGCTCTTTCAGGCTATTGTATGCAAGTAAATTCTCCTCCTGTCTCTCCACAACTGCTCTCAAAGATGGTATCTCAACTACATAGCTCCCATATCGTGGTATGCTGCTACTGGTGGGTGGCCAACTCTATATCCTTGCTGCCCATGACTTCTTTTTAAATGCTCTGCTAGTCTCCATGCCCCCGTCCATGATGAGTAGTAAGGGCAATCATCTCTAGCCAGATCCACTCCAAAAATGAATGCCGACAATATCAGCCCATGTGTCTATAGAGCGTCACCAAGAGAAAAACCATACTCCTCTCGATGATCTTCGATGTGCTAGACTATAGTAAGAATATAGCCACCATCTGGAAGTCCCCTCGGAGAAGTAACGATGGTAAACCCGAGAAAGTTATCCAATATCAACCATGCTAGATGTAGCCACCAGTTGTGAAGAAGAGCATGATATGGAATCATGTCACAGATGGTCAACTTGCATACATCGCCGCTCTACCTCATGTGAAAACCATTTCATTCGAAGTAGTGCACGAACCTCATAAATGGATGACAGATGGAGGTTGGTGTCGAATGTCCCACAAAAAGCTGAGCCCCTTGATTCCTTGTGATGGTCTTCCATAACTCATGGAAGATTTCTGCTTGCTCTGATGGATCTCAGTAATCTACAAGGATAGCATCAGAGAGTGTTCCTCTCATGTGTAGGCAGGAATCCTTAGCTTCCTGACACAACCATAATAACTCTCTATGAAGTGTCTTCCAGCCAATCTATATGAGATGCAAAGCTAGCTCTAGCTACTTGCTGAGGATACTGTCAATGTGGCAAGGAACTCCCTCATGAGCACATCATGCCTCTCTCATCGAATGTTGAACTATGACAAGTGACCAACATTATCTAGCCTATATCTCATTGTTGCTCCCCATGCTTGGTATTGGCCAAAATCCGACCAATCAAGCTGTTCATGTGGATCCCCAAGTACGTATCTCCACTTCTCTATCTTCTTTGGACTATAACCTGTTGAGTGGAAACTGAAGGAAAGGATGCAGGGGTGACTCTGGTGCCTCCTCTTGAATCTTAAGCTAGCTATGAATCTGGAGCACCTCAGTTCCTTGTAGCAATTGTCCACATCTACTCCTTGTGACACACGTCAGCGACACATCAACCACATTTGCCGCGTAGGTGCCATGTCATAATTTAATTTAAAAATAAATAAAGTAATATATTAATTCCTCCTTCCTCTCTCCCCTCCCACCACTCGTCGTTGCCCATCATCAATTAGAGCAGGCCATCTGCTCGGCCTGAGATCTACAGCGCCATTGGCTGGATTTTCGCCAACCCAAACCCCAAATCTTTTTGTCGCAATGTTGCAATCATTTATCCTTCCTTTCCATGCGCCAACAAAAATCGAGTGGTCGAGATGCCCCAAATCTTTTTGAGATCCATTCCCTGAACCCCGCTTCAGTACCTCCGGCTCCACCTCCAATTATATACCCTTATTCAACAGATGCAAAGCCTATACATCCACAATTTCGTCCCAACAAACCCAGTTGCGTTACGACTTTGGAAACTCAGAAGACCATATCTTCACAAATCCCTTCTTCAATTTGGGGAAGCGGTCGATGGAAGGTCGCAAAGGAAGGAGGGAGTGACCGTGCAAAGTGACGACGACAACCATCGAACAACAAGAATGACAATGCTGCTCTCTCCCATCGATTCACCGGAGGAAATAGGAATTTAGCAGCAGCTGCTGCTCTTCCATCAATCGGCCTGCAAAATGAGGGATCCACAAACCACAGCTTCCAAGAAAAAGGGGAATCTGGATCTGTTGCTTCTCTTCATCATCTTTCTGGGTTCGGCGGAGCAAGGAGGGGAGAGTAGCAGAGGAATACGAAGAGAGATGGGAGAGTACCAAAGGAAGAGAGATGGAGAGGAAGACCAATTGTTTTTCTAATATTTTATGTTTTTATATTTTTCCGTTAATCTATGGAAATGGTGGGGACAACATATTGCCAACTCAGCAATTTCATCAGTCCAGTCAGACTGTTACTTGACGCCAGTAGAACATTGGACGGAAATGGACATTTATTGGATTTTGATAGATTTTGCTAAGTATCACAAACGTGATAGTTGTGGTTATGGAAGTGTATTTTGCCAATAAACAAAAGACCTCTAAAAAGACAAGGGAAACGAATCCGCTGCACCACCTCCCTTCTCCGTCCCTTGCCGCTACAACGCAAACCCCTTCATTTTTTATACCATTCTCCATCGTCGACACCTCTTCAATAAAATCAGGAGCCAAATTGCTCCCTTCCAGAGGTTGGAAGGACACGTCAACGTTGATGAATTTAAGGCGTCTTTATGTGGAGTTTTATAATCATGTGCGGACCGTAACAGTGAATCTGGAAGAGTGAAAAAAAGAGTACACACTAATTTGGTTTTCAGCTTTTCACACTCGGGGGAATGGAATGGGATGGGGATATTTGGATGGACACGTGGCATGGTGATGTTTGAGGGAACAAGTTCGCTGGAGGTGGAGCGGAGTGCAGGGGAAAACAGAGATAAGGAGGAAAGTGGGGGCCCGTAAGTGATGATGGATTTCCAACTCGGACCACTTTCCATGGGCTTTTGTGGGTATTTTGATCAAAATGTCTTGACATGTATGAGTATTGAGTTGGATTCAAATAATCCAAATAATAATAATTTGTTTAATTTGAGTTGAGTCGAGTCCAACACCCAAATGAGCATTTGAGTATAAAGATTGTACTCAACAAAGACAATGAGCAGTAACGAGTAGAAATTCTGCCATGAGTAATGGTGACATCCTGAAAATCCTTAGTGTGTGTTTGGATAGAAGGATTTGGATTTTCAAATACTAAATAATTTGTTTGGATATTAATTACATATGATATTTGGATTTGTACCACATTCATGGGGTGTTCTCGAAATATATGTATGACATACCGGACCGTTGCTTAGATAGCACGCAATATCGTGTATGTCACGATCGGTGTCGGACGCGGTCACCACTACTCCTTGTAGATGGGGAGAGTATGTCATGTTACTCCTCGTAGATGAGGAGGTTATGTTCATGATACGTTGGTGTCGGACGGTTGTGCTAGTTAGGTCGAGGGTGGGATGCCATTTTAATTAGTTATAAAATATTTTTATGATGTATAATAATTATATATTTTTTATGTAGGGTTGGGTTTTTACTTAAAAATATTGTCAACCCGACCCAACCCAATTAGAAACAAACCGTAGGGTTTAAATTTTTTTGGATGGGTTTGGGTTTGATAATTCCCAAACCGTAGTGCATGGGTCGGGAGATTAAAATGGTTAAACCTGAACCAACCGACACATGTACACCCCTAAAGAGAGTGAGTGATTCATGCTTGTTCTTGCAGGTTCTTATCTATGCTGGTGGGGACCTATGTTGCCCTGTTGTGTGTTCCTTTGACTTGAGTTCTAAGCATGGTCGTTTGTGATTGATTAGTGGCCTTGTTGAGACTTGCATTGATTGTGGATAGAATGAGAACTTTTTATTTGCCCATTTTTATGCAATTGAATGTCATTTGTGGTGGATGTCGAAATTGTTTGAGACGGTTCGAGTGTCGATGCCCAAATAGTCATTTGAGATTCATAGCCTTGTGCCTTTTGCAATGTCCCCTAGCTATTTTTAGGTTGAAATATTACCTAGGTTGAGAATGGTTTGCTTGGGGACAAGCAAACGTTTAAGTGTGGGGGAGTGATTCGGGCCCAAATGTACACATTTTACCCCTCATTTCTTATTCGTTTAGCTTAATATTTCATCGTTCCTCGACATATTTCACGCTAGGTTGTGCTTGTTTTGATACATTTCAGGTCCTAGCACGTGTGGAAGGGTTGAGGACGAGTTTTAGGATAATTGGAGGCCAAAAAGTACAAAAAACCGAAGAAAAGTCCGAAGTCCGTGACAATTGCCTAATAACAGTGAAGTGAAGGCGTCTAAGAAACAACCGTAGTTCACGGTCGGACAAGGCAGTTCACGACGGAGGCCGATGCGATAACCCTTCAGAGGCGGCAGGTGGGCCAATCATCCGCCATCGCCGGTGAGTAGAGGGCGACAATAACCGCGCCCTCAGTGACCAGAAGACAGTACAAACGTATGTGTTCGTTGGCCAGCCTCGTACCGCGGAAATACAAATCCATCTTGTACCTTGGATACATCGACGGGCCCATGGCGGCGGCGGCAATGGTCTCGATCCGCTTCTTCAGCTTCCCAATCCAATCCATCTCTGTGCAAGTGATGTTGGTAATTAAGGATGAGATGATGTTGGAATCGTCATGAATATTAATACAAACAGCCTTTACAAGGACGGTGATAGTGATCGGGGAGCCGATCATCGGCGGGAACTCCAAGTGGGCTATCGCCGGCACACCGGCCTGGATCTCGTAAAATTTCAGGCTCCGTTGGTTGTCCATCTTCCTTTTCCCGAGCCGTAGCTCTTGCCTTTCGATCCCGATTCCATAGTCAGACCTGATCATCGCCTTCACTTGTTCCACTGTTGTGCCGGCGTGGAGCTTATAGTGCAAAAGCCTCTCCATCATCAGATATCTGGGTTGTTTTAGCCCTACGTACAGCTCTACAACACACGCCTCCTCCTCCTCCATTGTAGAATTTTGTATAGCTAATATATGCACACATGCAAGCTAATTATATAGCAGCACGTACGTACCTCTAAATCTATATATATATTTCTGCCTGAAATCCTTGCTACTTACCCGATCCAATGACCTAAATAATCTCCGCGCTGTTACACGACACGATCGAGGTGGGCAACTAACTTTGACGACGTACAAATTAATATTACAATTTAACAACGTAGTATAGGACCTAGATGATCTCCGCTCTGTTAGGCAACAAACTCTGACCACGTACCAGCCATGCAAATAGGACATTTTACGCGTCAAGAGTATTTATACCACGCACGCACGCTAACTATTCATTAGCTAGCTAGCTAGTAGCATTAATGATGGAGGAGGTGCAGGCTAGTGCAGAGATGGCGGTGGAGTTATACATAGCCACGCGCCATAGATCTGCGGCGCAAAAGATCGTGCACTACGACGACTGCCGGCCCTCTGAAACCGTCGGAGAAGTGAAGGGCAGAATCGAAGCTAAATACGGAATAGCCATCCGGAGACAGGCTCTGTGGTTGGGTCCCAAGTTGATGCGTAACCACAGGACTCTGGCATCCTACAAAATCCATCCCGCAGTACCGGCAATCGCCCACCTCGAGATCGCCAATGACGACGACGGCGGCGAAGAAACGATCATCACTGTCACCCTCCGTTCCCTCTCTTTCCCGACTCAGTCGAGGGTCAAGACCCTCACTTGCAAGGAAACCGATACGGTTGGCGAGCTGAGGAAGCGCATCCTCGCCAGGTTTTCTGGCCACTCCAGGTTCGACATAGAGTTGTTCTTCGATGGCACGATGCTAGGGGAGGTCGACGCACCATTGCTGCATTATTTGGTGTCTCATGGTGCCGTTATTAGTGTGCATTACGAGGCTGGGCCCCGAGTTGATTCCTCCGAGAGAGACGCTACGGAAAACCTTTTGTTATTTTACTCGTTGCAAGCTTCATCATGAATTGACGATTTTTTATTTTTATTTTTATTACTGATTGTAATTAGTTTATGCATGCTGCATGTGTTTTGGTTTGTGGTATTTAGTATTATTTGATTTGTCCGTCACACATTTAACGGTCAACTGTCAAAGTTGACCGCCACGTCAGTCAAAGTTAACAGAGGTTAACGGAGAGTGACCGAACTTGAACTGTTCAACTAATTCGAGTGACTATAAATGGAATAAATTAATTTGAGTGGCAAACGTGAAATTTTATAGCAATTCGAGTGACCAAACTTGCAATTAAGCCAAATTTTTCCATAAGTCATTAAGCCACTTACTATATTTGTGAACATTTCCTACATTTCAATAATGTTTTCATTTTCATTCATTTTGAATAATTCATATTCTCTTACTAGCATTCTATTCCTGGTGTCTTTAATTTGATACCTACTTTCATATGTAGCCTCCACACTGTCCTAGATCGCTTTTGAGGTTTTGCACATTGTTACTTCGCTGTACTCTTCTCTTCCAATATCACATTTAAGGATGTGCTTGGCTTTGACGTTGATTTGTAAACTTACCAGATCTTTTTCTGACCAACTTTTGTCATCGTTTTCAACTTTCTCTTGTCTTCTTTTGATATTGATCCGGACCTTCAAGTCATAGGCTTGTAGGAAATCTTCCATGCAACCTTTCCAAAAGGCATAGCTATTGTCGTCGAGTTTTGGTGGTCATGTTGCAAACTATCCTTCAGCATGCGTGATTGGAGGCAGACGACTCATCATTCTGGTTGATGAGCTTGTAGCTTCCATCCTTGGATCTTGTTCCTCATGAGAGACATGCTCTGATACCAATTGTAGGACACGTGTAGAACATAAATTATTTTGTAAATACGAGAAATGAAATCATATTAGTTATGGATCGGTCATCTTGAGTTGTGGGTTGGGCTTGATCCGTTGCTAAAGCCAAGGAGTTTAACGAGATGGGCTTTGGCCATTATTTGATTGTCTTCAACCTTAGACCAACAAGGTTGTGTACCTATTGAGAAGCAAACACAAGATAGAGGAAAGCAAGGAGAGAAACATGTACACTTGTTATTTTGTTAACCGACTTCAACCTATTAATTATGTCTCGGCTCGAAGGTGGCTCCCCCTTTGAGACCTAGTGTCTAGGTTTTTATCTTATTTGGATCTAGCTCCAAGTTGAGTCCCCTTTGGGTGGAACTCAAACTCTTCACAAGAATAGAGAAATATACCTCATTCTCCTTCCTCACAAGCGCTCTCACTAGCTAAAGACAGGAACTACACAACCACTCAAGCAATATAAACAGTGAACACCTATCAATTATTGCACCTATTGTAAATCACAGAGTGTTTGATCTTGTTTTGTGTATGAATGCTCTGCCACATTCTGTGAGGCTTTTCTTGTTACTTCCTTCTATTTATACTTCGTTTTGAGGTAGTTGTCTTCTGTTGATCTTACTTTAACTTTAGAAATTCTTTACTGTAATCAAATATTAAAAAAAAAAAATGACAAGTAATAATTTATGTTGTTGTACCTTTGCAGAAAGGGAAAATTTTTTCTCAACAATCTCCCCCTACTTTTCTTTTCTTCAATACCATGTTTTTCATATAATGAAACGTGTATTCAATAGCGATGGAAGCATCAATGCTCCCCCTTAACCTATTATCTCCCTTAGATTGAATATTTTCGATTGTCAAGCTATTCATGCACCAGGGTGATCACACTAAAGCAAATAATTAGAGCGAAGAAATAAATATACAAATGCTAAACTAGTTCGAAATGTTTAAATCAGTAGTTCTAAAGAGGAAAACAAGCATGTAGTTAGGGGTGGGCAACGGGAAACGGGTAATTTGGTATACCCGTACCCGTCCCGTTTTTTAAGGGTTATGGGTACCCATATTACCCGTAATATTTTAAACGGATGGGACTTGGGATTGTACAGTCCTAATATGGGTACCCGCGGGTTACCCGCGAATACCCGTTTGGGTAATATGGGTACCCGTTGTACTCATTCAAAGTACAAAGAACGATTTAATTCAGCCCATGCGCCCAGGCCCAGCCCAATTCAAAACTCATTTTCGGCCCTTACCCACTGAGACCGTGAGACGCACCCCTAGCAGCTTCTCTGGACGCGCAGCATCTCAGTTCTCTGGTCCCTGGAGGAGTCGTCTTCGGGATGAGAGAGAAGAGACGAAACCTATCGGCGCCTCCTTCATTCACCGTCGTCGCCGCCTCTAAGCTCTCGCTCTCAGTCCCTCTCCTATGCGCAGCCGCCGCCTTCATTCCACTCAGCGAGGCTTAGACCAGCAGCGGATAAGTAATGTGATGTCATTTAAACTTTGGGTATTTTATGGGTAGTATGGGTACCCGTTATCCGTCCCGTACGGGTAATGGGTATCCGTTTCCCATATTGGTTTGGGATATGGGATGGACTTTGGTCTCCAAATGGGACTGGGTACCCGTTTAAAACGGGACGGGTATCCCGTCCCGTCCTGTTGCCCACCCCTACATATAGTTGTAAAAGTTTGATCCCAATAGTTCTAAATAAGAATCTCATAAAGTTTCACAAACCAAGAAAAAGTTGCTCTCATCACTCAACCATTAGACCATCATCAGTTGTTGAGGTTTGTGCCTTCAGAATGATTCTCATAGTCATACGGTGCATACTGTGGTGAGTTTGGGTCGCTTGTGTTCGTAGAAGAGGCCAACTTACTAAATTGTGTTTAGTCGGATCACTTATGTCTGGTACAGAGGCTAGCTCACTAAACTCTGGTGAATGATCTAGATCGCTCATATCGGCCACGGAGGGAGTGTCCTCTGAATCACTATTAATTGTTGTTTAGCCAGACTACTTCAGAATCATCTTCTTCAGAATGACCATTCTCCCCCTCAATCGCAAGCTCCAGATCTTGAAGGACATCGTTCGCGGTGGGAAACAGAATTGGAGCGATGGTTCGAAAGGTTGAGAGATTTATTCCAATGTTAATGGGGTATGAGTTATCAGGAGTCCAAAGGGAAGTTAGGGACAAAGGATAGTGAGGCACGATAGTTGAAGTCTCCGAAGGGTATCAGAGTTCCAAAGAAAAAATGAGTAAAATCAAAAGAATGGAGACTACAACATGAGAGATAATCTAGAGATCTAAACTAGTTCTAAATGTTTAAATCAGTAGTTCTAAAGAGGAAAACAAGCATATAGTTAGGGGTGGGCAACGGGAAACGGGTATTTTGGTATACCCGTACCCGTCCCGTTTTTTAAGGGTTATGGGTACCCATATTACCCGTAATATTTTAAACGGATGGGACTTGGGATTGTACAGTCCTAATATGGGTACCCGCGGGTTACCCGCGAATACCCGTTTGGGTAATATGGGTACCCGTTGTACTCATTCAAAGTACAAAGAACGATTTAATTCAGCCCATGCGCCCAGGCCCAGTCCAATTCAAAACTCATTTTCGGCCCTTACCCACTGAGACCGTGAGACGCACCCCTAGCAGCTTCTCTGGACGCGCAGCTTCTCAGTTTTCTGGTCCCTGGAGGAGTCGTCTTCGGGATGAGAGAGAAGAGACGAAACCTATCGGCGCCTCCTTCATTCACCGCCGTTGCCGCCTCTAAGCTCTCGCTCTCAGTCCCTCTCCTATGCGCAGCCGCCGCCTCCATTCCACTCAGCGAGGCTTAGACCAGCAGCGGATAAGTAATGTGATGTCATTTAAACTTTGGGTATTTTATGGGTAGTATGGGTACCCGTTATCCGTCCCGTACGGTAATGGGTACCCGTTTCCCATATTGGTTTGGGATATGGGATGGACTTTGGTCTCCAAATGGGACTGGGTACCCGTTTAAAACGGGACGGGTATCTCGTCCCGTCCTGTTGCCCACCCCTACATATAGTTGTAAAAGTTTGATCCCAATAGTTCTAAATAAGAATCTCATAAAGTTTCACAAACCAAGAAAAAGTTGCTCTCATCACTCAACCATTAGACCATCATCAGTTGTTGAGGTTTGTGCCTTCAGAATGATTCTCATAGTCATACGGTGCATACTGTGGTGAGTTTGGGTCGCTTGTGTTCGTAGAAGAGGCCAACTTACTAAATTGTGTTTAGTCGGATCACTTATGTCTGGTACAGAGGCTAGCTCACTAAACTCTGGTGAATGATCTAGATCGCTCATATCGGCCACGGAGGGAGTGTCCTCTGAATCACTATTAATTGTTGTTTAGCCAGACTACTTCAGAATCATCTTCTTCAGAATGACCATTCATCTTTCTCTTTAATTTCCACATGGGTTTCTTCTGCTTGACCGACCAAGGCAAGAAAAAGAATAAGAAATGCAGAAAAATTCCCACATGAAATTTGACTTTGGGACAGAGGATGTTTCAGAAAGCTAGGTTCGCAACTCCTTCATGAGAAACCGAAAATAAAGGGTTATTGATCTGGCCGAGTCGTGGATTAGGTCGCTTTCTTTTAAATTTTTGTGACACTAGTACTATCTCGTATTACACACAACAGATTATCAGTAGTTAGCCTCCAAGATGAAATAACCTCTCTCTCTATCTCTTTATTCATGTAAAACCTGGAGCTCTCTGAAGAACACTCTCTTGTGTTAATACTCTCTGAATTGTGTATCTAGAGGGTATGACAGGTCTATATATTATAGGAGCAGAAACCCTGTATTGCCCTCTTGCATGAGGAGTAACTTACGCGTTTTTAGAACAGGTAGTTTGTAAAATAAAATAAAAATATTTCAAACCAGGGAAGAAGGAGGTGTAGCAGGGTGGTCATTAGGAGAAAAATGCGTAAATTACGTATAATAGCTAGTTGAGTATGAAAATTAAAGCTCTTCTAATTGAAAATGATTGATTAGAAAAGTTAACAAAAAATACTTTATCATTTGTATTTTTTTCTAAATATACTCACTTTAGACGAAATCATTGCTATGCATCTTCTTAGTCTATGATCAAGAACTTTGATAAGATGTGCTATTCTGGTGTTATAATATTTGGATGAATAGTTGTTTTCAACCCTGTAAAAGAAAGATCAACATTCTACAACCAAACAAAAGAGCAAAAACCCACAGTAACCTCTAAACCTGATCAAGGCCTACAACTCTCAAACCCTCCTCTAGACACTCATTGTTCCTACTCACAGAATTCAAATCAAGAATAGTTTCCCTAACAAGTTCCTCCGCAGTCCAGACTGATGTACCATGAATGCGACGACAACGTTCCTTCCATAACCCTGCACAACAAATGCATCAAATAAGACCAACAACCCTGTCTGCTATCGGCCACCCGCAACTGTCAATACCCGCTGCAGCTGTGACTACCCAAGAGTCTCGACAAAGAGAACCAAAATGCAAAGCTAACATTCGACAAGCATAGGCACATTGAAAGAACAGATGATCACAAGAATCCATTTCTGCATTACAGAGCACACACAAACCATTGACCACTTTCCCCATTTCAACAGCTTATCCTTGGTCACAATACCATCCACCATAGTCATCAAAGCCAAAAAGAAAACTATTCCGGAGAATCTTATACTTACTCCAAATGAGACTCTCCCATTCCACCACAACATACTTTATACACATGCTCTCCCATACATAAAAAATCTTAAAACTGGCATACATCAGTTAGCCCAGAAAACCTGACCATTTCATACATGCATATGAGGCTGAATCTCCGAACGTAGCTTAAGTATGCATTGCCATACCTAGGAACTGCTTGGACTAACCTTGACAGTCCAAATGCTGCTTGTTTTCACCTTATATTGCTGAAACGAAGCAACCCAGATAGCCCCACTCTTCATCATAAACAACCATACTAGTCAGATTGTGCAAGCTTTATTCCAGGTAGCAAGCTCTCGCAATCCCATGCCTCCCTCTTTTCGTGGTCTAGCTAAACGATCCCAACTAACTTTTGCTCGTCCTTCTTCGCCACCATGCTAGAGAAATTGAGAGCAGACCAGCTGAACTTGCTTGAGAACCCGTTTAGGCAGAACAAATTTGCATCCAATACTGAAGGATCCCTATCAATACAGAAGACAATAGCTGCACATTTTATTACTTATGCTATGTATATGAGTTTTCACATGTCCGATGTATTATTTTTAAATTTTTTTTGGATGGCCTAGTGGCTAATACCACTAGCATAGAACCGGGAGGTCTCAGGTTCGAACCTGCTTGAGTACCTTAATGGCAACAAAATGAAACCTATATCACCCTTATAAAAAAAAAGACAAAATGCTTTGATTATACAATTCTTCTAAATAATATTTCATACACCCAATTATTACAGGTATAGGCTTAAGATTTAATATTCGTGTATATGAGTTTTTCAAATTTTTATTTAAAATTGCTTCTATTTGTGTTATTTGCTAGGACGCAATCGCAAGTTCTTACCCTACAAGACCAAAATGGAAGACACTTATTCAGAATGTTATTGTTCTTTTTTTATACTGTATTTTTGGGTAACTTGCAAGATTGGTCACTGAAATTATTAAAAACGTTCATGTTTGGTCACTACAAATATTTAATTCCATTAATGGAATTAAATATTTGCAGTGACTCAACATGAACGTTTTTAATAATTCCAGCGACCAATCTTGCAATTTACCCCTGTATTTTTTGTTGTCCTTCGGTGAGAATGCTCCAATATTTTTTAAGTTTGTTTATTATGAGATGAAGTATACAGTGAAATAGAATTGTGTATGAAATATTTTGGCTTAATACACTTTCATAGCCATAACTATTCGCGTTGTGACAATTATAGCAACTTTTTGAAAAATGTACTCATATAGCCATTCCGTAACAAACTTTAATGACATCATTGTAAATGCTGAGTAGACAAACGTTTTTTTACTGACGTGGCGAATTTTCGTCAAATTTTTTTTATTTAATTGCAATTACATGAAAAAAATGAAAAATCATCTTCCTCCAGACCATCTGCTATTGCGATCTCTTCCCTAATTGAAACCCCATATCCATTCCCTCGTCGAACCCAAATTGAGTTTCAAGAAAACCCAATCAACTTCCAACGTCGAACCCAAATTCATATTCAAGAAAACTTAATACGACGAAGGCGTGGAAGGGAGGGCGGTCGCAGCGGTGGCGGAAAACGGGAGAACGGAAGGGGGATTTAATGTAGAGGAGATAGAGCTTGGAGATGGATCCTAAAGCTACACCGCCAACTGGATGGGCATGTGATTTGATCTACAATCTGACCCATAGAAGATGGTGAGGATGAGGAGAGGAGCGCGGAGAGGGCGGAATCGGGCCGTCAAGGCCGAGCCCAGATCTGGCGATGGTGGATTTGGAGGCGACGAAATTTCAATCTGGCTGTGGTGAGGGGTCTCGGAGAGGATGAAGGAGGCGGTATATTTTTGGAGAAATGGATTTGCTTCCCCTATATCTGGTTCTCACACCCTCTGCTCTTGCCGACATCAGTTTCTCTCGACATCGCCTCCATCGCTCCGCTTCCACCTCTCGCTCCACTTTCCAGATCTACACATCTGTCAAAGCATCGATAAGGCCCGCCGCTTCTCCGACATTGATATCCGACCTGGGTCATGATGCCTACTCTAGCGAAGGAAACCCAATCGTTGCGCTAGCCTCTCTCTTGGTCGACGAACTGAGTATATTCGAAGAGGAAGTTGAGATCGCCGACAAAATCATGTCAATCGGAGTTGGGAATTTTAAGGGTGGTGGCACAATTGGACAGGGAAGACAGAAAGAGTCGGGATATCTCCCTCCGACGAGGACCTGGAAACTTGAATCGAGGACGAGACACCAAGGGAAACTTCTCTACATAGATGGTCGCATCTTTCGATAAAATAGCAGGCCAACCGCTGGTTGATTAGAGATTTTCCCCTCCGGCGAGCATCTGATTGGTTCTTCACTAATCTGAATTTGGATTTCAACTTTTGAGTTTTGACGAAGAGATCTGGGGGTTGGAGGAAGGTGAACAGGCGGTGTGCGGATGGGGAAAAATTTATATACATTTTTTTAATTAAAATATGAGGTGGCATCTAGGTGGTGTGGTTTGTCTAGTTGGACCTGATGTGTAATCCGAGCTGGCGTCCACATCAGCACAACGTTAATGTTATTGACGGAATTGCTGACGACGTTAAAGTTTGTAACGGAAATGGCTAAAGTTGTCAAGCAAGTTTTCAAAAGTGGCTATATGAGTGTATTTTTCAAAAAGTGGCTATAATTGTCACAACGCGAATAGTTATTGTAACATCCCGTTCCGGCAAAACCCATATTTCGATCGCTAGAAAGTTCGCGATTTAAAATCGAGCGTTTTAATAGTATTTCGGCGAAAATCGGATTATCGATCGATCGGATAAATATACGTATTAATTAATTAATTATATATATATATATATATATATATATATATATGCAGTCGGCATATATATTACCGTCCATCACTTTCCCTGCCATTTCACTTCTCATTTCCCATTTCCAAAACCGCAAGAAACAGAGCACGCAGAGAGCGCTCGGCGAGGAAATTCAAGATTTTGAATCTTGAGTTCTAGTGATCCAAAAATCCCGTAAGTAATGCCTAATTCATCCATACATCGTGATTTATCGATTTAGAGCTTTAAAACGAGTTTTTGGTTCAGGAATTTCTTGAATTCCCGATCTGCCAAATTAGGGTTTCGGAGTATCCGGAAGCCGGATTGAGCCCAAATTTCATATACGAGCTTCCTGCAGCGAGGTAATCAATCCTCTAGTTCTAATCCCTGAATTTCGGCTATTATTTAGGTCGGGGTCCAAACCGCTGGATTTAGCTCCGGCCAGGGTTTGATGTGTTTTTATCAAGAATTTGACCCGGAGCCTAGAACTAACATTGACGGGGATACTGCAGGGGGTATTAGGACGGTCTCGGATTTTAATTCGGGGTTCGTTCGTGAAATTGATGTTTTAGTACCGGAGGCTAGAACCGGTGTTTGAACGACCAGAACTGGTGAGGGATTAGCACGGCATACCGGGTTTGTCGTATCACGATAATTATATTGATGCTTAGAATTGACCTAGGTGAATTAGAATGGCATGATTATGGGTGTATGGACTTCTCTGCTATATGATGAACTATAGGCTTCTGTATGATATTATTGACTTGCCTTAATCGATATGGACCTTGTTTATGTTGATAATTCCATATATGTTGCCAGATGTGGGTTTAATTGTGAATATGCCTTATGTTGGTTCGAGAAGGTGATTGGATATGATTTTTCATGATTGTTGTATTTGGATGCATAAGTGGGAAAATATATATTCCCTGGTGATATCATGATGTTTTAAGGAGGATGACTTGCACGAGGGTTTATCCCGAGGAAGTGCAACTATACGACTCCTGGTTTACCTATGTTGAGCCAATTATGGCCAGGTCAAGTACATGTGCAAGTAATGAATTATGATTAAGCAAGGTGAGATATGAATCATGTATAAGGATACCAAATATGAGTGTTGTGGTCTCACGGTCAACTACATAGTAATTAGGGCTCCCTATGCTATTACTCTATTATGATATGATAGTCACACCTCTCATGTGGTGGTGACTGAAGAATTCTTACGAGATATGACCACACCCAGAGTGGTGTCGGGGTATGACTACACCCATAGTGGTGTGGGGTATGTATGACCACATCCGACGGGATGTTGGGGTATGTATGACTACATCCGACGGGATGTGGGGTATGTTTCCCGGGAGAGTTATTAGCATGGGAGTAGCCAGGCGCCTATGATTAAAACATGATAAGATGCATATGCATAAGTCAAAGTGGTTGAGTCTTTTGCTTATTGGGATATGAGGATGGCTGAGGTCCGATCCCAGTGTTTTGGTTTGATTGTTAGATGTATGATAGGGGTATGCTCTGTTATGAACTCACGATGCTATGATTATCTCACTCAGCTATGAGCTGACCCTCTTTTATTCTTCTTCTCTGCTTATGCTATGTGTAAGCAGATCATCAGCAGCAGCAGTAGATAAGTGTTAGGTGGGAGAGGAGCTAGAGTTGAAGCCAGGATGAGGTATGGTCTTCAACTATTCTGTGCTTGGACTACTACTTGGGATTTTGGCCAGTGATCCACACCTTTTTGTAAAAATGTTTTGAGAACGTTTTTCATATGCATACTAGCTTCTGATGTAGTGTGAGATATCCACAGGTGTGGAAAGTTAATGATATGTGTATATTTATGTGGTTGTGTAAGTTGTGACGATTATGGTATGTATAAGTTCGGTATGCAGTTGTGTAGTATGAAACTGTGACTATGGCTATGTAAGTCCATGTATATGGTTTGAGTATATATGTTTGTGATGAATTATTTTGCAGGACAAGTTGCAAGAACTGTTAGCCCACTACGCGAGTAATTCATGTCGAAATTTTATTTGGGTAAATTTTGATAATTAATGTAACGCCCGAGATTAATTTCGCTGCAATTGTATGAACAATATGATTAGGCAAAACGTATAGGGTAACAATTGTATGAACAATATGATTAGGCAAAACGATCGGATAAATATACGTATTAATTAATTAATTATATATATATATATATATATATATATGCAGTCGGCATATATATTACCGTCCATCACTTTCCCTGCCATTTCACTTCTCATTTCCCATTTCCAAAACCGCAAGAAACAGAGCACGCAGAGAGCGCTCGGCGAGGAAATTCAAGATTTTGAATCTTGAGTTCTAGTGATCCAAAAATCCCGTAAGTAATGCCTAATTCATCCATACATCGTGATTTATCGATTTAGAGCTTTAAAACGAGTTTTTGGTTCAGGAATTTCTTGAATTCCCGATCTGCCAAATTAGGGTTTCGGAGTATCCGGAAGCCGGATTGAGCCCAAATTTCATATACGAGCTTCCTGCAGCGAGGTAATCAATCCTCTAGTTCTAATCCCTGAATTTCGGCTATTATTTAGGTCGGGGTCCAAACCGCTGGATTTAGCTCCGGCCAGGGTTTGATGTGTTTTTATCAAGAATTTGACCCGGAGCCTAGAACTAACATTGACGGGGATACTGCAGGGGGTATTAGGACGGTCTCGGATTTTAATTCGGGGTTCGTTCGTGAAATTGATGTTTTAGTACCGGAGGCTAGAACCGGTGTTTGAACGACCAGAACTGGTGAGGGATTAGCACGGCATACCGGGTTTGTCGTATCACGATAATTATATTGATGCTTAGAATTGACCTAGGTGAATTAGAATGGCATGATTATGGGTGTATGGACTTCTCTGCTATATGATGAACTATAGGCTTCTGTATGATATTATTGACTTGCCTTAATCGATATGGACCTTGTTTATGTTGATAATTCCATATATGTTGCCAGATGTGGGTTTAATTGTGAATATGCCTTATGTTGGTTCGAGAAGGTGATTGGATATGATTTTTCATGATTGTTGTATTTGGATGCATAAGTGGGAAAATATATATTCCCTGGTGATATCATGATGTTTTAAGGAGGATGACTTGCACGAGGGTTTATCCCGAGGAAGTGCAACTATACGACTCCTGGTTTACCTATGTTGAGCCAATTATGGCCAGGTCAAGTACATGTGCAAGTAATGAATTATGATTAAGCAAGGTGAGATATGAATCATGTATAAGGATACCAAATATGAGTGTTGTGGTCTCACGGTCAACTACATAGTAATTAGGGCTCCCTATGCTATTACTCTATTATGATATGATAGTCACACCTCTCATGTGGTGGTGACTGAAGAATTCTTACGAGATATGACCACACCCAGAGTGGTGTCGGGGTATGACTACACCCATAGTGGTGTGGGGTATGTATGACCACATCCGACGGGATGTTGGGGTATGTATGACTACATCCGACGGGATGTGGGGTATGTTTCCCGGGAGAGTTATTAGCATGGGAGTAGCCAGGCGCCTATGATTAAAACATGATAAGATGCATATGCATAAGTCAAAGTGGTTGAGTCTTTTGCTTATTGGGATATGAGGATGGCTGAGGTCCGATCCCAGTGTTTTGGTTTGATTGTTAGATGTATGATAGGGGTATGCTCTGTTATGAACTCACGATGCTATGATTATCTCACTCAGCTATGAGCTGACCCTCTTTTATTCTTCTTCTCTGCTTATGCTATGTGTAAGCAGATCATCAGCAGCAGCAGTAGATAAGTGTTAGGTGGGAGAGGAGCTAGAGTTGAAGCCAGGATGAGGTATGGTCTTCAACTATTCTGTGCTTGGACTACTACTTGGGATTTTGGCCAGTGATCCACACCTTTTTGTAAAAATGTTTTGAGAACGTTTTTCATATGCATACTAGCTTCTGATGTAGTGTGAGATATCCACAGGTGTGGAAAGTTAATGATATGTGTATATTTATGTGGTTGTGTAAGTTGTGACGATTATGGTATGTATAAGTTCGGTATGCAGTTGTGTAGTATGAAACTGTGACTATGGCTATGTAAGTCCATGTATATGGTTTGAGTATATATGTTTGTGATGAATTATTTTGCAGGACAAGTTGCAAGAACTGTTAGCCCATTACGCGAGTAATTCATGTCGAAATTTTATTTAGGTAAATTTTGATAATTAATGTAACACCCGAGATTATTTCCGCTGCAATTGTATGAACAATATGATTAGGCAAAACGTATAGGGTAGGGTGTTACAGTTTGGTATCAGAGCTGGTTTGTTTTCTGCATTATGGGTATGTTACTTTCACTCTTGAGGACTGATCACTCTCAAAAGGGGAGAGAGTACTCCATACCTGTACTTGCACTAAACTTTTCAGGATTGGGACCAAAGGTGATGATGTGTTGCATAGTCAGTTGCATATGGTCAAACATTATTTTGAGTATTTGAGGGAATCTTGAAAATTTTATGGTTTAAGAGATTTATGAAAATATGTGGAAATTTTATCTTGTTGTCCAAGTAATGATTTTGAAGAAAGTTTTGTTTCAACCAAGTGAATAACTTGTTTAGACACAAGTGGTGTGTGGATCAAAAGAAGGCTAATGTTTCCTTGTAGTTTGCACAGAAGTACGTTTAGTGTTACTACTAACCGATCGAGAAGCATGGTGGCTAGCTATGTAACACAGTTGATCTTCGACTATGCTAACATGACGAGTTGTTGTGGTGGAGTTTTAATATGGATATGATTCTTGATGTTGTGGTGGCTAGGTTAACAATCTTGCTTAGTAAGTTATGTTTTGAACTTGTTGATGTGCTTTTGTTGTGATAACCCGATATAGGTTTTTGAAACCATATATTGGGAACTTGAGATGTTATCTGTTTAGTTATGTACTTCAGATCTCCTAACCTAAGAGTTAGGTAGTAACAAGATATGTGATAGTATCTTCCAGGAGGAGAACGAGTAGATGCGAGAATTGACTGAAGGTTAGATTTCGGGGACGAAATCTTTTTAAGGAGGGGAGAATTGTAACATCCCGTTCCGGCAAAACCCATATTTCGATCGCTAGAAAGTTCGCGATTTAAAATCGAGCGTTTTAATAGTATTTCGGCGAAAATCGGATTATCGATCGATCGGATAAATATACGTATTAATTAATTAATTATATATATATATATATATATATATATATGCAGTCGGCATATATATTACCGTCCATCACTTTCCCTGCCATTTCACTTCTCATTTCCCATTTCCAAAACCGCAAGAAACAGAGCACGCAGAGAGCGCTCGGCGAGGAAATTCAAGATTTTGAATCTTGAGTTCTAGTGATCCAAAAATCCCGTAAGTAATGCCTAATTCATCCATACATCGTGATTTATCGATTTAGAGCTTTAAAACGAGTTTTTGGTTCAGGAATTTCTTGAATTCCCGATCTGCCAAATTAGGGTTTCGGAGTATCCGGAAGCCGGATTGAGCCCAAATTTCATATACGAGCTTCCTGCAGCGAGGTAATCAATCCTCTAGTTCTAATCCCTGAATTTCGGCTATTATTTAGGTCGGGGTCCAAACCGCTGGATTTAGCTCCGGCCAGGGTTTGATGTGTTTTTATCAAGAATTTGACCCGGAGCCTAGAACTAACATTGACGGGGATACTGCAGGGGGTATTAGGACGGTCTCGGATTTTAATTCGGGGTTCGTTCGTGAAATTGATGTTTTAGTACCGGAGGCTAGAACCGGTGTTTGAACGACCAGAACTGGTGAGGGATTAGCACGGCATACCGGGTTTGTCGTATCACGATAATTATATTGATGCTTAGAATTGACCTAGGTGAATTAGAATGGCATGATTATGGGTGTATGGACTTCTCTGCTATATGATGAACTATAGGCTTCTGTATGATATTATTGACTTGCCTTAATCGATATGGACCTTGTTTATGTTGATAATTCCATATATGTTGCCAGATGTGGGTTTAATTGTGAATATGCCTTATGTTGGTTCGAGAAGGTGATTGGATATGATTTTTCATGATTGTTGTATTTGGATGCATAAGTGGGAAAATATATATTCCCTGGTGATATCATGATGTTTTAAGGAGGATGACTTGCACGAGGGTTTATCCCGAGGAAGTGCAACTATACGACTCCTGGTTTACCTATGTTGAGCCAATTATGGCCAGGTCAAGTACATGTGCAAGTAATGAATTATGATTAAGCAAGGTGAGATATGAATCATGTATAAGGATACCAAATATGAGTGTTGTGGTCTCACGGTCAACTACATAGTAATTAGGGCTCCCTATGCTATTACTCTATTATGATATGATAGTCACACCTCTCATGTGGTGGTGACTGAAGAATTCTTACGAGATATGACCACACCCAGAGTGGTGTCGGGGTATGACTACACCCATAGTGGTGTGGGGTATGTATGACCACATCCGACGGGATGTTGGGGTATGTATGACTACATCCGACGGGATGTGGGGTATGTTTCCCGGGAGAGTTATTAGCATGGGAGTAGCCAGGCGCCTATGATTAAAACATGATAAGATGCATATGCATAAGTCAAAGTGGTTGAGTCTTTTGCTTATTGGGATATGAGGATGGCTGAGGTCCGATCCCAGTGTTTTGGTTTGATTGTTAGATGTATGATAGGGGTATGCTCTGTTATGAACTCACGATGCTATGATTATCTCACTCAGCTATGAGCTGACCCTCTTTTATTCTTCTTCTCTGCTTATGCTATGTGTAAGCAGATCATCAGCAGCAGCAGTAGATAAGTGTTAGGTGGGAGAGGAGCTAGAGTTGAAGCCAGGATGAGGTATGGTCTTCAACTATTCTGTGCTTGGACTACTACTTGGGATTTTGGCCAGTGATCCACACCTTTTTGTAAAAATGTTTTGAGAACGTTTTTCATATGCATACTAGCTTCTGATGTAGTGTGAGATATCCACAGGTGTGGAAAGTTAATGATATGTGTATATTTATGTGGTTGTGTAAGTTGTGACGATTATGGTATGTATAAGTTCGGTATGCAGTTGTGTAGTATGAAACTGTGACTATGGCTATGTAAGTCCATGTATATGGTTTGAGTATATATGTTTGTGATGAATTATTTTGCAGGACAAGTTGCAAGAACTGTTAGCCCATTACGCGAGTAATTCATGTCGAAATTTTATTTAGGTAAATTTTGATAATTAATGTAACACCCGAGATTATTTCCGCTGCAATTGTATGAACAATATGATTAGGCAAAACGTATAGGGTAGGGTGTTACAGTTTGGTATCAGAGCTGGTTTGTTTTCTGCATTATGGGTATGTTACTTTCACTCTTGAGGACTGATCACTCTCAAAAGGGGAGAGAGTACTCCATACCTGTACTTGCACTAAACTTTTCAGGATTGGGACCAAAGGTGATGATGTGTTGCATAGTCAGTTGCATATGGTCAAACATTATTTTGAGTATTTGAGGGAATCTTGAAAATTTTATGGTTTAAGAGATTTATGAAAATATGTGGAAATTTTATCTTGTTGTCCAAGTAATGATTTTGAAGAAAGTTTTGTTTCAACCAAGTGAATAACTTGTTTAGACACAAGTGGTGTGTGGATCAAAAGAAGGCTAATGTTTCCTTGTAGTTTGCACAGAAGTACGTTTAGTGTTACTACTAACCGATCGAGAAGCATGGTGGCTAGCTATGTAACACAGTTGATCTTCGACTATGCTAACATGACGAGTTGTTGTGGTGGAGTTTTAATATGGATATGATTCTTGATGTTGTGGTGGCTAGGTTAACAATCTTGCTTAGTAAGTTATGTTTTGAACTTGTTGATGTGCTTTTGTTGTGATAACCCGATATAGGTTTTTGAAACCATATATTGGGAACTTGAGATGTTATCTGTTTAGTTATGTACTTCAGATCTCCTAACCTAAGAGTTAGGTAGTAACAAGATATGTGATAGTATCTTCCAGGAGGAGAACGAGTAGATGCGAGAATTGACTGAAGGTTAGATTTCGGGGACGAAATCTTTTTAAGGAGGGGAGAATTGTAACATCCCGTTCCGGCAAAACCCATATTTCGATCGCTAGAAAGTTCGCGATTTAAAATCGAGCGTTTTAATAGTATTTCGGCGAAAATCGGATTATCGATCGATCGGATAAATATACGTATTAATTAATTAATTATATATATATATATATATATATATATGCAGTCGGCATATATATTACCGTCCATCACTTTCCCTGCCATTTCACTTCTCATTTCCCATTTCCAAAACCGCAAGAAACAGAGCACGCAGAGAGCGCTCGGCGAGGAAATTCAAGATTTTGAATCTTGAGTTCTAGTGATCCAAAAATCCCGTAAGTAATGCCTAATTCATCCATACATCGTGATTTATCGATTTAGAGCTTTAAAACGAGTTTTTGGTTCAGGAATTTCTTGAATTCCCGATCTGCCAAATTAGGGTTTCGGAGTATCCGGAAGCCGGATTGAGCCCAAATTTCATATACGAGCTTCCTGCAGCGAGGTAATCAATCCTCTAGTTCTAATCCCTGAATTTCGGCTATTATTTAGGTCGGGGTCCAAACCGCTGGATTTAGCTCCGGCCAGGGTTTGATGTGTTTTTATCAAGAATTTGACCCGGAGCCTAGAACTAACATTGACGGGGATACTGCAGGGGGTATTAGGACGGTCTCGGATTTTAATTCGGGGTTCGTTCGTGAAATTGATGTTTTAGTACCGGAGGCTAGAACCGGTGTTTGAACGACCAGAACTGGTGAGGGATTAGCACGGCATACCGGGTTTGTCGTATCACGATAATTATATTGATGCTTAGAATTGACCTAGGTGAATTAGAATGGCATGATTATGGGTGTATGGACTTCTCTGCTATATGATGAACTATAGGCTTCTGTATGATATTATTGACTTGCCTTAATCGATATGGACCTTGTTTATGTTGATAATTCCATATATGTTGCCAGATGTGGGTTTAATTGTGAATATGCCTTATGTTGGTTCGAGAAGGTGATTGGATATGATTTTTCATGATTGTTGTATTTGGATGCATAAGTGGGAAAATATATATTCCCTGGTGATATCATGATGTTTTAAGGAGGATGACTTGCACGAGGGTTTATCCCGAGGAAGTGCAACTATACGACTCCTGGTTTACCTATGTTGAGCCAATTATGGCCAGGTCAAGTACATGTGCAAGTAATGAATTATGATTAAGCAAGGTGAGATATGAATCATGTATAAGGATACCAAATATGAGTGTTGTGGTCTCACGGTCAACTACATAGTAATTAGGGCTCCCTATGCTATTACTCTATTATGATATGATAGTCACACCTCTCATGTGGTGGTGACTGAAGAATTCTTACGAGATATGACCACACCCAGAGTGGTGTCGGGGTATGACTACACCCATAGTGGTGTGGGGTATGTATGACCACATCCGACGGGATGTTGGGGTATGTATGACTACATCCGACGGGATGTGGGGTATGTTTCCCGGGAGAGTTATTAGCATGGGAGTAGCCAGGCGCCTATGATTAAAACATGATAAGATGCATATGCATAAGTCAAAGTGGTTGAGTCTTTTGCTTATTGGGATATGAGGATGGCTGAGGTCCGATCCCAGTGTTTTGGTTTGATTGTTAGATGTATGATAGGGGTATGCTCTGTTATGAACTCACGATGCTATGATTATCTCACTCAGCTATGAGCTGACCCTCTTTTATTCTTCTTCTCTGCTTATGCTATGTGTAAGCAGATCATCAGCAGCAGCAGTAGATAAGTGTTAGGTGGGAGAGGAGCTAGAGTTGAAGCCAGGATGAGGTATGGTCTTCAACTATTCTGTGCTTGGACTACTACTTGGGATTTTGGCCAGTGATCCACACCTTTTTGTAAAAATGTTTTGAGAACGTTTTTCATATGCATACTAGCTTCTGATGTAGTGTGAGATATCCACAGGTGTGGAAAGTTAATGATATGTGTATATTTATGTGGTTGTGTAAGTTGTGACGATTATGGTATGTATAAGTTCGGTATGCAGTTGTGTAGTATGAAACTGTGACTATGGCTATGTAAGTCCATGTATATGGTTTGAGTATATATGTTTGTGATGAATTATTTTGCAGGACAAGTTGCAAGAACTGTTAGCCCATTACGCGAGTAATTCATGTCGAAATTTTATTTAGGTAAATTTTGATAATTAATGTAACACCCGAGATTATTTCCGCTGCAATTGTATGAACAATATGATTAGGCAAAACGTATAGGGTAGGGTGTTACAGTTATGGCTATAAAAGTGTATTAAGCCAAATATTTATTTTGAATAATTAAGTATATGTGTGATTGTTTTCCATTTTATGGGTTTACTTCTATCTTTAGTGTATACTAGAAAAATACTCGCATTACGCTGCGGCTCGTAATATGATTTTATTATTTAGTTGTTCAATTGTTCATTTACATTAAATAGACAGTGCATCGTTTGGTGAAGTCAATTATTATTCACGGTAGGACCAAATGAAATGTGTCGACACTTACAAATAGTAGTAGTGGGCTTCTCACTCTCTCTCTTATCATTTTCTGCTCTCCTCCCCAACTCCAGGATACCCGCCTTCTCTGATAGAGAATAATCAGATCTACCGCCGACCTCTCTATCTCTCACTCTCTAGACGATGGGGGCTAGAAGCTCCATAACCTCTCCAGTCCCTCCATTTTTTGTCTATTTCTTTGGAGTGGTTGCATGCAGGTTTATAATTTCTTGTGACAAAATCAGGGTACATAGATTGGTAATAATCGTAAATTTGTTTGTTTCTACTTGAAATATTCTTTGATCTCTCCCTCTATATTGACTATCTTCCTCCTATTGTTCCTATTAATTGCTTCCTCAGACAGTCAGACATTTACTTCCTGCCACAATGTCCAGTTCTTCATTGTGTATAGATAGTTTTATAGAAAATTAACTCAAATAAAACCCAGCAAATCATAGACAATGTGTAGAAGCAGGGGAATCAACAAAGAAGTGATTAGTTACAGTAAATTTGCAACTTGTGATTCGATTCCAACACTCTAATCCAATATCAAACCGATATAATAAGCCGATGAAAAGAATGTATCTAAGCTTCAATATTGTGCCTGGAAAGTTGTGAGATAGTGAAATTGACAGGAAAGTATGTGCTAGTTTTGATCTTATTGGCCATTTGAATATTGCTTAAATTGAAGAAATATCCAAGGAAACATATCAAAATATTGTCGGGATAATAGGTTTAAGCCCCAACCAAATAAATTTTTTATTGAACAATAAACATTATTTACCTTTCTTCGATTGGAGAAATATCCAAACAAACTGATTACGAAATAGTAGGGGATAATGGGCTTTAGCCCTATGAAATAAAATCTTTAGTGATCAGTAAACATGATTCACGTTTATACTAATTAATATATATTTTTTCAAGTTATGATATACAATATTGGATAGGTAAATTATATAATTGGATGCCTACAATGTTTTTGGACCACGTGAGTGAGAGAGAAGAAAAGCCCAAACGTGAAGAAAGAGCCAGAGAATCCTGTAGCTGACTTATTGAAAGATTTCACCGTTTACATGTCTTCAGTTAATTATTTTCCTGTAGCCTGACAACAATTAATTTTAGAGGTCTAGCAGAGATGAAGTATTTATCTCTTGATCAAGATGTTGTGGCTTTCATTGTCCGACCAATAACAAATATTTACTGGATTTGAATTCCAATTGTGAGATTTTGGATTGACCGGATTGTCAAATGTAAAAATTAAGACCACATATTGGATTGCAAGTCTTATGTTTTTTTTCCCTCCAAAGATCCTCCATTTGGTTTGGATGCAAGACAGCATAAGATTGAGCGGATTTGAACAAACTTCTTACTCACTATTATCAAATCGGTGTCATGCCGGTCGTACAACCAGATTCAATCGTTACCAGACACAAAAGAGGTTCAAACAACCCTGGTGTGAAATTTTCTTATAAACGGATCAATATCGGTCATAATCAAGAAACTAGTGCTCCGACCGGTATGACCAACTTTTTATCCCTAAATGAGATGAGGTCGTTTTGGTGAATTAAATTAACAAAAAAATGAGCATTTTTCATTTGGTTTTATAATATTCTATATTATACAAATATGGATTTTGATGGTATTTTTTATTCAAATATAAACGTTAAATATTGTATTCAAATATGATGATTTCTCATTTTGTTTGTAATGGTTTGTATTATTATTTCAATATGAATGTAGATAATAGAGAGATTTTCTTGAGATAAGTTATATGCGTAATTCAATTGATGTCAATTGTCGCCAACTTCCCCTTCATATTTGATTGAAACTAGCATAAATTATTTGTTTCTCGAATCTATAATACTACTAACTAAATTGGTATAACGGTGTAAACTGATTTGAGGAGGATATGTTCTTTCTCATTTACCCTCTTTCATTCAATGCATCATGTATCTAAAAATTGTGTATAATAGCAAAACAAAGGTCAAATTACGTACCGAATTTTATTGGACGGACAAAGGAGCGTATATACACGATAACATTATTGATTTACATATAATTATTGCATATATAAAATTTAAAACTCAAGATACTAGAAATAGTTTCTTTCAATCAATGCACGGCATCATGTATGTCAAAATTGCCAATAATAATTGATTGAAAATATATCTATCAAATTATTGAAAATATATCTTCTGAAGGTGCACCAGATCACCACGTCATCTGTCCAGGTGTTGCCCAGGCCCAATATATGGCCACCAGTATGAAAAATCAAACATTAAAAATATCATTAAATGTGGTAAAAATGCGATTAATTTCGCTCTTTAAAGTTTAGGAAATCATATTATACTGGCCGGTCCGACTGGAAATATTGAATACAAGACCCAAAATGATAGGCGATTTTAGCGGTAGGAAACAGTTGAACAATAATTAAATTATGATTTTGCTACAAAATATCATATTATTAACTTTTTCGATATGACCTCCAGTAAGGTTTCACAAACGTAATCTTTAAACGAAGAATTCCTCTATAATTGATTATACAGTTCTTTTTTTTTTCCCAGTCTTTCTCCATGTCTTCTCTATTCTGTATCTATTTATCCATCTCTAGTTCACTTCTATCCACTCTATATCTCTACTTTACTGTTGCCGCCAATAACAACCCAAATTTATGGATTCTCCGCGGTTACCCGTTATCCTTTCCGTACGGGTAATGAGTACCCGTTAATCCGTACGGTTTTGAGACATGAGATGAAGTTTCTTCTCCAAATGGGACTGAGTACCCGTTTCAAACGAGAAGAGTACCCAGTCTCGTCCCCTTGCCCACTCCTATATAAATACCATCGTTGAAATCCCCGAAAATTGCAAGCTATAATTAAACATGAAATATTGTATTCAAATATGATGATTTGTTATTTTGTTAGTAATGTTGTATTTTATTTAAGGACTGATATCATACAACGTTTGAAATATATAAAAAAATGTTGATTGATAATTTGTGCTATTTTATTCAATGTTCTAATCCTATCCCGTTATATGATAATTTGTGCTATTTATGCCATGACGCTTTCATTGACCGTTAGAGATAACGGTTGACCAAACGGTGATTAAAGCAATGTTAACTTTTGTTGAAGTGGTAGAAAATGTGGCATCCATAAAACATAAATTTTATAATTAAAAATACTAAAAACGGTTAATATATTTGCCGTTGCCCACTCCTATATCAACTTAATTTCACAATTCTTGGGGGCATGATTAATTTTTGTGGTCCATCATATTATTTTGATGCAACAGTTTTTATTCTCGCCTATATAATTGATCACGCGGCTTGACATATATAGCTAGCTAGTGATGTCAAAGATTTGATTCTTTGATTAAGTTTTGAAATATGTACTTTCAAAACTTATTACAAGCGTCGGGAGGATATTGGGTGGAGTAGAAAAAGAATCTTTGATCTCAGAAGAAGTAAATGCCACAAGACCAACACAGTACTCCCCCAACTGCAAACCCAAGTTAAATAGGTGCACCGTGCATGGAAGAAAACTCTCACCAATTTTCTCTAAAGCAGACCATTGTCATGAACGGCGGGTCAAGCTCCGGCGGAAGACGTTCCAACAGCGGCAGCGGCAGCGGCAGCGACAGCGACGATGAAGCAGCAGCTGGGTTCCTTTACCTCGGCCTGGGCGACTACAGCCTCAGTTACTACAACGCCTCCCTCAACATGTCCGCTGCCGAACTGAAAGAGTGGGTCAATGAACACTACGGAGTGCCGATAAGCCGGATCAAGATCTACCAGGAATCCAACGCCGCAGAAGACGGGGAGCTGATGGATGACCGCCGGACGCTGGCTTACTACGGCTTCACCAAAGGAGGTAACCGCGTCTACCGCATGCGGATCGCGGAGCAGCGGCGGAGCACCCTCTTCCCCTTGTGGGTGTCTGAGTCTGGCGTTGACGGTTATTCCCTTCACTTCAATGTCACGGAGGCTACCACCGTAGCACAGCTCAAGGACATGATCCTTGAGAGGTTGAGGGGGCCTGATGGTGGCGGTGGCCGTGGCCGTGGCGGTGGCGGTGCCCTAACTTTGCATCACCTCATCGACACCGAGGGACTCAACAACATCCCTATGGTGGGCGAGGACAAGCCTCTGCTGTACTACCTGGTCACCGAAGGCCGCCACGTGAGGATGAGCTTTGGCGGCTGATCCATGGAGTGAATAATTAGTGTGTCGTGTGTCGTTAGGAGGTTGTGTTTGGTTTGATCATTTCTTGTATTTGTTGTTTGTGTGGCAAAAGAGAGTCAAGTTAAGGGGGTAGTTTGAGTTAGTTTGAGTCAATGTTGGGTTTAGTTTATGAAAATCGGGGTAGTGAGAAGTTGGCGATTTATGTACTCTTGGATCATGTATTCTCTTATTATTTTTTTTTTTTGAAATAAAATATCGCTAGTTTACCCCAAAAGAGCTCGCTTAATTTATGCATGTCATGTTTTATTATTATGATTATGACTCAAACATACATGAACCATATAGAAAAAAAGCACTAGAACACCTTACCTGCCCCAAGTCAAAATAGAGTAGAAGCACAATATTCACGTAAAGAGGCTTAACCCATACATTAATCATCCAAATAAAAGCTCGCAACTCTCAAACTCAATCATTAGCACTATCCAAAAATCAGAAGATATATGTGGCACCATCAATTTCTTTAACTCTCAAACTTTGACTTGCCAATGCCAGCACACTAAGAAACGACCAAGTATGATTGCAACTCAACAATACAGTATAGTGAGTTCAGTTTTAATTGTCAACCCGAGTCCTATATATACTGACTACTCAGCAAATTATTTATTATCTAGCAATCAACCAACGTATAGAGGAGTTGTTTGTATGCAAAGTATAAAAGAAAGCAGGTAAATGTTATGATTTTCAACTGTGAGAAAGACCACTCATGTAACCGCCCCCTAGTCTGCAGTTAGGCCAAGTTGTAACTCCCCCAATTCGTTTCAATCGATATTTATATTGCGAAAAGTCCCGAAAGAGTTTGGAATCTCGACTAAAGCAGACCAGACCAAGAACCTCTTGAATAAACTACAAACGCAATTCGGTAAGCCTTCCTCTATTGGCTTTTGGTTCCAGTACAGAGCAATGAATCGATTTACTACTTCCAAATGAAGTTGCTCTATTGACCTATTCACAAACTATCATTCTAGGTCAAAGCAAGAATCATACAAATGTGATCAAGACTCATATAATTCTGATTAATGCCCCAATTGAATATAAATAATCAAATGTCATGTATGTGGGTTCATACAACTGCTCCTAGCATACAGATCTAGGTTTCTTCATACCAAGACGGAAGATGTGCTTAATCCATGGAGAAAGGGATAAATGCAAGGCTGGAGACGGACATCATTGTGTGAATGAGTGAAATCTTCTCCAAATCAGCAATCGATACTCCGAGGGGGAGGAATCAAGCTCCAATGGTCCTAGGTGGTTTCAAATCAGCTCGTGACTCTCCAAACGAGTTATAACCTAAGTCACGACCGTAACTTCTCTAATCCGCCCGCGACTCTTCAAACGACGTCGTCCCTTCAATCCGGAAGGAAAGAGTTACGGTTGACAGCTGGGAGTTAAGGCCATCATACTCTAGCTTCGCAACATGCCATATGACCTTGACTAGCTGATACGTGCTTTCGCTTCATGCCATGACCTAATCAATGAAGAACATTGAACTGAAGATAAAACATGATTAAGAGTGGGCCTCTTGAGACATAATTGATGGTCTATAGCATCGATGATATAAGAGTCAAGCATTGATACTACTTGAGCTATATATGGTTGGTGCATTATAACTCCCGATGGGCCTTATGCCGAGTTGGGCTTAGTCGTTGGGGTATTATTATTTTTGGTTAATTGTTATGTTATTGTGATTATTTAGGGATATTCGTATTAGTTTATTGTGTCTTGTTGAGTAAGTTATTAGTTACCTTATTAGAGTGGGATAAGGTTAGCTATTAGGTTTTCTTGTGTTTCCCTATAAATATGTACTTTGTGGTTCAGTTATGAATAAGAAGAAGATTATTCCAGTAATTATCATAGTCGCTTAGGAGTAGAATTAAAATAATTTAGCGATTCACGACGCGTGAATTCTATCACGCGCCAATGGTTAATAATTTTCTCTACTCTTGTGTAACATCAATGGGGGTATCACTAGAATGTAATTTCTTAACAACCTATATTATACTAAGCACAATGTATATAGTAATATACTATATAATCACAAGCATCGATAAGAAATAATTCATATTGAACTAATGAGTCTCGCCCAAAACCTTCCTAAACCTACTAGGACATAGTTTCTCTCACTTAGGGATGAAACAAGGCCTTTTGGATCTTTATTTGAGCTTGGGCTTAAGTGGCAGCGGGGTGACGGTTCTGGCTGACACATGTTTTCTTCGTGGTTTGAGCTCTTTTGCCCATAAGCAACCTCTCATGAAGATTTTTTCGTGATTTGACCAAATTTGCTTGCCGTTTGACATGGTAGGGAACCCATTGTAAGATAAAAGATATTAGATACTCAGAAAGTAAACAAGATGTATATGCTCTGGAATTCCTTAAAATGTACTCAATAACATACTAAGGCACCACATGATCGTATTTACTCGTTATGCATGTTGGTTCAGTTTTTATGTTATGGAAGAATGGTATTAAGAGTAGGACTGACCCTTTTGCTCGCACTCAGGATTTGAAGAAGCACTAGAGTATAATAGGGATTCATCATTTCACAACAAGGATTAGTGGATCCAGAGGACTCCAAGATGAAGTTAGTAAAGTTCAGTACTTGGTGGGACATAAGACTTTATGTGATTTTTCAGATGGATGTTTCAAAGTCAAATTTTTCAAGTATGTTCATGTTTCAATGTTGTTTTGTATTTATCACCTCTGTTGTTGTTCAACGTATTTCAATAATGATTTATGATTAAGGGAATTTTGGTAAAAAGCAATACCTGACCGTGTTAGGTTGTTACAGAAACCAACTAGAAGGGAGGAATCGACACTAAAAATGGCTACACAGGCCCTGTTTTCTCTATTGTGGCTGCCGATTCCTGTGGTATTTTGGGGACTTTGTTTTGATCAATGATAGCCCAGAAACCCTTACCCATGGCTTACTAGTTCTTTAGGTGCGTAGGTATGTGAACCCTAGGGGTTATAGTCATTTAAAACTCGATGTCTGGTTTAATGCGATTGTTTTTTTTTCATATGTGCTGATTCTTGATTTCCTCTATTTTGTTATTTGTCCATTTGGATGAATGCTTGGTCAACCTTGCACTCTTCGAGGTGCAAGGATCGAAATCCTAGTCGTGTTGGATTAGACAAGACATGGCGGTCCTATTCGATCGATCCTTCAATCCAACGACGTGATGCCTCAAGGGAGGAATCCATAGGGTCCTTATCTCCCATTAATTCGGGTAAATGCTTTGACACAAGGTGATATCGAATAGAATACAAAATTGGAAGCTCATATGTTGCCAATTATTGAGGGATACGCGACTATGCGATCTAGATGGAGCTTTCCTATGCAATTTCTTCCTTCTCTGCTATCTGGTCCATCCAACTTAGCTATATGTTCACTTTTATGTGCACTCTTTTCTTTTTGTTTTTGTTTTCCAAAACTAGAGGCACCTCAACCCCCTACATTATTTTTTTCTAAATAAACTGGAACCGTACCTCACTACCAAAGTAAGGTTTATGCGAGAGGCCCTAGGGAAATACGATCCTGGATTTCGGGCCACCTAAATTTGGTATGTGCAGCAATCAATGACATCAGTATCAAATATGAGAGTGATAAACACTATAAATTGAGTGTCATCAGAAATACCCCACACCTGAACTTTGTTTCTCCCCAAGCAAATACTACTCATGATCGTACAACTCAATGAAAACCCGACAATTATCACTCAACCACAATCTTAGGTTGTGGATCAAAAGTAAACTTACAACGTCAATAATAGCATGAGAGACTCCTCTCAAAACAATAGGGTGAAGTTTTTGAAAAACGTTTTTATCTTTGAATGCTTCTACCATCAACTTGACATTCCTTTAAGCACTTTTGCCTTCTTAAAAAACATACTCATTTTCTTATCTTGCAAACATAATTTTTTCTCCTTTTCTAGACTTCTCTGTGTGGAGAGCTCACTAAAGCATTAGACCTTTATTAGTTGAGAAAGATCTCTAAGCTCCTACACCGCAATTTGAGCGGAGGATCAATTAAATAAGGGGTTTCGAAAGCTCTATCCATTCCCTTAAGAACACATCCTCAAGTTTTCTATCAATTAGACGAGTGGAGATTTTACTTGTACTAGAGAGGAACTAGCATCACCTTGTAGGATTTCCTCACTAAAGCTCAATTTTTATCTTGTCCAAAACCCGAATTATTGCAATAAAAAAATGCATCACATGTTGGGCTTACCACACATAATTTCTCAGCATAACATGCCAATTTTTCAAAAAATACAATGTCTTGATGGTTAGATCTTTGCATCCATAGAAGATACAGTTCACCCTATTGAAAAAACTTTTAAAAGGGAAAAATACTATGCATAATCAGAAATCCATGAATAGATCAAACAACATATTATCCAAACATATCAAATAGTCATTTCGTCCCTTTGACTATCACATCCTTCATAGTCACTACACTATCCTTCCTATACCAAGTGATGATCCAAAGTAAGATGAGAAGTGATCATGCTTGTAGGGGATGGTCAAAAGTCATTAGATGGAAAAACATCTTTAGTAATTCCCAAAAATTTAGACAAATACCACAATTATTTAGCATTGGGAAAAATTTCAAATTTGAACGACTAATCAAATAGCAAGTATAAAGCATAACAAGGTAAATCATCTCAACACATTTCCACCCCAAACTTTAAAATGCACATTGTCTTCAATGGAGAAAATAATAGTGAGATATGGGAAGGTTTGGAGTGGGTTAGCTTGGTTGTCTTACTTAATTCAAGTTCATAGGAAGTAGCTAGTTTTCCTTGATTGCATACGAAGACTCGAAATGTCAAATAAAATATAGAGAAAAACATATAGCTCAAATAGAGGCATATATATTTGCTACTTCTCCGGGTCCATTGCATGGAAATAGGATATTGAACTTCCTACCAAACTCCTGCATCCAAAAATGGCCCCATTGTTGCTCTGCCTCTACTCTCTGTCCCCAAGCTTGAGTCTCCTCGTGCTATGTCTATCTCTCCTACTCGAGGGCATCTCAGTGACACTCTTTCAGGCTATTGTATGCAAGTAAATTCTCCTCCTGTCTCTCCACAACTGCTCTCAAAGATGGTATCTCAGCTACATAGCTCCCATATCGTGGTATGCTGCTACTGGTGGGTGGCCAACTCTATATCCTTGCTGCTCATGACTTCTTTTTAAATGCTCTGCTAGTCTCCATGCCCCCGTCCATGATGAGTAGTAAGGGCAATCATCTCTAGCCAGATCCACTCCAAATATGAATGCCGACAATATCAGCCCATGTCTCTCTAGAGCGTCACAAAGAGAAAAACCATACTCCTCTCGATGATCTTCGATGTGCTAGACTATAGTAAGAATATAGCCACCATCTGGAAGTCCCCTCGGAGAAGTAACGATGGTAAACCCGAGAAAGTTATCCAATATCAACCATGCTAGATGTAGCCACCAGTTGTGAAGAAGAGCATGATATGGAATCATGTCACAGATGGTCAACTTGCATACATCGCCGCTCTACCTCATGTGAAAACCATTTCATTCGAAGTAGTGCACGAACCTCATAAATGGATGACAGATGGAGGTTGGTATCGAATGTCCCACAAAAAGCTGAGCCCCTTGATTCCTTGTGATGGTCTTCCATAACTCATGGAAGATTTCTGCTTGCTCTGATGGATCTCAGTAATCTACAAGGCTAGCATCAGAGAGTGTTCCTCTCATGTGTAGGCAGGAATCCTTAGCTTCCTCACACAACCATAATAACTCTCTATGAAGTGTCTTCCAGCCAATCTATATGAGATGCAAAGCTAGCTCTAGCTACTTGCTGAGGATACTGTCAATGTGGCAAGGAACTCCCTCATGAGCACATCATGCCTCTCTCCTCGAATGTTGAACTATGACAAGTGACCAACATTATCTAGCCTATATCTCATTGTTGCTCCCCATGCTTGGTATTGGCCAAAATCCGACCAATCAAGTTGTTCATGTGGATCCCCAAGTATGTATCTCCACTTCTCTATCTTCTTTGGACTATAATTGTTGAGTGGAAACTGAAGGAAAGGATGCAGGGGTGACTCTGGTGCCTCCTCTTGAATCTTAAGCTAGCTATGAATCTGGAGCACCTCAGTTCCTTATAGCAATTGTCCACATCTACTCCTTGTGACACACGTCAGCGACACATCAACCACATTTGCCGCGTAGGTGCCATGTCATAATTTAATTTAAAAATAAATAAATAAAGTAATATATTAATTCCTCCTTTCCCACTCCCACCACTCGTCGTTGCCCATCATCAATTAGAGCAGGCCATCTGCTCGGCCTGAGATATACAACGCCATTGGCTGGATTTTCGCCAACCCAAACCCCAAATCCTTTTGTCGCAATGTTGCAATCATTTATCCTTCCTTTCCGTGCGCCAAAAAAAAATTGAGTGGTCGAGATGCCCCAAATCTTTTTGAGATCCATTCCCTGAACCCCGCTTCAGTACCTCCGGCTCCACCTCCAATTATATACCCTTATTCAACAGATGCAAAGCCTATACATCCACAATTTCGTCCCAACAAACCCAGTTGCGTTACGACTTTGGAAACTCAGAAGACCATATCTTCACAAATCCCTTCTTCAATTTGGGGAAGCGGTCGATGGAAGGTTGCAAAGGAAGGAGGGAGTGACCGTGCAAAGTGACGACGACAACCATCGAACAGCAAGAATGACGATGCTGCTCTCTCCCATCGATTCACCGGAGGAAATAGGAATTTAGCAGCAGCTGCTGCTCTTCCATCAATCGGCCTGCAAAATGAGGGATCCACAAACCACAGCTTCCAAGAAAAAGGGGAATCTGGATCTGTTGCTTCTCTTCATCATCTTTCTGGGTTCGGCGGAGCAAGGAGGGGAGAGTAGCAGAGGAATACGAAGAGAGATGGGAGAGTACCAAAGGAAGAGAGATGGAGAGGAAGACCAATTGTTTTTCTAATATTTTATGTTTTTATATTTTTCTGTTAATCTATGGAAATGGTGGGGACGACATATTGCCAACTCAGCAATTCAATCAGTCCAGTCAGACTGTTACTTGACGCCAGTAGAACATTGGACGGAATTGGACATTTATTGTATTTTGATAGATTTTGCTAAGTGTCATAAACGTGATAGTTGTGGCTATGGAAGTGTATTTTGCCAATAAACAAAAGACCTCTAAAAAGACAAGGGAAACGAATCCGCTGCACCAACTCCCTTCTCCATCCCTCGCCGCTACAACGCAAACCCCTTCATTTTTTATACCATTCTCCATCGTCGACACCTCTTCAATAAAATCAGGAGCCAAATTGCCCCCTTCCAGAGGTTGGAAGGACACGTCAACGTTGATGAATTTAAGGCGTCTTTATGTGGAGTTTTATAATCATGTGCGGACCGTAACAGTGAATCTGGAAGGGAGAAAAAAAGAGTACACTAATTTGGGTTTCAGCTTTTCACACTCGGGGGAATGGGATGGGGATATTTGGAGGGACACGTGGCATGGTGATGTTTGAGGGAACAAGTTCGCTGGAGGTGGAGCGGAGTGCATGGGAAAACGGAGATAAAGAGGAAAGTGGGGGCCCGTAAGTGATGATGGATTTCCAACTCGGACCACTTTCCATGGGCTTTTGTGGGTATTTTGATCAAAATGTCTTGACATGTATGAGTATTGAGTTGGATTCAAATAATCCAAAATAATAATAATTTGTTTAATTTGAGTTGAGTCGAGTCCAACACCCAAATGAGCATTTGAGTATAAAGATTGTACTCAACAAAGACAATGAGCAGTAACGAGTAGAAATTCTGCCATGAGTAATGGTGACATCCTGAAAATCCTTAGTGTGTGTTTGGATAGAAGGATTTGGATTTTCAAATACTAAATAATTTGTTTGGATATTAATTACATATGATATTTGGATTTGTACCACATTCATGGGGTGTTCTCGAAATATATGTATGACATACCAGACCGTTGCTTAGATAGCACACAATATCGTGTATGTCACGATCGGTGTCGGACGCGGTCACCACTACTCCTTGTAGATGGGGAGAGTATGTCATGTTACTCCTCGTAGATGAGGAGGTTATGTTCATGATACGTTGGTGTCGGACGGTTGTGCTAGTTAGGTCGAGGGTGGGATGCCATTTTAATTAGTTATAAAATATTTTTATGATGTATAATAATTATATATTTTTTATGTTGGGTTGGGTTTTTACTTAAAAATATTGTCAACCCGACCCAACCCAATCAGAAACAAACCGTAGGGTTTAAATTTTTTTGGATGGGTTTGGGTTTGATAATTCCCAAACCGTAGTGCATGGGTCGGGAGATTAAAATGGTTAAACCTGAACCAACCGACACATGTACACCCCTAAAGAGAGTGAGTGATTCATGCTTGTTCTTGCAGGTTCTTATCTATGCTGGTGGGGACCTATGTTGCCCTGTTGTGTGTTCCTTTGACTTGAGTTCTAAGCATGGTCGGTTGTGATTGATTAGTGGCCCTGTTGAGACTTGCATTGATTGTGGATAGAATGAGAACTTTTTATTTGCCCATTTTTTATGCAATTGAATGTCATTTGTGGTGGATGTCGAAATTGTTTGAGACGGTTCGAGTGTCGATGCCCAAATAGTCATTTGAGATTCATAGCCTTGTGCCTTTTGCAATGTCCCCTAGCTATTTTTAGGTTGAAATATTACCTAGGTTGAGAATGGTTTGCTTGGGGACAAGCAAACGTTTAAGTGTGGGGGAGTGATTCGGGCCCAAATGTACACATTTTACCCCTCATTTCTTATTCGTTTAGCTTAATATTTCATCGTTCCTCGACATATTTCACGCTAGGTTGTGCTTGTTTTGATACATTTCAGGTCCTAGCACGTGTGGAAGGGTTGAGGACGAGTTTTAGGATAATTGGAGGCCAAAAAGTACAAAAAACCGAAGAAAAGTCCGAAGTCCGTGACAATTGCCTAATAACAGTGAAGTGAAGGCGTCTAAGAAACAACCGTAGTTCACGGTCGGACAAGGCAGTTCACGACGGAGGCCGATGCGATAACCCTTCAGAGGCGGCAGGTGGGCCAATCATCCGCCATCGCCGGTGAGTAGAGGGCGACAATAACCGCGCCCTCAGTGACCAGAAGACAGTACAAACGTATGTGTTCGTTGGCCAGCCTCGTACCGCGGAAATACAAATCCATCTTGTACCTTGGATACATCGACGGGCCCATGGCGGCGGCGGCAATGGTCTCGATCCGCTTCTTCAGCTTCCCAATCCAATCCATCTCTGTGCAAGTGATGTTGGTAATTAAGGATGAGATGATGTTGGAATCGTCATGAATATTAATACAAACAGCCTTTACAAGGACGGTGATAGTGATCGGGGAGCCGATCATCGGCGGGAACTCCAAGTGGGCTATCGCCGGCACACCGGCCTGGATCTCGTAAAATTTCAGGCTCCGTTGGTTGTCCATCTTCCTTTTCCCGAGCCGTAGCTCTTGCCTTTCGATCCCGATTCCATAGTCAGACCTGATCATCGCCTTCACTTGTTCCACTGTTGTGCCGGCGTGGAGCTTATAGTGCAAAAGCCTCTCCATCATCAGATATCTGGGTTGTTTTAGCCCTACGTACAGCTCTACAACACACGCCTCCTCCTCCTCCATTGTAGAATTTTGTATAGCTAATATATGCACACATGCAAGCTAATTATATAGCAGCACGTACGTACCTCTAAATCTATATATATATTTCTGCCTGAAATCCTTGCTACTTACCCGATCCAATGACCTAAATAATCTCCGCGCTGTTACACGACACGATCGAGGTGGGCAACTAACTTTGACGACGTACAAATTAATATTACAATTTAACAACGTAGTATAGGACCTAGATGATCTCCGCTCTGTTAGGCAACAAACTCTGACCACGTACCAGCCATGCAAATAGGACATTTTACGCGTCAAGAGTATTTATACCACGCACGCACGCTAACTATTCATTAGCTAGCTAGCTAGTAGCATTAATGATGGAGGAGGTGCAGGCTAGTGCAGAGATGGCGGTGGAGTTATACATAGCCACGCGCCATAGATCTGCGGCGCAAAAGATCGTGCACTACGACGACTGCCGGCCCTCTGAAACCGTCGGAGAAGTGAAGGGCAGAATCGAAGCTAAATACGGAATAGCCATCCGGAGACAGGCTCTGTGGTTGGGTCCCAAGTTGATGCGTAACCACAGGACTCTGGCATCCTACAAAATCCATCCCGCAGTACCGGCAATCGCCCACCTCGAGATCGCCAATGACGACGACGGCGGCGAAGAAACGATCATCACTGTCACCCTCCGTTCCCTCTCTTTCCCGACTCAGTCGAGGGTCAAGACCCTCACTTGCAAGGAAACCGATACGGTTGGCGAGCTGAGGAAGCGCATCCTCGCCAGGTTTTCTGGCCACTCCAGGTTCGACATAGAGTTGTTCTTCGATGGCACGATGCTAGGGGAGGTCGACGCACCATTGCTGCATTATTTGGTGTCTCATGGTGCCGTTATTAGTGTGCATTACGAGGCTGGGCCCCGAGTTGATTCCTCCGAGAGAGACGCTACGGAAAACCTTTTGTTATTTTACTCGTTGCAAGCTTCATCATGAATTGACGATTTTTTATTTTTATTTTTATTACTGATTGTAATTAGTTTATGCATGCTGCATGTGTTTTGGTTTGTGGTATTTAGTATTATTTGATTTGTCCGTCACACATTTAACGGTCAACTGTCAAAGTTGACCGCCACGTCAGTCAAAGTTAACAGAGGTTAACGGAGAGTGACCGAACTTGAACTGTTCAACTAATTCGAGTGACTATAAATGGAATAAATTAATTTGAGTGGCAAACGTGAAATTTTATAGCAATTCGAGTGACCAAACTTGCAATTAAGCCAAATTTTTCCATAAGTCATTAAGCCACTTACTATATTTGTGAACATTTCCTACATTTCAATAATGTTTTCATTTTCATTCATTTTGAATAATTCATATTCTCTTACTAGCATTCTATTCCTGGTGTCTTTAATTTGATACCTACTTTCATATGTAGCCTCCACACTGTCCTAGATCGCTTTTGAGGTTTTGCACATTGTTACTTCGCTGTACTCTTCTCTTCCAATATCACATTTAAGGATGTGCTTGGCTTTGACGTTGATTTGTAAACTTACCAGATCTTTTTCTGACCAACTTTTGTCATCGTTTTCAACTTTCTCTTGTCTTCTTTTGATATTGATCCGGACCTTCAAGTCATAGGCTTGTAGGAAATCTTCCATGCAACCTTTCCAAAAGGCATAGCTATTGTCGTCGAGTTTTGGTGGTCATGTTGCAAACTATCCTTCAGCATGCGTGATTGGAGGCAGACGACTCATCATTCTGGTTGATGAGCTTGTAGCTTCCATCCTTGGATCTTGTTCCTCATGAGAGACATGCTCTGATACCAATTGTAGGACACGTGTAGAACATAAATTATTTTGTAAATACGAGAAATGAAATCATATTAGTTATGGATCGGTCATATTTAGTATTATTTGATTTGTCCGTCAATGCTTTTCTTTTGGTTATGCACTCGATCAATAAACCCCCCTTAAGGATTAATGCAACAAAAAAAAAAAAAACTTTTGTTAAATACATTATTGAATACTTGAATTTATCATATTTAAATAACACTGAGATTATGAACTGTTTTTCTCCAAACCATCCCTTAGAATGACATCGTTATTCATCATAACTAAGCATGTGTTTTGGTTTGTGGTATTTAGTATTATTTGATTTGTCCGTCAATAAACCCCCCTTGAAGGATTAATAAACCTCTCTATGAAAATCACATCAAATCTCAATCGAATATCTTTATTAGACCTCTATGATTCAGAAATCCGCAAAAAAAATCATAATTTACTTCCAAATTTATGGATTCGTTAAATTATAGCCAAAATATTTTCTCCAAACCATCCCTTAGAATGACATCGTTATTCATCATAACTAAGCCTCCTTACAGAAAAGGGTTGTTATGAACAATCAACCTCCGATACACACACAACTTGGATGATACAAACTAAGACTCAAACCACGTCCATTTTTGCGGCAGTTCAAATAAATATATTCTTCAAAACCATGTTTTATCGAATCAGAATGATAACACAATGCTACAAAGCATCATTTTTGGGGTTGCGTCTTGTCTAATTGGTTACAATTCTTGTCTTTGATGGAAGAGATCACGGTTCAAATCCTAGCATTGATATCTTTTTATATGAAATAAAAAATTGATTGTGTAGACGAGTATACCCTAAAAAATTGATTGTGTAGACGAGTATACCCTTCCTACTGTCACTCTCGTTGCAGGAAATTTGAAATGGAGCAAATCAACTTCTTTAAAATGTATTATAAGTAGTGTAGATATTTCTAAGAGTCCCTCTCAGAATTCCTTCCACCTCACTCAACAATTAAGCGAAGGTGAAGGTCCCTTCTTGTAACTAGGTTTCCATAAACAGTAGCTAAGAGGGCTACGAGAAGAAAGTTGGTAATGAATTAAACTTTTACTACCAAAGTCTGCATTGGTGTAAATTTTTCCATAAGTTATTAAGCCACTTACTATATTTGTGAACATTTCCTACATTTCAATAATGTTTTCATTTTCACTCATTTTGAATAATTCATATTCTCTTACTAGCATTCTATTCCTGGTGTCTTTAATTTGATACCTACTTTCATATGTAGCCTCCACACTATCCTAGATCGCTTTTGAGGTTTTGCACATTGTTACTTCGCTGTACTCTTCTCTTCCAATATCACATTTAAGGATGTGCTTGGCTTTGACGTTGATTTGTAAACTTACCAGATCTTTTCTGACCAACTTTTGTCATCGTTCTCAACTTGCTCTTGTCTTCTTTTGATATTGATCCGGACCTTCAAGGCATAGGCTTGTAGGAAATCTTCCATGCAACCTTTCCAAAAGGCATAGCTATTGTCGTTGAGTTTTGGTGGTCATGTTGCAAACTATCCTTCAGCATGCGTGATTGGAGGCAAATGACTCATCATTCTGGTTGATGAGCTTGTAGCTTCCATCCTTGGATCTTGTTCCTCATGAGAGACATGCTCTGATACCAATTGTAGGACACGTGTAGAACATAAATTATTTTGTAAATACGAGAAATGAAATCATATTAGTTATGGATCGGTCATCTTGAGTTGTGGGTTGGGCTTGATCCGTTGCTAAAGCCAAGGAGTTTAACGAGATGGGCTTTGGCCATTATTTGATTGTCTTCAACCTTAGACCAACAAGGTTGTGTACCTATTGAGAAGCAAACACAAGATAGAGGAAAGCAAGGAGAGAAACATGTACACTTGTTATTTTGTTGACCGAGTTCAACCTATTAATTATGTCTCGGCTCGAAGGTGGCTCCCCCTTTGAGACCTAGTATCTAGGTTTTTATCTTATTTGGATCTAGCTCCAAGTTGAGTCCCCTTTGGGTGGAACTCAAACTCTTGACAAGAATAGAGAAATATACCTCATTCTCCTTCCTCACAAGCGCTCTCACTAGCTAAAGACAGGAACTACACAACCACTCAAGCAATATAAACAGTGAACACCTATCAATTATTGCACCTATTGTAAATCACAGAGTGTTTGATCTTGTTTTGTGTATGAATACTCTGCCACATTCTGTGAGGCTTTTCTTGTTGCTTCCTTCTATTTATACTTCGTTTTGAGGTAGCTGTCTTCTGTTGATCTTTCTTTAACTTTAGAAATTCTTTACTGTAATCAAATATTCAAAAAAAAAAATATGACAAGTAATAATTTATGTTGTTGTACCTTTACAGAAAGGGAAAATTTTTTCTCAACAATCTCCCCCTACTTTTCTTTTCTTCAATACCATGTTTTTCATATAATGGCACGTGTATTCAATAGCGATGGAAGCATCAATGCTCCCCCTTAACCTATTATCTCCCTTAGATTGAATATTTTCGATTGTCAAGCTATTCACGCACCAGGGTGATCATACTAAAGCAAATAATTAGAGCGAAGAAATAAATATACAAATGCTAAACTAGTTCTAAATGTTTAAATCAGTAGTTCTAAAGAGGAAAACAAGCATATAGTTGTAAAAGTTTGATCCCAATAGTTCTAAATAAGAATCTCATAAAGTTTCACAAACCAAGAAAAAGTTGCTCTCATCACTCAACCATTAGACCATCTTCAGTTGTTGAGGTTTGTGCCTTCAGAATGATTCTCATAGTCATACGGTGCATACTGCGGTGAGTTTGGGTCGCTTGTGTTCGTAGAAGAGGCCAACTTACTAAATTGTGTTTAGTCGGATCACTTATGTCTGGTACAGAGGCGGGCTCACTAAACTCTGGTGAATGATCTAGATCGCTCATATCGGCCACGGAGGGAGTGTCCTCTGAATCACTAATAATTGTTGTTTAGCCAGACTACTTCAGAATCATCTTCTTCAGAATGACCATTCTCCCCCTCAATCGCAAGCTCCAAATTTCGGAAGGACATCATTCGCGGTGGGAAACAGAATTGGAGCGATGGTTCGAAAGATTGAGAGATTGATTCCAATGTTAATGGGGTATGAGTTATCAGGAGTCCAAAGGGAAGTTAGGCACAAAGGATAGTGAGGCACGATAGTTGAAGTCTCCAAAGGGTATCAGAGTTCCAAAGAAAAAATGAGTAAAATCAAAAGAATGGAGACTACAACATGAGAGATAATCTAGAGATCTAAAGGTAGAATGATATCTTAGAAGGGCGCTCTAGGAAAGAAGGTGTGAGTGATGAGGAATTAATCGATGGAATATTATTAGATTTGGTGAAAGAGCGGCAACTGAAATCATGAGAAGCTCGCCAGAAGGATGACCGGTAAAGTGCTCAAATTTCTGCAATCTGGTGTTTTTTTAGTTCTTTTTTCTTTATTCTCACATGTATATCGAGTGATTCATGAGACCAACCAATTTTGAGGAGGTGAAATTTAATCAAAGGTTGTTCCACCGACCAGACATATGTTTCATATCTGCACAGACTTGGAAGCCCCGTTTTAGAGAGAACGCTTCCACATAAATAACCCCCTCAATTTGGTAAACATCTACGGCTAAGCAGACGACATTCACTCAAATTCGTCTTACCCAAACCCAACCTCCTATCGAAACCACAACCAAATCGTCATCATCAGATTAAATCCACTCACAATCTTCTTCACCCATTCTCACCAATTACAAGTAATATATAGGCTTTCATCTTTCCCCTTTAAAGAGATTTTTGGATAAAGCAGCAGAAAAAATCCACATGAAAAAATCTTGCCAACTTCAAACAACCATCATCTTTCTCTTTAATTTCCACATGGGTTTCTTCTACTTAACCGACCAAGGCAAGAAAAATAATAGGAAATGCAGATAAATTCCCACATGAAATTTGACTTTGGGACAAAGGATGTTTCAGAAAGCTAGGTTTGCAACTCCTTAATGAGAAACCGAAAATAAAGGGTTATTGATCTGGCCGAGTCGTGGATTAGGTCGCTTTCTTTTAAATTTTTGTGACACTAGTACTATCTCGTATTACACACAACAGATTATCAGTAGTTAGCCTCCAAGATGAAATAACCTCTCTCTCTATCTCTTTATTTATGTAAAACCTGGAGCTCTCTGAAGAACACTCTCTTGTGTTAATACTCTCTGAATTGTGTATCTAGAGGGTATGACGGGTCTATATATTATAGGAGCAGAAACCCTGTATTGCCCTCTTGCATGAGGAGTAAGTTACGCGTTTTTAGAAAAGGTAATTTGTAAAATAAAATAAAAATATTTCAAACCAGGGAAGAAGGAGGTGTAGCAGGGTGGTCATTAGGAGAAAAATGCGTAAATTACGTATAATAGCTAGTTGAGTATGAAAATTAAAGCTCTTCTAATTGAGAATGATTGATTAGAAAAGTTAACAAAAAATACTTTATCATTTGTATTTTTTTCTAAATATACTCACTTTAGACGAAATCATAGCTATGCATCTTCTTCATCTATGATCAAGAAGTTTGATAAGATGTGCTATTCTGGTGTTATAATATTTGGATGAATAGTTTTTTTCAACCCTGTAAAAGAAAGATCAACATTCTACAACCAAACAAAAGAGCAAAAACCCACAGTAACCTCTAAACCTGATCAAGGCCTACAACCCTCAAACCCTCCTCTAGACACTCATTGTTCCTACTCACAGAATTCAAATCAAGAATAGTTTCCCTAACAAGTTCCTCCGCAGTCCAGACTGATGTACCATGAATGCGACGACAATGTTCCTTCCATAACCCTGCACAACAAATGCATCAAATAAGACCAGCAACCCTGTGTGCTATCGGCCACCCGCAACTGTTAATACCCGCTGCAGCTGTGACTACCCAAGAGTCTCGACAAAGAGAACCAAAATGCAAATTTGCTAACATTCTACAGGCATAGGCACATTGAAAGAACAGATGATCACGAGAATCCATTTCTGCATTACAGAGCACACACAAACCATTGACCACTTTCCCCATTTCAACAGCTTATCCTTGGTCACAATACCATCCACCATAGTCATCAAAGCCAAAAAAAAAAAAAAAAATATTCCGGAGAATCTTATACTTACTCCAAATGAGACTCTCCCATTCCACCACAACATACTTTATACACAAGGTCTCCCATACATAAAAAAATCTTTAAAAACTGGCATACAACAGTTAGCCCAGAAAACCTGACCATTTCATACCTGCATATGAGGCTGAATCTCCGAACGTAGCTTAAGTATACATTGCCATACCTAGGAACTGCTTGGACTAACCTTGATAGTCCAAATGCTACTTGTTTTCACCTTATATTGCTGAAACGAAGCAACCTAGATAGCCCCACTCTTCATCAGAAACAACCATACTAGTCAGATTGTGCAAGCTTTATTCCAGGCAACAAGCTCTCGCAATCCCATGCCTCCCTCTTTTCGTGGTCTAGCTATACGACCCCAACTAACTTTTGCTCGTCCTTCTTCGCCACCATGCTAGAGAAATTGAGAGCAGACCAACTGAACCTGCTTGAGAACCCGTTTAGGCATAACAAATTTGCATCCAATACTGAAGGATCCCTATTAATACAGAAGACAATAGCTGCACATTTTATTACTTATGCTATGTATATGAGTTTTCACATGTCCGATGTATTATTTTTAAATTTTTTTTGGATGGCCTAGTGGCTAATACCACTAGCATAGAACCGGGAGGTCTCAGGTTCGAACCTGCTTGAGTACCTTAATGACAACAAAATGAAACCTATATCACCCTTATAAAAAAAAAGACAAAATGCTTTGATTATAAAATTCTTCTAAATAATATTTCATACACCCAATTATTACAGGTATAGACTTAAGATTTAATATTCGTGTATATGAGTTTGTTATTGTTCTTTTTTTATACTGTATTTTTTGTTGTCCTTCGGTGAGAATGCTCCAATATTTTTTTAAGTTTGTTTATCATGAGATGAAGTATACAGTGAAATAGAATTGTGTATGAAATATTTAGGCTTAATACACTTTCATAGCCATAACTATTCGCGTTGTGACAATTATAGCAACTTTTTGAAAAATGCACTCATATAGCCATTCCGTCACAAACTTTAATGACATCACTGTAAATGCTGAGTAGACAAACGTTTTTTACTGACGTGGCGACTTTTCGTCAAATTTTTTTTTATTTAATTGCAATTACATGAAAAAAATGAAAAATCATCTTCCTCCAGACCATCTGCTATTGCGATCTCTTCCCTAATTGAAACCCCATATCCATTCCCTCGTCGAACCCAAATTGAGTTTCAAGAAAACCCAATCAACTTCCAACGTCGAACCCAAATTCATATTCAAGAAAACTTAATACGACGAAGGCGTGGAAGGGAGGGCGGTCGCAGCGGTGGCGGAAAACGAGAGAACGAAAGGGGGATTTGGTGTAGAGGAGATAGAGCTTGGAGATGGATCCTAAAGCTACACCGCCGACTGGATGGGCATGTGATTTGATCTACAATTTGACCCAAAGAAGATGGTGAGGATGAGGAGAGGAGCGCGGAGAGGGCGGAATCGGGCCGTCAAGGCCGAGCCCAGATCTGGCGATGGTGGATTTGGAGGCGACGAAATTTCAATCTGGTTGTGGTGAGGGGTCTCGGAGAGGATGAAGGAGGCGATATATTTTTGGAGAAATGGATTTGCTTCCCCTATATCTGGTTCTCTCACCCTCTGCTCTTGCCGACATCAGTTTCTCTCGACATTGCCTCCATCGCGCCGCTTCCGCCTCTCGCTCCACTTTCCAGATCTACACATCTATCAAAGCATCGATAAGGCCCGCGCTTCTCCGACATTGATATCCGACCTGGGTCATGATGCCTACTCTAGCGAAGGAAACCCAATCGTTGCGCTTGCCTCTCTCTTGGTCGACGGACTGAGTAGATTCGAAGAGGAAGTTGAGATCGCCGACAAAATCATGTCAATCGGAGTTGGGAATTTTAAGGGTGGTGGCACAATTGGACAGGGAAGACAGAAAGAGTCGGGATATCTCCCTCCGACGAGGACCTGGAAACTTGAATCGAGGACGAGACACCAAGGGAAACTTCTCTACAGAGATGGTCGCATCTTTCGATAAAATAGCAGGCCAACCGCTGGTTGATTAGAGATTTTCCCCTCCAGCGAGCATCTGATTGGTTCTTCACTAATCTGAATTTGGATTTCAAATTTCGAGTTTTGACGAAGAGATCTGGGGGTTGGAGGAAGGTGAACAGGTGGTGTGGGGATGGGGAAAAAATTTATATACATTTTTTTTATTAAAATATGAGGTGGCATCTAGGTGTTGTGGTTTGTCTAGTTGGACCTGATGTGTAATCCGAGCTGGCGTCCACATCAGCACAACGTTAATGTTATTGACAGAATTGCTGACGACGTTAAAGTTTGTAACAGAAATGGCTAAAGCTGTCAAGCAAGTTTTCAAAAGTGGCTATATGAGTGTATTTTTCAAAAAGTGGCTATAATTGTCACAACGCGAATAGTTATGGCTATAAAAGTGTATTAAGCCAAATATTTATTTTGAATAATTAAGTATATGGGTGATTGTTTTTCCATTTTATGGGTTTACTTCTATCTTTAGTGTATACTAGGAAAACACTCGCATTACGTTGCGGCTCGTAGTATGATTTTATTATTTAGTTGTTCAATAGTTCATTTACATTAAATAGACAGTGCATCGTTTGGTGAAGTCAATTATTATTCATGGTAGGACCAAATGAAATGTGTCGACACTTACAAATAGTAGTAGTGGGCTTCTCACTCTCTCTCTCTCTTATCATTTTCTGCTCTCCTCCCTAACTCCAGCATACCTGCCTTCTTTGATAGAGAATAATCAGATCTACCGCCGACCTCTCTATCTCTCACTCTCTAGACGATGGGGGCTAGAAGCTCCATAACCTCTCCAGTCCCTCCATTTTTTGTCTATTTCTTTGGAGTGGTTGCATGCAGGTATATAATTTCATGTGACAAAATCAGGGTATATAGATTGATAATAATCGTAAATTTTTTCGTTTCTACTTGAAATATTCTTTGATCTCTCCCTCTATATTGACTATTTTCCTCCTATTGTTCCTATTAATTGCTTCCTCAGACCGTCAGACATTTACTTCCTGCCACAATGTCCAATTCTTCCTTGTGTATAGATATTTTGATAGAAAATTAACTCAATAAAACCCAGCAAATCATAGACAATGGGTTATCGTTAGGGGTGGCTATTTTGACCGGGACCGGATTAAAAACCGAAAACCGAACCGTATAATCCGGACCGAGACCGGACCGGGACCGAATAGTAAACAATCCAATCCAATCTTTGGGCTTAGATTTGAGGTAAAAAATCGGATAAAGACCGGATAAGAGAGCTCAACACTCAAAACTTAAGGGTAATTTGCATAAACGGTCACAAACCTTTGCACTTAGTACAAAACTTAACCAACTCCTCACCCTTTAAGGCCTTAAGCCACTCAAATCCCACAATCTCAATGTAAAATCAAGACCGAATTGGGACCGGACCGGATCAAAACCGGACCGGATCAAGACCGGACTGTATCCAATTCAATCTTCGGTCCTTATATTTTCAAAAAAACCGGACTGGACCGGATCAATTTGGGCCAATTTAACCGGACCGGACCGTATAGCCACCCCTAGTTATCGTATAGAAGCAGGGGAATCAACAATGAAGTGATTAGTTACAGTAAATTTGCAACTTGTGATTCGATTCCAACACTCTAATCCAATATCAAACCGATATAATAAGACGATGAAATTAATTTATCTAAGCTTCAATATTGTGCCTGGAAAGTTGTGAGATAGTGAAATTGACAGGAAAGTATGTGCTAGTTTTGATCTTATTGGCCATTTGAATATTGCTTAAATTGAAGAAATATCCAAGGAAACATATCAAAATATTGTCGGGATAATAGGTTTAAGCCCCAGCCAAATAAAATTTTTATTGAACAATAAACATTATTTACCTTTCTTCAATTGGAGAAATATCCAAGCAAACTGATTACAAAATAGTTATGGATAATGGGCTTTAGCCCAATCAAATAAAAACTTTAGTGAACCGTAAACATGATTCACGTTTATATTAATTGATATATATTTTTTAAAGTTATGATATACAATATTGGATAGGTCAATTATATAATTGGATGCCTACAATATTTTTGGACCACGTGAGTAAGAGAGAAGAAAAGCCCAAACGTGAAGAAAGAGCCAGAGAATCCTGTAGCTGACTTATTGAAAGATTTCACCGTTTACATGTCTTCAGTTAATTATTTTCCTGTAGCCTGACAACAATTAATTTTAGAGGTCTAGCAGAGATGAAGTATTTATCTCTTGATCAAGATGTTGTGGCTTTCATTGTCCGACCAATAACAAATATTTACGGTTCGTGGATTTGAATTCCAATTGTGAGATTTTGGATTGACCGGATTGTCAAATGTAAAAATTAAGACCACATATTGGATTGCAAGTCTTATGTTTTTTTCCCTCCAAAGATCCTCCATTTGGTTTGGATGCAAGACAGCATAAGATTGAGCGGATTTGAACAAACTTCTTACTCACTATTATCAAATCGGTGTCATGCCGGTCGTACAACCAGATTCAATCGTTACCAGACACAAAAGAGGTTCAAACAACCCTGGTGTGAAATTTTCTTATAAACGGATCAATATCGGTCATAATCAAGAAACTAGTGCTCCGACCGGTATGACCAACTTTTTATCCCTAAATGAGATGAGGTCGTTTTGGTGAATTAAATTAACAAAAAAATGAGCATTTTTCATTTGGTTTTATAATATTCTATATTATACAAATATGGATTTTGATGGTATTTTTTTATTCAAATATAAACGTTAAATATTGTATTCAAATATGATGATTTCTCATTTTGTTTGTAATGGTTTGTATTATTATTTCAATATGAATGTAGATAATAGAGAGATTTTCTTGAGATAAGTTATATGCGTAATTCAATTGATGTCAATTGTCGCCAACTTCCCCTTCATATTTGATTGAAACTAGCATAAATTATTTGTTTCTCGAATCTATAATACTACTAACTAAATTGGTATAACGGTGTAAACTGATTTGAGGAGGATATGTTCTTTCTCATTTACCCTCTTTCATTCAATGCATCATGTATCTAAAAATTGTGTATAATAGCAAAACAAAGGTCAAATTACGTACCGAATTTTATTGGACGGACAAAGGAGCGTATATACACGATAACATTATTGATTTACATATAATTATTGCATATATAAAATTTAAAACTCAAGATACTAGAAATAGTTTCTTTCAATCAATGCACGGCATCATGTATGTCAAAATTGCCAATAATAATTGATTGAAAATATATCTATCAAATTATTGAAAATATATCTTCTGAAGGTGCACCAGATCACCACGTCATCTGTCCAGGTGTTGCCCAGGCCCAATATATGGCCACCAGTATGAAAAATCAAACATTAAAAATATCATTAAATGTGGTAAAAATGCGATTAATTTCGCTCTTTAAAGTTTAGGAAATCATATTATACTGGCCGGTCCGACCGGAAATATTGAATACAAGACCCAAAATGATAGGCGATTTTAGCGGTAGGAAACAGTTGAACAATAATTAAATTATGATTTTGCTACAAAATACCATATTATTAACCTTTTTGATATGACCTCCAGTAAGGTTTCACAAACGTAATCTTTAAACGAAGAATTCCTCTATAATTGATTATACAGTTCTTTTTTTTTCCCAGTCTTTCTCCATGTCTTCTCTATTCTGTATCTATTTATCCATCTCTAGTTCACTTCTATCCACTCTATATCTCTACTTTACTGTTGCCGCCAATAACAACCCAAATTTATGGATTCTCCGTGGTTACCCGTTATCCTTTCCGTACGGGTAATGAGTACCCGTTAATCCGTACGGTTTTGAGACATGAGATGAAGTTTCTTCTCCAAATGGGACTGAGTACCCGTTTCAAACGAGAAGAGTACCCAGTCTCGTCCCCTTGCCCACTCCTATATAAATACCATCGTTGAAATCCCCGAAAATTGCAAGCTATAATTAAACATGAAATATTGTATTCAAATATGATGATTTGTTATTTTGTTAGTAATGTTGTATTTTATTTAAGGACTGATATCATACAACGTTTGAAATATATAAAAAAATGTTGATTGTATACTATTTTATTCAATGTTCTAATCCTATCCCGTTATATGATAATTTGTGCTATTTATGCCATGACGCTTTCATTGACCGTTAGAGATAACGGTTAACCAAACGGTGATTAAAGCAATGTTAACTTTTGTTGAAGTGGTAGAAAATGTGGCATCCATAAAACATAAATTTTATAATTAAAAATACTAAAAACGGTTAATATATTTGCCGTTGCCCACTCCTATATCAACTTAATTTCACAATTCTTGGGGGTATGATTAATTTTTGTGGTCCATCATATTATTTTGATGCAACAGTTTTTATTCTCGCCTATATAATTGATCACGCGGCTGACATATATTGCTAGCTAGTGATGTCAAAGATTTGATTCTTTGATTAAGTTTTGAAATATGTACTTTCAAAACTTATTACAAGCGTCGGGAGGATATTGGGTGGAGTAGAAAAAGAATCTTTGATCTCAGAAGAAGTAAATGCCACAAGACCAACACAGTACTCCCCCAACTGCAAACCCAAGTTAAATAGGTGCACCGTGCATGGAAGAAAACTCTCACCAATTTTCTCTAAAGCAGACCATTGTCATGAACGGCGGGTCAAGCTCCGGCGGAAGACGTTCCAACAGCGGCAGCGGCAGCAACAGCGACGATGAAGCAGCAGCTGGGTTCCTTTACCTCGGCCTGGGCGACTACAGCCTCAGTTACTACAACGCCTCCCTCAACATGTCCGCTGCCGAACTGAAAGAGTGGGTCAATGAACACTACGGAGTGCCGATAAGCCGGATCAAGATCTACCATGAATCCAACGCCGCAGAAGACGGGGAGCTGATGGATGACCGCCGGACGCTGGCTTACTACGGCTTCACCAAAGGAGGTAACCGCGTCTACCGCATGCGGATCGCGGAGCAGCGGCGGAGCACCCTCTTCCCCTTGTGGGTGTCTGAGTCTGGCGTTGACGGTTATTCCCTTCACTTCAATGTCACGGAGGCTACCACCGTAGCACAGCTCAAGGACATGATCCTTGAGAGGTTGAGGGGGCCTGATGGTGGCGGTGGCCGTGGCCGTGGCGGTGGCGGTGCCCTAACTTTGCATCACCTCATCGACACCGAGGGACTCAACAACATCCCTATGGTGTGCGAGGACAAGCCTCTGAGTGCGGATCCCATGACTAAGGGGGGTCCTTAGTCACTTGACTAAGCTCCTCCTAGCCATTAGATCTGGACACTTCAATCTAATGGTTAAAAAGTGGGAAGGGCTATTTAATTAATGATAGGGGTAGTTTGGGTATTATGGAAAATTACAAAGTATACAAACTGGATTTACAATCAGTACAAACCATACAAACATACGAACAGTACAAACTAGAGCGACAAAACATACAAACATTACAAACGTATGAACTGTACAAACAATACAAACTAGACCGACAAACAATACAAACCATACAAAAAGAAAAAACACCCGGGTTGACTTTCGAGGCTCCATCCCTATATAGAGGGGCTCCTTCCCAAAGTCAACCCAGGTGTTTTTTAGACATACAAACAGTACGAACATGGTGGACAAAAATGACAAACTATAGCGACAATCCATACGAACTAAAAAAACACCCGGGTTGACTTTGGAGGCTCCATCCCTATATAGAGGGGCTCCTTCCCAAAGTCAACCCGGGTGTTTTTTAGACATACAAACAGTACGAACATGGTGGACAAAAATGACAAACTATACCGACAATCCATACGAACTGAAAAAACACCCGGGTTGACTTTGGGGGCTCCATCCCTATATAGAGGGACTCCTTCCCAAAGTCAACCCGGGTGTTTTTTAGACATAAAAAACATTACAAACATGGTTGACAAAAATGATAAACACGATACACAAAAATAACAAAGTTTACAAACATTACAAATAAAACCGACAAACATTACAAAATAACAAAGCATACAAACATTACAAAAAAACCCGACAAACATTACAAAAATAACAAAGCGTACAAACATTACAAAATAAACCGACAAACAATACAAAGCATTACTAACAGTACAAAATCTCTCTCTCTCTCTCTCTCTCTCTCTCTCTCTCTCTCTCTTGGGAACTTGGGGAATAAATTCCCATAACAAAAAGTGACCGCCCAGGTGACGGAATTCCCTGGTCGGCGATGGCGGATCCCGGCGGGGGAAAAAAAAGAGACGGACGGCAGGGCAGGGAGAGAAGAGCCGGAAAAAAATATTTAATAATTAAAAATAAAAATAATCATGAACTTACAGTTTTGCCCTTCATTAAAGTAGATTAATTGTAGCCATTAGATTTTAATGAGATGGAAGGGCTGAGATTTATTTAGTCATGTGACTAAGGCCCCCCCTCTTAGTCACCTGATCCTAGCCCCAAGCCTCTGCTGTACTACCTGGTCACCGAAGGCCGCCACGTGAGGATGAGCTATGGCGGCTGATCCATGGAGTGAATAATTAGTGTGTCGTGTGTCGTTAGGAGGTTGTGTTTGGTTTGATCATTTCTTGTATTTGTTGTTTGTGTGGCAAAAGAGAGTCAAGTTAAGGGGGTAGTTTGAGTTAGTTTGAGTCAATGTTGGGTTTAGTTTATGAAAATCGGGGTAGTGAGAAGTTGGCGATTTATGTACTCTTGGATCATGTATTCTCTTCTTTTTTTTTTCTTTTTTTTTTTGAAATAAAATATCGCTAGTTTACCCCAAAAGAGCTCGCTTAATTTATGCATGTCATGTTTTATTATTATGATTATGACTCAAACATACATGAACCATATAGAAAAAAAGCACTAGAACACCTTACCTGCCCCAAGTCAAAATAGAGTAGAAGCACAATATTCACGTAAAGAGGCTTAACCCATACATTAATTATCCAAATAAAAGCTCGCAACTCTCAAACTCAATCATTAGCACTATCCAAAAATCAAAAGATATATGTGGCACCATCAATTTCTTTAACTCTCAAACTTTGACTTGCCAATGCCAGCACACTAAGAAACGACCAAGTATGATTACAACTCAACAATACAGTATAGTGAGTTCAGTTTTAATTGTCAACCCGAGTCCTATATGTACTGACTACTCAGCAAATTATTTATTATCTAGCGATCAACCAACGTATAGAGGAGTTGTTTGTATGCAAAGTATAAAAGAAAGCAGGTAAATGTTATGATTTTCAACTGTGAGAAAGACCACTCATGTAACCGCCCCTCTAGTCTGCAGTTAGGCCAAGTTGTAACTCCCCCAATTCGTTTCAATCGATATTTATATTGCGAAAAGTCCCGAAAGAGTTTGGAATCTCGACTAAAGCAGACCAGACCAAGAACCTCTTGAATAAACTACAAACGCAATTCGGTAAGCCTTCCTCTATTGGCTTTTGGTTCCAGTACAGAGCAATGAATCGATTTACTACTTCCAAATGAAGTTGCTCTATTGACCTATTCACAAACTATCATTCTAGGTCAAAGCAAGAATCATACAAATGTGATCAAGACTCATATAATTCTGATTAATGCCCCAATTGAATATAAATAATCAAATGTCATGTATGTGGGTTCATACAACTGCTCCTAGCATACAGATCTAGGTTTCTTCATACCAAGACGGAAGATGTGCTTAATCCATGGAGAAAGGGATAAATGCAAGGCTCGAGACGGACATCATTGTGTGAATGAGTGAAATCTTCTCCAAATCAGCAATCGATACTCCGAGGGGGAGGAATCAAGCTCCAATGGTCCTAGGTGGTTTCAAATCAGCTCGTGACTCTCCAAACGAGTTATAACCTAAGTCACGACCGTAAACGACGTCGTCCCTTCAATCCGGAAGGAAAGAGTTACGGTTGACAGCTGGGAGTTAAGGCCATCATACTCTAGCTTCGCAACATGCCATATGACCTTGACTAGCTGATACGTGCTTTCGCTTCATGCCATGACCTAATCAATGAAGAACATTGAACTGAAGATAAAACATGATTAAGAGTGGGCCTCTTGAGACATAATTGATGGTCTATAGCATCGATGATCTAAGAGTCAAGCATTGATACTACTTGAGCTATATATGGTTGGTGCATTATAACTCCCGATGGGCCTTATGCCGAGTTGGGCTTAGTCGTTGGGGTATTATTATTTTTGGTTAATTGTTATGTTATTGTGATTATTTAGGGATATTCGTATTAGTTTATTGTGTCTTGTTGAGTAAGTTATTAGTTACCTTATTAGAGTGGGATAAGGTTAGCTATTAGGTTTTCTTGTGTTTCCCTATAAATATGTACTTTGTGGTTCAGTTATGAATAAGAAGAAGATTATTCCAGTAATTATCATAGTCGCTTAGGAGTAGAATTAAAATAATTTAGCGATTCACGACGCGTGAATTCTATCACGCGCCAATGGTTAATAATTTTCTCTACTCTTGTGTAACATCAATGGGGGTATCACTAGAATGTAATTTCTTAACAACCTATATTATACTAAGCACAATGTATATAGTAATATACTATATAATCACAAGCATCGATAAGAAATAATTCATATTGAACTAATGAGTCTCGCCCAAAACCTTCCTAAACCTACTAGGACACAGTTTCTCTCACTTAGGGATGAAACAAGGCCTTTTGGATCTTTATTTGAGCTTGGGCTTAAGTGGCAGCGGGGTGACGGTTCTGGCTGACACATGTTTTCTTCGTGGTTTGAGCTCTTTTGCCCATAAGCAACCTCTCATGAAGATTTTTTCGTGATTTGACCAAATTTGCTTGCCGTTTGACGTGGTAGGGAACCCATTGTAAGATAAAAGATATTAGATACTCAGAAAGTAAACAAGATGTATATGCTCTGGAATTCCTTATAATGTACTCAATAACATACTAAGGCACCACATGATCATATTTACTCGTTATGCATGTTGGTTCAGTTTTTATGTTATGGAAGAATGGTATTAAGAGTAGGACTGACCCTTTTGCTCGCACTCAGGATTTGAAGAAGCACTAGAGTATAATAGGGATTCATCATTTCACAACAAGGATTAGTGGATCCAGAGGACTCCAAGATGAAGTTAGTAAAGTTCAGTACTTGGTGGGACATAAGACTTTATGTGATTTTTCAAATGGATGTTTCAAAGTCAAATTTTTCAAGTATGTTCATGTTTCAATGTTGTTTTGTATTTATCACCTCTGTTGTTGTTCAACATATTTCAATAATGATTTATGATTAAGGGAATTTTGGTAAAAAGCAGTACCTGACCGTGTTAGGTTGTTACAGAAACCAACCAGAAGGGAGGAATCGACACTAAAAATGGCTACACAGGCCCTGTTTTCTCTATTGTGGCTGCCGATTCCTGTGGTATTTTGGGGACTTTGTTTTGATCAATGATAGCCCAGAAACCCTTACCCATGGCTTACTAGTTCTTTAGGTGCGTAGGTATGTGAACCCTAGGGGTTATAGTCATTTAAAACTCGATGTCTGGTTTAATGCGATTGTTTTTTTTTCATATGTGCTGATTCTTGATTTCCTCTATTTTGTTATTTGTCCATTTGGATGAATGCTTGGTCAACCTTGCACTCTTCGAGGTGCAAGGATCGAAATCCTAGTCGTGTTGGATTAGACAAGACATGGCGGTCCTATTCGATCGATCCTTCAATCCAACGACGTGATGCCTCAAGGGAGGAATCCATAGGGTCCTTATCTCCCATTAATTCGGGTAAATGCTTTGACACAAGGTGATATCGAATAGAATACAAAATTGGAAGCTCATATGTTGCCAATTATTGAGGGATACGCGACTATGCGATCTAGATGGAGCTTTCCTATGCAATTTCTTCCTTCTCTGCTATCTGGTCCATCCAACTTAGCTATATGTTCACTTTTATGTGCACTCTTTTCTTTTTGTTTTTGTTTTCCAAAACTAGAGGCACCTCAACCCCCTACATTATTTTTTTCTAAATAAACTGGAACCGTACCTCACTACCAAAGTAAGGTTTATGCGAGAGGCCCTAGGGAAATACGATCCTGGATTTCGGGCCACCTAAATTTGGTATGTGCAGCAATCAATGACATCAGTATCAAATATGAGAGTGATAAACACTATAAATTGAGTGTCATCAGAAATACCCCACACCTGAACTTTGTTTCTCCCCAAGCAAATACTACTCATGATCGTACAACTCAATGAAAACCCGACAATTATCACTCAACCACAATCTTAGGTTGTGGATCAAAAGTAAACTTACAACGTCAATAATAGCATGAGAGACTCCTCTCAAAACAATAGGGTGAAGTTTTTGAAAAACGTTTTTATCTTTGAATGCTTCTACCATCAACTTGACATTCCTTTAAGCACTTTTGCCTTCTTAAAAAACATACTCATTTTCTTATCTTGCAAACATAATTTTTTCTCCTTTTCTAGACTTCTCTGTGTGGAGAGCTCACTAAAGCATTAGACCTTTATTAGTTGAGAAAGATCTCTAAGCTCCTACACCGCAATTTGAGCGGAGGATCAATTAAATAAGGGGTTTCGAAAGCTCTATCCATTCCCTTAAGAACACATCCTCAAGTTTTCTATCAATTAGACGAGTGGAGATTTTACTTGTACTAGAGAGGAACTAGCATCACCTTGTAGGATTTCCTCACTAAAGCTCAATTTTTATCTTGTCCAAAACCCGAATTATTGCAATAAAAAAATGCATCACATGTTGGGCTTACCACACATAATTTCTCAGCATAACATGCCAATTTTTCAAAAAATACAATGTCTTGATGGTTAGATCTTTGCATCCATAGAAGATACAGTTCACCCTATTGAAAAAACTTTTAAAAGGGAAAAATACTATGCATAATCAGAAATCCATGAATAGATCAAACAACATATTATCCAAACATATCAAATGGTCATTTCGTCCCTTTGACTATAAACAAATTACAATTGAACATCTAAAAAACATTTTGAAATACATGGATTTTAAATACAAGTATTTAAAACACATGCATTTCAAATACATTTTATTTAAGATACATGGGTGTGTTTGGATAGAATGATTTGGATTTAATATTTGTGATTTTGATTTCTAAATGTCAAATCATTTGTTTGGATATAAATCACATTTGGTATTTGAATTTGTGCCAAATTCATGGAGTGATTTCCAAATACATGTCTAGTGTATTAATTGTCAACTTCAAATACATTTCAACCACTAGTGATTTGAAATACCTCCTAACAAAAGATTGGATATATTTGTAAAATTTTAAAAGTTTAGTTGCTATAGTGTGAGGAAAAAGATATAAAGGTACCAAAAATTTCTGGAACTATTTGTAAAATTTTAAAAGTTTAGGTACTAAATTGTAAGAAAAAATATATTTGGGTACCAAACTGTAATTTACCAAAATTATTAGTAAGAGAATCCACATTAAAATATAATATATAATTACAGATGCATTGCAAGTTAATTGCATTGATGTAGGTGAATGAAATTAATGTGATGTGGATTGCAAAAAAATTGAGTTGGCAATAAAGAATACAAATGCAATTGTTTTTGCAATTGCATTTATGCTGATGCTCTAAGTGACCAAAAATTTAAAATTAAAATAAAAAATCATAAAATTTGGAATGCATACAAATTACAATTGACTATAAATTTTTTTGAATTACATGTATTTCAAATACTAGTATTTCAAATACATACATTTTAATTACATTTATTTCAAATACCTTACATTTGAAATACAACTATCCAAACAAGCCCATATTTAAATTCCAAAACGCACCCTCATAATGTGCGCAAGTCAGAATTCTATTACAGAACAAGTGTAAAGGACTGCCTAATAATTCTTGGTCTATAGAAGAGCTTAATTATCCCATACGGATTAAGAAGCAAGAGAGAAGATATTGAGACTACTCCCAGCCGGCCGGCCCCATCTTCCATAATCCATACAACGTAACTTCATCTCCAAAAGCAAATGACCACTTCAAGGCTCAAGCTGGACATTGAAATTTGAGACGGAACTGTTAGTGTTGTGGTATATGATCCACGATTGAACTTCTCCCAACAATTCGAGTTATTGAGACCAATTGGTTCTTGACATGGTATCAGAGCCTTCTGTGACGAGAGGTCTTGTGTTCTATTCCCGGTGACCCCCATTTGTTAAGCACATGGTATTCTTGTCTTCAGACCTGTGCAAACTTCAAACTCTTGTGAGTGGCTTTCGTTTGAGGGGGTGTGTTAGTGTTGTGGTATATGATCCACGATTAAACCTCTCCCACAATCCCAAGTTCACCAAATAAGAACCTGCACAAACCATTAATTACACAATGAAATCGAGGGTACATTATCAAATCTCCTTTGCAAGTTGCAACTTATCATAATAACCATGTGAGCAAGCATGATATATACAGAAATGCAAGTTACATAATGATTAAGCATAATGATCATTCATAAACATGGTTTTCTAATATTCTACAAATGATTTAGTAAGCACTTTGAACTTAATTCAATATTAACTGACAAGACGATTTTTGGAGCGATATGCAAGAGTTTTTGTAAGAACTTCGAAGTTAAACATGCTTAGTGCAAAGCAGTGTAAAGATGGGCGGCAACCTAAGAAGTCATTATGATGCAACCTAAAAGTAAAAATCATGCGAAAATAGACTCAAAGCGGGCAATATTTTGGTTAGAAAAATGGTTGGGATGTTATATTAATTATGTGAATTAAAAAAATGATATTAGACTAGAGAGCTACTCATTAGTGCTACTGACCACTCCCACACCAGCAATTAATATATAGAAATTTTTAACGTCGTCGAAATAAAACCAAAGTATGAATTGATATAACAAACGACCACAAATTATTAACTTGATCGATATTCAATCATTAAAAATTTGTTAATGAACTAATCCCTCATAAGAACAATATAAGTACTCGATACATAATAACACTTTAAAACACATACCCATAATAGAGTATATAGTCTAAAACAAATTTAAACCACAAAATATTAAAATGACCGCAAATTTTAAACCACCAAGTATTAGATTCTGATGTGGCTTCCGTTAAACCACTAAATGCCCAAAAACTATTTGTTTACCAAGTAATAAAGTTAAAACCCAAAGCCCACATGCCCTTGCCTCCCGTAGCCCAAATATAAACCCACGTACACCCTGCCTCAGCCTACCCTTCTTTCTTTGGTCCGTCGTCGGGCTTCGGCCTCAAGAAATGAGTAGATGGACACTGGAGGCAATCGGAACAAGAGGGAGCGGCTGGAAAGCTTTGAGCTGACTGGCCGACTTTCTTCGGTTCGAACGGTTAATCGTTTGAACCGCTAATCTACCGTGCGGTTCAAACTGTTGCGGTTACTTAAACCGTGTTAGTTGGGCCTTGTTGGGCCTCGTCTGATTTGTTTGGATTAGGGTTTTAACCCTAAGTTTATCTATATAAGTTTAGCTATCTACTTGTGTGATAGTAAGCCGTCAAGATGTAATCCTAATAAGAGATCAGTTGTGAGCTCTTATGAGCTCACCGTGGATTAGTCTCGATCAATCGATCGAGGATACCACGTAAAATCCTTTGTTTCGTGTGTTCGTTTCAATTCCGCATCATCAAATTCTACAGAGCAGGTGGCTAACGCTAAATGATAGACAGAGATGGACAGAGGATGCCAAGGATGGAGATCTATCTCAGAAGTTCGAGTCAAATTGGTGGAAGTTCTAAGGAACTCAATGGGAAGCGTTACTTCGATGTGAATTATAAATTTTGAGAGATATCTACATTGGTAGCTAAGAGTGATACTATGTATGACCATGCATGTGGAGTGTTTTCAACATACGTTACCCTCCCCCGTGGCCGCATCGACGTCATCAGTTCAATGTCAATTGTGCCGAGGTTGTCTCGCAAATCCGCCAACATGAGTCCCGAGTCGTCGCCGGGAGAATGTTGCTCCGTCAATCAGTCGCGGTCGTACGTCTAAGGCTTGTGGCGGTGTCACGGCCATCTCCCGAGGTCATCGTCTCTTCTCTAAAGTTGGATTTAGCCAGTAATAGTCACGAAAGGTCAGCCGCCATCGCTCCGTCGTCCAAGTAATTGGGGCCAGAAAGCACCGTCCTCAAGAGGCTCACATCCTGCGTCGAGCGCGTCGCTATCCCCAGGGTTCAGCATCGTCGGCAGGTCGTCAGTTTTGTAGTCTTTGTCAAGCTCATGTTCGTCTCCAGTTCACACGACCAGATTAATTCTTGTCAGTCTTGGACTCCGATTCCGGTGCTCTCGTCATTGTGGCCGGGTCTTCTCTTCTCCATATTGGGAGAATGGTTGGTGGGCGTTCGTCCGGTCCAAGGAATTAGATGGTTATCACCAGGTCAATTAAAGTTTGGAGATCGATTTGTGGGCGTTTGCCTTGTGTTCATGGTGGAAATTGGTCAACATATGTGACGCGACCGCGAGTCCGCCAACATCCAGCGAAGATGGCGTCATCATCTAATCTTTCGCACTCATAGGCGAAATCCAGTCCGCCGTCAGATCCAGTCGATGCGTCGTCATCATCTCCGCCATTCATTCTTCCTTGTCGTTCTCTTCCTTACGGTGTCCTGTGCTGCTGCATCTTTCATTGCCGCGCCACCGTGGAAGGAAGAAGAAGAAAAGGGAAGGGGAACAACAGATTGCACTTGAGAAAGGAAGGAGGAATGGCAAATGAGGTTGTTCCCAACCCTACGGGCCATACCTTCTCCCCTCCCACGAATGCGCCGCCCAAAATCCAAAATTGGGCATGTTGACATTTTCTCTCCAAGTGTTGCCAAAATAGCTCTTATGGGCTTTCACATTTGATATGGTAAGGGTTATGGGCTCTTCTATCATATTTTGGGCTAGCAATTTCATTTTGCAGGCTTTTTTCATCAAATATAGTCAAGTATGGATTGAGGCATTCACGTTCCATAAAATGGTCGTCCCCCTGGCGTTCAAAAGGTAGTACGATCAGAGAAGTCATCGTCCCTTCATCGTCCAGTTCGCATTCACGATCTAAGAAATGGTCGTCCCCTCTTCCGGTTCATTAGTGGGCACATATCAACCATTCATCGCTTTTCAAGCTGGGCATTCACGATGTTCATGCTCAAGCTTGAGGGGGAGAATAGGAGGTCAACATACGTCGGTCAACTAACTCAATCATCAGGTCGACCACGATGTACCAAGTGTGTTCAAGTTCAAGAGACGCAGTCAATCGTCTCCATCATCAGGTTGTTCAGAGAGAGTCAGTCGTCTCCAATCAACCTCGTCCGAGATGTTATTCATCTCGAGTTTTGTGGTTCAAGCCATCATGCTTGTTCTTCACATTTACTTCTTCAAGCTCAACATTCTTGTCATTCATGTCTTCACATGAGGGGGAGTGTTGCGGTTACTTAAACCGTGTTAGTATTGGGCCTTGTTGGGCCTCGTCTGATTTGTTTGGATTAGGGTTTTAACCCTAAGTTTATCTATATAAGTTTAGCTATCTACTTGTGTGATAGTAGGCCGTCAAGATGTAATCCTAATAAGAGATCAGTTGTGAGCTCTTATGAGCTCACCGTGGATTAGTCTCGATCAATCGATCGAGGATACCACGTAAAATCCTTTGTTTCGTGTGTTCGTTTCAATTCCGCATCATCAAATTCTACAAAGCAGGTGGCTAACGCTAAATGATAGACAGAGATGGACAGAGGATGCCAAGGATGGAGATCTATCTCAGAAGTTCGAGTAAAATTGGTGGAAGTTCTAAGGAACTCAATGGGAAGCGTTACTTCGATGTGAATTATAAATTTTGAGAGATATCTACATTGGTAGCTAAGAGTGATACTATGTATGACCATGCATGTGGAGTGTTTTCAAAACTACTCAGGACTTGCAGGATATGAAACAATCTTCACACGGTGCAACCAATAACGATGTATCATACTCAGGTCATCAACATAACTATCCCATTGTAGCTGGGCTTAAGACAAACCCAACAGTTGGGCGGTAAAATAGGAGATTGAAAGGTCCATTAGAGTGACGCAAAAGTCACAAAGTTCAATCAAAATCACATGCTCTCTTTCTCTCCCCCACTTTTTGTTTATTTAACATTTAATTATTATGATATTTAATTATTTGTATCTATATCTTCATTGATATATCATATGCAACGTAACAAGGTGAAAACTAGTTGTCCTCAACCGGTTGGAGGTGATACTGGGTCTCAAGTTCAAATAAACAAGGTTCGTGTTTAGTCTCGGTCTATTTTGAATTAAAAGAAGACATGATACATTTTTTTCCGTTGAATCAGTTACTTTTCATTACCCAAAACCATTTGCAAAGTACAAATGGCGAACCGATGCAACGAAGGAAAGCCTATACTGAGCAGCCTTGTAAAAGAAATATCAACATTCTACAATCAAACAAAAAAGCAACCCACATTAACCTCTACACCTGATCAAGGCCTACAACTCTCAAACCCTCCTCTAGACACTCATTGTTCCTACTCACAAAATTCAAATCAAGAATAGTTTCCCTAACAAGTTCCTCCGCAATCCTGACTGATGTACCATGAACGCAACGAGAACGTTCTTTCCATAACCCTGCACAATAAATGCACCAAATAAGACCATCAACCCTATCTGCTATTGGTCGCCTGCAACTATGAATACCCGGTGCAACTATGGCTACCCAAGAGTCTCGACAGAGAGAACCAAAATGCAAATCTGCTAACATTCGACGAGCATAGACACATCGAAAGAACATATGATCACGAGGCTCCATTTCTGCATTACAGAGCACACACAAACCATTGACCACTTTCCCCCATTTCAACAACTTATCCTTGGTCACAATACCATCCACCATAGTCATCAAAGCCAAAAAAAATATTCCGGATAATCTTATACTTACTCCAAATGAGACTCCCCCACTCTACCACAATATACTTTATACGCAAGGTCTCCCATACATCAGAAACCTTACAAACTGGCATAAGATAGTTAGCCCAGAAAACCTGACCATTTCGTACCTGCACATTAGGCTGAACCTCCAAAGGTAGCTTAAGAATACGTCGCCAGACCTAGGAACTGCTTGGACTAACCTTGAGAGTCCAAATGCTACTTGTTTTCACCTTATATTGCTGAAACGAAGCAACCCAGATAGCCCCACTCTTCATCAGAAACAACCATACTAGTCGGACTGTGCAAGCTTTATTCCAGGCAGCAAGCTCTCGCAATCCCACTGACGACTCTCTTTTCGTGGTCTAGCCATACGACCCCAACTAACTTTTGCCCGTCCTTCTTCGCCACCATGCTAGAGAAATTAAAAGCAGACCAGCTGAACCTGCTTGAGAACTCATTTATAAATGGTAGTAGTGGGCTTCTCACTCTCTCTCTTATCATTTTCTGCTCTCCTCCCCAACTCCAGGATACCCGCCTTCTCTGATAAAGAATAATCAGATCTACCGCCGACCTCTCTATCTCTCACTCTCTAGACGATGGGGGCTAGAAGCTCCATAACCTCTCCAGTCCCTCCATTTTTTTGTCTATTTCTTTGGAGTGGTTGCATGCAGGTTTATAATTTCATGTTACAAAATCAGGGTACATAGATTGGTAATAATCGTAAATTTTTTTGTTTCTACTTGAAATATTCTTTGATCTCTCCCTCTATATTGACTATCTTCCTCCTATTGTTCCTATTAATTGCTTCCTCAGACAGTCAGACATTTACTTCCTGCCACAATGTCCAATTCTTCATTGTGTATAGATATTTTTATAGAAAATTAACTCAAATAAAACCCAGCAAATCATAGACAATGGATTATCGTATAGAAGCAGGGGAATCAACAAAGAAGTGATTAGTTACAGTAAATTTGCAACTTGTGATTCGATTCCAACACTCTAATCCAATATCAAACCGATATAATAAGCCGATTAAAAGAATGTATCTAAGCTTCAATATTGTGCCTGGAAAGTTGTGGGATAGTGAAATTGACAGAAAAGTATGTGCTAGTTTTGATCTTATTGGCCATTTGAATATTGCTTAAATTGAAGAAATATCCAAGGAAACATATCAAAATATTGTCGGGATAATAGGTTTAAGCCCCAACCAAATAAATTTTTTATTGAACAATAAACATTATTTACCTTTCTTCAATTGGAGAAATATCCAAACAAACTGATTACGAAATAGTAGGGGATAATGGGCTTTAGCCCTATCAAATAAAATCTTTAGTGATCAGTAAACATGATTCACGTTTATACTAATTAATATATATTTTTTCAAGTTATGATATACAATATTGGATAGGTAAATTATATAATTGGATGCCTACAATGTTTTTGGACCACGTGAGTAAGAGAGAAGAAAAGCTCAAACGTGAAGAAAGAGCCAGAGAATCCTCTAGCTGACTTATTGAAAGATTTCACCGTTTACATGTCTTCAGTTAATTAATAACGCTTAAAAAAATAAAAGAAAACTATTAATTCCCACCAATGAACTGGCCACACGCAGAGGGGTTGCAGAATTAGCCTTCATACTGGTCTGATTGTAGAGGTCTAGCAGAGATGAAGTATTTATCTCTTGATCAATTGATAGTAGAAAATGTGGCATCGTCTTTAACACATAAATTTTATAATTAAAAATACTAAAAACGGTTAATATATTTGCCGTTGCCCACTCCTATATCAACTTCATTTTATAATTCTTGGGGCATGATTAATTTGGTGGTCCATCATATTAATTTTTTTAGTACATATAACTCTCAATATAATTTCACAATCCTTGATCCTTACACATACGCTCCGTAATTAGAACTATTTGATCCAATTTTGGTTAAAATCGTATAAGTAATAGTCCATTTTTATGTTTACATTTTCGTCGGAAATGAAAATCTAAATCGAGTTAATCCTCTACAATTTAACCGGATAAGATCTCTTTCCACCTCTAGCAGTTAGGTTGGTGGAGTGGAGCTAGAAATTGGAGTGCCCTTAGCAATTCCTTTGGTTTCCTTTATTGAATACAAATTTCAACTCTGTCATCTCCTCTCCCTTACTCTTTAGTTGCTTCAAGACCCCTTCAAACATGCATATAATGGAACCTACAAAGCTGAGATCAAAGATTCTTTTTCTACTCCATAGTTGGTACAAAGCCCCTTCAATGTCTCTCTTAGCTTTCTTTGCATGCCATTGCCAACAAACAATGGACCACCATCAATGCATCCCACCCTTCCAATAAGCCCTATCTTTGTACTTGTGAAAGTTGAGCTACCATAAAGAATCAAGGTTTGGTCTAGTGATAACACCACTAGTTTCGAACTTGAAAGTTTTAGATTCGAATCTATTAAATTCTACTTACACAAAAAAAAAACAAACTAATACCATCCTTATCAATATAAACACAAATTGTCTAGCATAGAAAGAAAGACGGGTTTGGAATATTGCAATATTTTGGCAAAGGCATCAGAGCACGACATGAAAGGTTGAAAGCGAACATTTTCCATCAAATAAATCGGTGTTTGTGAAACTACAACGAATTTATCCCAAAAAATTTCCTTTCAAAGTCTAAATTAATCCACAGTTGTTAACGACATAAAAAGGTTAAACTACGGCTCAAAGACAAAATGCATGGATGTTGATTTTTTTTTTTTTTGGTACAATGTACTCTCGATACGGTTTCAATCCTTACACGTACGAACCTTACCGCCCCCATCCAATCTCCTCCCGACGCTTGTAATAAGTTTTGAAAGTACATATTTCAAAACCTAATCAAAGAATCAAATCTTTGACATCACTAGCTAGCTATCTGTCAGGCGCGTGATCAATTATATAGGCGAGAATAGAACTGTTGCATCAAAATAATATGATGGACCACCAAATTAATCATGCCCCCAAGAATTGTGAAATTAAGTTGATATCGGAGTGGGCAACGGCAAATATATTAACCTCTACACCTGATCAAGGCCTACAACTCTCAAACCCTCCTCTAGACACTCATTGTTCCTACTCACAAAATTCAAATCAAGAATAGTTTCCCTAACAAGTTCCTCCGCAATCCTGACTGATGTACCATGAACGCAACGAGAACGTTCTTTCCATAACCCTGCACAATAAATGCACCAAATAAGACCATCAACCCTATCTGCTATTGGTCGCCTGCAACTATGAATACCCGGTGCAACTATGGCTACCCAAGAGTCTCGACAGAGAGAACCAAAATGCAAATCTGCTAACATTCGACGAGCATAGACACATCGAAAGAACATATGATCACGAGGCTCCATTTCTGCATTACAGAGCACACACAAACCATTGACCACTTTCCCCCATTTCAACAACTTATCCTTGGTCACAATACCATCCACCATAGTCATCAAAGCCAAAAAAAATATTCCGGATAATCTTATACTTACTCCAAATGAGACTCCCCCACTCTACCACAATATACTTTATACGCAAGGTCTCCCATACATCAGAAACCTTACAAACTGGCATAAGATAGTTAGCCCAGAAAACCTGACCATTTCGTACCTGCACATTAGGCTGAACCTCCAAAGGTAGCTTAAGAATACGTCGCCAGACCTAGGAACTGCTTGGACTAACCTTGAGAGTCCAAATGCTACTTGTTTTCACCTTATATTGCTGAAACGAAGCAACCCAGATAGCCCCACTCTTCATCAGAAACAACCATACTAGTCGGACTGTGCAAGCTTTATTCCAGGCAGCAAGCTCTCGCAATCCCACTGACGACTCTCTTTTCGTGGTCTAGCCATACGACCCCAACTAACTTTTGCCCGTCCTTCTTCGCCACCATGCTAGAGAAATTAAAAGCAGACCAGCTGAACCTGCTTGAGAACTCATTTATAAATGGTAGTAGTGGGCTTCTCACTCTCTCTCTTATCATTTTCTGCTCTCCTCCCCAACTCCAGGATACCCGCCTTCTCTGATAAAGAATAATCAGATTTACCGCCGACCTCTCTATCTCTCACTCTCTAGACGATGGGGGCTAGAAGCTCCATAACCTCTCCAGTCCCTCCATTTTTTTGTCTATTTCTTTGGAGTGGTTGCATGCAGGTTTATAATTTCATGTTACAAAATCAGGGTACATAGATTGGTAATAATCGTAAATTTTTTTGTTTCTACTTGAAATATTCTTTGATCTCTCCCTCTATATTGACTATCTTCCTCCTATTGTTCCTATTAATTGCTTCCTCAGACAGTCAGACATTTACTTCCTGCCACAATGTCCAATTCTTCATTGTGTATAGATATTTTTATAGAAAATTAACTCAAATAAAACCCAGCAAATCATAGACAATGGATTATCGTATAGAAGCAGGGGAATCAACAAAGAAGTGATTAGTTACAGTAAATTTGCAACTTGTGATTCGATTCCAACACTCTAATCCAATATCAAACCGATATAATAAGCCGATTAAAAGAATGTATCTAAGCTTCAATATTGTGCCTGGAAAGTTGTGGGATAGTGAAATTGACAGAAAAGTATGTGCTAGTTTTGATCTTATTGGCCATTTGAATATTGCTTAAATTGAAGAAATATCCAAGGAAACATAACAAAATATTGTCGGGATAATAGGTTTAAGCCCCAACCAAATAAATTTTTTATTGAACAATAAACATTATTTACCTTTCTTCAATTGGAGAAATATCCAAACAAACTGATTACGAAATAGTAGGGGATAATGGGCTTTAGCCCTATCAAATAAAATCTTTAGTGATCAGTAAACATGATTCACGTTTATACTAATTAATATATATTTTTTCAAGTTATGATATACAATATTGGATAGGTAAATTATATAATTGGATGCCTACAATGTTTTTGGACCACGTGAGTAAGAGAGAAGAAAAGCTCAAACGTGAAGAAAGAGCCAGAGAATCCTCTAGCTGACTTATTGAAAGATTTCACCGTTTACATGTCTTCAGTTAATTAATAACGCTTAAAAAAATAAAAGAAAACTATTAATTCCCACCAATGAACTGGCCACACGCAGAGGGGTTGCAGAATTAGCCTTCATACTGGTCTGATTGTAGAGGTCTAGCAGAGATGAAGTATTTATCTCTTGATCAATTGATAGTAGAAAATGTGGCATCGTCTTTAACACATAAATTTTATAATTAAAAATACTAAAAACGGTTAATATATTTGCCGTTGCCCACTCCTATATCAACTTCATTTTATAATTCTTGGGGCATGATTAATTTGGTGGTCCATCATATTAATTTTTTTAGTACATATAACTCTCAATATAATTTCACAATCCTTGATCCTTACACATACGCTCCGTAATTAGAACTATTTGATCCAATTTTGGTTAAAATCGTATAAGTAATAGTCCATTTTTATGTTTACATTTTCGTCGGAAATGAAAATCTAAATCGAGTTAATCCTCTACAATTCAACCGGATAAGATCTCTTTCCACCTCTAGCAGTTAGGTTGGTGGAGTGGAGCTAGAAATTGGAGTGCCCTTAGCAATTCCTTTGCTTTCCTTTATTGAATACAAATTTCAACTCTGTCATCTCCTCTCCCTTACTCTTTAGTTGCTTCAAGACCCCTTCAAACATGCATATAATGGAACCTACAAAGCTGAGATCAAAGATTCTTTTTCTACTCCATAGTTGGTACAAAGCCCCTTCAATGTCTCTCTTAGCTTTCTTTGCATGCCATTGCCAACAAACAATGGACCACCATCAATGCATCCCACCCTTCCAATAAGCCCTATCTTTGTACTTGTGAAAGTTGAGCTACCATAAAGAATCAAGGTTTGGTCTAGTGATAACACCACTAGTTTCGAACTTGAAAGTTTTAGATTCGAATCTATTAAATTGTACTTACACAAAAAAAAAACAAACTAATACCATCCTTATCAATATAAAAACAAATTGTCTAGCATAGAAAGAAAGACGGGTTTGGAATATTGCAATATTTTAGCAAAGGCATCAGAGCACGACATGAAAGGTTGAAAGCGAACATTTTCCATCAAATAAATCGGTGTTTGTGAAACTACAACGAATTTATCCCAAAAAATTTCCTTTCAAAGTCTAAATTAATCCACAGTTGTTAACGACATAAAAAGGTTAAACTACGGCTTAAAGACAAAATGCATGGATGTTGATTTTTTTTTTTTTTTTTGGTACAATGTACTCTCGATACGGTTTCAATCCTTACACGTACGAACCTTACCGCCCCCATCCAATCTCCTCCCGACGCTTGTAATAAGTTTTGAAAGTACATATTTCAAAACTTAATCAAAGAATCAAATCTTTGACATCACTAGCTAGCTATCTGTCAGCCGCGTGATCAATTATATAGGCGAGAATAGAACTGTTGCATCAAAATAATATGATGGACCACCAAATTAATCATGCCCCCAAGAATTGTGAAATTAAGTTGATATAGGAGTGGGCAACGGCAAATATATTAACCGTTTTTATTATTTTTAATTATAAACTTTATGTGTTATGGATGCCACATTTTCTACCACTTCAACAAAAGTTAACATTGCTTTAATCACCGTTTGGCAACCGTTATCTCTAACGATCAATTAAAGCATCATGACATAAATAGCACAAATTATCATATAACGGGATAGGATTAGAACATTGAATAAAATAGTATACAATTAACATTTTTTTTTATTTCAAACGTTGTACTGATATTAGTCCTTAAATAAAATACAACATTACAAACAAAATAACAAATCATCATATTTGAATACAATATTTCATGTTTAATTATAGCTTGCAATTTTCGGGGATTTCAACGATGGTATTTATATAGGAGTGGGCAAAGGGACGAGACTGGGTACTCTTCTCGTTTGAAACGGGTACCCAGTCCCATTTGGAGAAGAAACTTCATCTCATGTCTCAAAATCGTACGGGTACTCATTACCCGTACGAAAAGGATAATGGGTAACCGCGGAGAATCCATAAATTTGGGTGGTTTTCATGATTGGGATTGTTATTGGCGGCAACAGTAAAGTAGAATATATTTCTATCGATGCTTTGAAACTATAATGCATCACGTATTTCATCTTTTTTTAAAAAATATGCATACAAATGTACATGAGCAGTAGCTATTAGTATCATTCCAAATTAAAACACAAGCACAAACCATTGTTCTTCCCGCAATAGAGAGTTAAAAGAAGACTAAATCAATATTAAATGTTGGTGATGGGACCATGATAACAACCCTGAGTCTTGCAGAATTTTGTGAGTGGAACGAACAAGAGCTCCGGTGGCATGTTTAATTAGTTGATAATGATCTTACATAATAAGAGAGAGATATAGAGTGGATAGAAGTGAACTAGAAATGGATAAATGATACAGAATAGAGAAGACATGGAGGAAAACTGGGGAAAAAAAAGAGAAGGAAATGTATAATCAATTATAGAAGAATTCTTCGTCTAAAGATTATGTTTGTGAAACCGTACAGGAGGTCATATCGAAAAAGTTAATAATATGGTATTTTGTAGTAAAATCGTGATTTAATTATTGTTCAATTGTTTCCTACCGCTAAAATCGCCTACCATTTTGGGTCTTGTATCCAATATTTCCGGTCGGACCGGCCGGTATAATATGATTTCCTAAACTTTAAAAAGCGAAATCAATCGCATTTTTACCACATTTAATCATATTTTTAATGTTTGATTTTTCATACCGGTGGCCATATATTGGGCCTGGGCAACACCTGGACGGATGATGTGGTGATCTGGTGCACCTTCAAGAAGATATATTTTCAATAATTTGATAGATATATTTTCAATCAATTATTATTGGCAATTTTGACATACATGATGCCGTGCATTGATTGAAAGAAACTAGATGAGAAGCAGTACTAGTTAGTAACAACTGCTCTCTTCCACCAACTACACATCAATTAGACAAATCCATTTTAATTTTGTACTTGTGAAAGTTGAGCTAGCATAGAAATATGGCTCATCATGAAAAGTTGAAAATTAAAGCCAACATTTTCCATAAAATAAATCGGTGGTTGTGAAACTGTAGCAATCCGACTGAAAAAATCTCTTACAAGTTTCTAAATTGGTAGGTGGCTGTTAGAGGTATAAAACAATTGAACTACGGTTTAAGCACAAAATATTTGACTGTTAATTTTTTTAGCACATATAACTCTATATATAATTTCACAATCCTTGATCCTTACACGTACGATCCGTAATTAGAACTATTTGATCCAATTTTGGTTAAAATCGTATAAATAATAGTCCATTTTTATATTTACATTTTCGTCGGAAATGAAAATCTAAATCGAGTTAATCCTCTACAGTTTAACCGGATAAGATCTCTTTCCACCTCTAGCTGTTAGGTTGGTGGAGTGGAGCTAGAAATTGGAGTGCCCTTAGCAATTCCTTTAGTTTCCTTTATTGAATACAAATTTCAACTCTGTCATCTCTCTCCCTTACTCTTTAGTTGCTTCAAGACCCCTTCAAACATGCATAATGGAACCTGCAATCTCCTCTGCTGTGGACTCTGATGGAGGAGGGAATCTTATTTATGTTTGACCACGTGAGTGAGAGAGAAGAAAAGCCCAAACGTGAAGAAAGAGCCAGAGAATCCTGTAGCAGACTTATTGAAAGATTTCACCGTTTACATGTCTTCAGTTAATTATTTTCCTGTAGCCTGACAACAATTAATTTTAGAGGTCTAGCAGAGATGAAGTATTTATCTCTTGATCAAGATGTTGTGGCTTTCATTGTCCGACCAATAACAAATATTTACGGTTCGTGGATTTGAATTCCAATTGTGAGATTTTGGATTGACCGGATTGTCAAATGTAAAAATTAAGACCACATATTGGATTGCAAGTCTTATGTTTTTTTCCCTCCAAAGATCCTCCATTTGGTTTGGATGCAAGACAGCATAAGATTGAGCGGATTTGAACAAACTTCTTACTCACTATTATCAAATCGGTGTAATGCCGGTCGTACAACCAGATTCAATCGTTACCAGACACAAAAGAGGTTCAAACAACCCTGGTGTGAAATTTTCTTATAAACGGATCAATATCGGTCATAATCAAGAAACTAGTGCTCCGACCGGTATGACCAACTTTTTATCCCTAAATGAGATGAGGTCGTTTTGGTGAATTAGATTAACAAAAAAATGAGCATTTTTCATTTGGTTTTATAATATTCTATATTATACAAATATGGATTTTGATGGTATTTTTTTATTCAAATATAAACGTTAAATATTGTATTCAAATATGATGATTTCTCATTTTGTTTGTAATGGTTTGTATTATTATTTCAATATGAATGTAGATAATAGAGAGATTTTCTTGAGATAAGTTATATGCGTAATTCAATTGATGTCAATTGTCGCCAACTTCCCCTTCATATTTGATTGAAACTAGCATAAATTATTTGTTTCTCGAATCTATAATACTACTAACTAAATTGGTATAACGGTGTAAACTGATTTGAGGAGGATATGTTCTTTCTCATTTACCCTCTTTCATTCAATGCATCATGTATCTAAAAATTGTGTATAATAGCAAAACAAAGGTCCAATTACGTACCGAATTTTATTGGACGGACAAAGGAGCGTATATACACGATAACATTATTGATTTACATATAATTATTGCATATATAAAATTTAAAACTCAAGATACTAGAAATAGTTTCTTTCAATCAATGCACGGCATCATGTATGTCAAAATTGCCAATAATAATTGATTGAAAATATATCTATCAAATTATTGAAAATATATCTTCTGAAGGTGCACCAGATCACCACGTCATCTGTCCAGGTGTTGCCCAGGCCCAATATATGGCCACCAGTATGAAAAATCAAACATTAAAAATATCATTAAATGTGGTAAAAATGCGATTAATTTCGCTCTTTAAAGTTTAGGAAATCATATTATACTGGCCGGTCCGACCGGAAATATTGAATACAAGACCCAAAATGATAGGCGATTTTAGCGGTAGGAAACAGTTGAACAATAATTAAATTACGATTTTACTACAAAATACCATATTATTAACTTTTTCGATATGACCTCCAGTAAGGTTTCACAAACGTAATCTTTAAACGAAGAATTTCTCTATAATTGATTATACGGTTCTTTTTTTTTCCCAGTCTTTCTCCATGTCTTCTCTATTCTGTATCCATTTATCCATCTCTAGTTCACTTCTATCCACTCTATATCTCTACTTTACTGTTGCCGCCAATAACAACCCAAATTTATGGATTCTCCGCGGTTACCCATTATCCTTTCCGTACGGGTAATGAGTACCCGTTAATCCGTACGGTTTTGAGACATGATGAAGTTTCTTCTCCAAATGGGACTGAGTACCCGTTTCAAACGAGAAGAGTACCCAGTCTCGTCCCCTTGCCCACTCCTATATAAATACCATCGTTGAAATCCCCGAAAATTGCAAGCTATAATTAAACATGAAATATTGTATTCAAATATGATGATTTGTTATTTTGTTAGTAATGTTGTATTTTATTTAAGGACTGATATCATACAACGTTTGAAATATATATAAAAAATGTTGATTGTATACTATTTTATTCAATGTTCTAATCCTATCCCGTTATATGATAATTTGTGCTATTTATGCCATGACGCTTTCATTGACCGTTAGAGATAACGGTTAACCAAACGGTGATTAAAGCAATGTTAACTTTTGTTGAAGTGGTAGAAAATGTGGCATCCATAAAACATAAATTTTATAATTAAAAATACTAAAAACGGTTAATATATTTGTCGTTGCCCACTCCTATATCAACTTAATTTCACAATTCTTGGGGGTATGATTAATTTTTGTGGTCCATCATATTATTTTGATGCAACAGTTTTTATTCTCGCCTATATAATTGATCACGCGGCTGACATATATAGCTAGCTAGTGATGTCAAAGATTTGATTCTTTGATTAAGTATTGAAATATGTACTTTCAAAACTTATTACAAGCGTCGGGAGGATATTGGGTGGAGTAGAAAAAGAATCTTTGATCTCAGAAGAAGTAAATGCCACAAGACCAACACAGTACTCCCCCAACTGCAAACCCAAGTTAAATAGGTGCACCGTGCATGGAAGAAAACTCTCACCAATTTTCTCTAAAGCAGACCATTGTCATGAACGGCGGGTCAAGCTCCGGCGGAAGACGTTCCAACAGCGGCAGCGGCAGCGACAGCGACGATGAAGCAGCAGCTGGGTTCCTTTACCTCGGCCTGGGCGACTACAGCCTCAGTTACTACAACGCCTCCCTCAACATGTCCGCTGCCGAACTGAAAGAGTGGGTCAATGAACACTACGGAGTGCCGATAAGCCGGATCAAGATCTACCAGGAATCCAACGCCGCAGAAGACGGGGAGCTGATGGATGACCGCCGGACGCTGGCTTACTACGGCTTCACCAAAGGAGGTAACCGCGTCTACCGCATGCGGATCGCGGAGCAGCGGCGGAGCACCCTCTTCCCCTTGTGGGTGTCTGAGTCTGGCGTTGACGGTTATTCCCTTCACTTCAATGTCACGGAGGCTACCACCGTAGCACAGCTCAAGGACATGATCCTTGAGAGGTTGAGGGGGCCTGATGGTGGCGGTGGCCGTGGCCGTGGCCGTGGCGGTGCCCTAACTTTGCATCACCTCATCGACACCGAGGGACTCAACAACATCCCTATGGTGGGCGAGGACAAGCCTCTGCTGTACTACCTGGTCACCGAAGGCCGCCACGTGAGGATGAGCTTTGGCGGCTGATCCATGGAGTGAATAATTAGTGTGTCGTGTGTCGTTAGGAGGTTGTGTTTGGTTTGATCATTTCTTGTATTTGTTGTTTGTGTGGCAAAAGAGAGTCAAGTTAAAGGGGTAGTTTGAGTTAGTTTGAGTCAATGTTGGGTTTAGTTTATGAAAATCGGGGTAGTGAGAAGTTGGCGATTTATGTACTCTTGGATCATGTATTCTCTTCTTTTTTTTTCTTTTTTTTTTTTTGAAATAAAATATCGCTAGTTTACCCCAAAAGAGCTCGCTTAATTTATGCATGTCATGTTTTATTATTATGATTATGACTCAAACATACATGAACCATATAGAAAAAAAGCACTAGAACACCTTACCTGCCCCAAGTCAAAATAGAGTAGAAGCACAATATTCACGTAAAGAGGCTTAACCCATACATTAATCATCCAAATAAAAGCTCGCAACTCTCAAACTCAATCATTAGCACTATCCAAAAATCAAAAGATATATGTGGCACCATCAATTTCTTTAACTCTCAAACTTTGACTTGCCAATGCCAGCACACTAAGAAACGACCAAGTATGATTGCAACTCAACAATACAGTATAGTGAGTTCAGTTTTAATTGTCAACCCGAGTCCTATATGTACTGACTACTCAGCAAATTATTTATTATCTAGCGATCAACCAACGTATAGAGGAGTTGTTTGTATGCAAAGTATAAAAGAAAGCAGGTAAATGTTATGATTTTCAACTGTGAGAAAGACCACTCATGTAACCGCCCCTCTAGTCTGCAGTTAGGCCAAGTTGTAACTCCCCCAATTCGTTTCAATCGATATTTATATTGCGAAAAGTCCCGAAAGAGTTTGGAATCTCGACTAAAGCAGACCAGACCAAGAACCTCTTGAATAAACTACAAACGCAATTCGGTAAGCCTTCCTCTATTGGCTTTTGGTTCCAGTACAGAGCAATGAATCGATTTACTACTTCCAAATGAAGTTGCTCTATTGACCTATTCACAAACTATCATTCTAGGTCAAAGCAAGAATCATACAAATGTGATCAAGACTCATATAATTCTGATTAATGCCCCAATTGAATATAAATAATCAAATGTCATGTATGTGGGTTCATACAACTGCTCCTAGCATACAGATCTAGGTTTCTTCATACCAAGATGGAAGATGTGCTTAATCCATGGAGAAAGGGATAAATGCAAGGCTCGAGACGGACATCATTGTGTGAATGAGTGAAATCTTCTCCAAATCAGCAATCGATACTCCGAGGGGGAGGAATCAAGCTCCAATGGTCCTAGGTGGTTTCAAATCAGCTCGTGACTCTCCAAACGAGTTATAACCTAAGTCACGACCGTAAACGACGTCGTCCCTTCAATCCGGAAGGAAAGAGTTACGGTTGACAGCTGGGAGTTAAGGCCATCATACTCTAGCTTCGCAACATGCCATATGACCTTGACTAGCTGATACGTGCTTTCGCTTCATGCCATGACCTAATCAATGAAGAACATTGAACTGAAGATAAAACATGATTAAGAGTGGGCCTCTTGAGACATAATTGATGGTCTATAGCATCGATGATCTAAGAGTCAAGCATTGATACTACTTGAGCTATATATGGTTGGTGCATTATAACTCCCGATGGGCCTTATGCCGAGTTGGGCTTAGTCGTTGGGGTATTATTATTTTTGGTTAATTGTTATGTTATTGTGATTATTTAGGGATATTCGTATTAGTTTATTGTGTCTTGTTGAGTAAGTTATTAGTTACCTTATTAGAGTGGGATAAGGTTAGCTATTAGGTTTTCTTGTGTTTCCCTATAAATATGTACTTTGTGGTTCAGTTATGAATAAGAAGAAGATTATTCCAGTAATTATCATAGTCGCTTAGGAGTAGAATTAAAATAATTTAGCGATTCACGACGCGTGAATTCTATCACGCGCCAATGGTTAATAATTTTCTCTACTCTTGTGTAACATCAATGGGGGTATCACTAGAATGTAATTTCTTAACAACCTATATTATACTAAGCACAATGTATATAGTAATATACTATATAATCACAAGCATCGATAAGAAATAATTCATATTGAACTAATGAGTCTCGCCCAAAACCTTCCTAAACCTACTAGGACACAGTTTCTCTCACTTAGGGATGAAACAAGGCCTTTTGGATCTTTATTTGAGCTTGGGCTTAAGTGGCAGCGGGGTGACGGTTCTGGCTGACACATGTTTTCTTCGTGGTTTGAGCTCTTTTGCCCATAAGCAACCTCTCATGAAGATTTTTTCGTGATTTGACCAAATTTGCTTGCCGTTTGACGTGGTAGGGAACCCATTGTAAGATAAAAGATATTAGATACTCAGAAAGTAAACAAGATGTATATGCTCTGGAATTCCTTATAATGTACTCAATAACATACTAAGGCACCACATGATCATATTTACTCGTTATGCATGTTGGTTCAGTTTTTATGTTATGGAAGAATGGTATTAAGAGTAGGACTGACCCTTTTGCTCGCACTCAGGATTTGAAGAAGCACTAGAGTATAATAGGGATTCATCATTTCACAACAAGGATTAGTGGATCCAGAGGACTCCAAGATGAAGTTAGTAAAGTTCAGTACTTGGTGGGACATAAGACTTTATGTGATTTTTCAGATGGATGTTTCAAAGTCAAATTTTTCAAGTATGTTCATGTTTCAATGTTGTTTTGTATTTATCACCTCTGTTGTTGTTCAACCTATTTCAATAATGATTTATGATTAAGGGAATTTTGGTAAAAAGCAGTACCTGACCGTGTTAGGTTGTTACAGAAACCAACCAGAAGGGAGGAATCGACACTAAAAATGGCTACACAGGCCCTGTTTTCTCTATTGTGGCTGCCGATTCCTGTGGTATTTTGGGGACTTTGTTTTGATCAATGATAGCCCAGAAACCCTTACCCATGGCTTACTAGTTCTTTAGGTGCGTAGGTATGTGAACCCTAGGGGTTATAGTCATTTAAAACTCAATGTCTGGTTTAATGCGATTGTTTTTTTTTCATATGTGCTGATTCTTGATTTCCTCTATTTTGTTATTTGTCCATTTGGATGAATGCTTGGTCAACCTTGCACTCTTCGAGGTGCAAGGATCGAAATCCTAGTCGTGTTGGATTAGACAAGACATGGCGGTCCTATTCGATCGATCCTTCAATCCAACGACGTGATGCCTCAAGGGAGGAATCCATAGGGTCCTTATCTCCCATTAATTCGGGTAAATGCTTTGACACAAGGTGATATCGAATAGAATACAAAATTGGAAGCTCATATGTTGCCAATTATTGAGGGATACGCGACTATGCGATCTAGATGGAGCTTTCCTATGCAATTTCTTCCTTCTCTGCTATCTGGTCCATCCAACTTAGCTATATGTTCACTTTTATGTGCACTCTTTTCTTTTTGTTTTTGTTTTCCAAAACTAGAGGCACCTCAACCCCCTACATTATTTTTTTCTAAATAAACTGGAACCGTACCTCACTACCAAAGTAAGGTTTATGCGAGAGGCCCTAGGGAAATACGATCCTGGATTTCGGGCCACCTAAATTTGGTATGTGCAGCAATCAATGACATCAGTATCAAATATGAGAGTGATAAACACTATAAATTGAGTGTCATCAGAAATACCCCACACCTGAACTTTGTTTCTCCCCAAGCAAATACTACTCATGATCGTACAACTCAATGAAAACCCGACAATTATCACTCAACCACAATCTTAGGTTGTGGATCAAAAGTAAACTTACAACGTCAATAATAGCATGAGAGACTCCTCTCAAAACAATAGGGTGAAGTTTTTGAAAAACGTTTTTATCTTTGAATGCTTCTACCATCAACTTGACATTCCTTTAAGCACTTTTGCCTTCTTAAAAAACATACTCATTTTCTTATCTTGCAAACATAATTTTTTCTCCTTTTCTAGACTTCTCTGTGTGGAGAGCTCACTAAAGCATTAGACCTTTATTAGTTGAGAAAGATCTCTAAGCTCCTACACCGCAATTTGAGCGGAGGATCAATTAAATAAGGGATTTCGAAAGCTCTATCCATTCCCTTAAGAACACATCCTCAAGTTTTCTATCAATTAGACGAGTGGAGATTTTACTTGTACTAGAGAGGAACTAGCATCACCTTGTAGGATTTCCTCACTAAAGCTCAATTTTTATCTTGTCCAAAACCCGAATTATTGCAATAAAAAAATGCATCACATGTTGGGCTTACCACACATAATTTCTCAGCATAACATGCCAATTTTTCAAAAAATACAATGTCTTGATGGTTAGATCTTTGCATCCATAGAAGATACAGTTCACCCTATTGAAAAAACTTTTAAAAGGGAAAAATACTATGCATAATCAGAAATCCATGAATAGATCAAACAACATATTATCCAAACATATCAAATGGTCATTTCGTCCCTTTGACTATAAACAAATTACAATTGAACATCTAAAAAACATTTTGAAATACATGGATTTTAAATACAAGTATTTAAAACACATGCATTTCAAATACATTTTATTTAAGATACATGGGTGTGTTTGGATAGAATGATTTGGATTTAATATTTGTGATTTTGATTTCTAAATGTCAAATCATTTGTTTGGATATAAATCACATTTGGTATTTGAATTTGTGCCAAATTCATGGAGTGATTTCCAAATACATGTCTAGTGTATTAATTGTCAACTTCAAATACATTTCAACCACTAGTGATTTGAAATACCTCCTAACAAAAGATTGGATATATTTGTAAAATTTTAAAAGTTTAGTTGCTATAGTGTGAGGAAAAAGATATAAAGGTACCAAAAATTTCTGGAACTATTTGTAAAATTTTAAAAGTTTAGGTACTAAATTGTAAGAAAAAATATATTTGGGTACCAAACTGTAATTTACCAAAATTATTAGTAAGAGAATCCACATTAAAATATAATATATAATTACAGATGCATTGCAAGTTAATTGCATTGATGTAGGTGAATGAAATTAATGTGATGTGGATTGCAAAAAAATTGAGTTGGCAATAAAGAATACAAATGCAATTGTTTTTGCAATTGCATTTATGCTGATGCTCTAAGTGACCAAAAATTTAAAATTAAAATAAAAAATCATAAAATTTGGAATGCATACAAATTACAATTGACTATAAATTTTTTTGAATTACATGTATTTCAAATGCTAGTATTTCAAATACATACATTTTAATTACATTTATTTCAAATACCTTACATTTGAAATACAACTATCCAAACAAACCCATATTTAAATTCCAAAACGCACCCTCATAATGTGCGCAAGTCAGAATTCTATTACAGAACAAGTGTAAAGGACTGCCTAATAATTCTTGGTCTATAGAAGAGCTTAATTATCCCATACGGATTAAGAAGCAAGAGAGAAGATATTGAGACTACTCCCAGCCGGCCGGCCCCATCTTCCATAATCCATACAACGTAACTTCATCTCCAAAAGCAAATGACCACTTCAAGGCTCAAGCTGGACATTGAAATTTGAGACGGAACTGTTAGTGTTGTGGTATATGATCCACGATTGAACTTCTCCCAACAATTCGAGTTATTGAGACCAATTGGTTCTTGACATGGTATCAGAGCCTTCTGTGACGAGAGGTCTTGTGTTCTATTCCCGGTGACCCCCATTTGTTAAGCACATGGTATTCTTGTCTTCAGACCTGTGCAAACTTCAAGCTCTTGTGAGTGGCTTTCGTTTGAGTGGGTGTGTTAGTGTTGTGGTATATGATCCACGATTAAACCTCTCCCACAATCCCAAGTTCACCAAATAAGAACCTGCACAAACCATTGATTACACAATGAAATCGAGGGTACATTATCAAATCTCCTTTGCAAGTTGCAACTTATCATAATAACCATGTGAGCAAGCATGATATATACAGAAATGCAAGTTACATAATGATTAAGCATAATGATCATTCATAAACATGGTTTTCTAATATTCTACAAATGATTTAGTAAGCACTTTGAACTTAATTCAATATTAACTGACAAGACGATTTTTGGAGCGATATGCAAGAGTTTTTGTAAGAACTTCGAAGTTAAACATGCTTAGTGCAAAGCAGTGTAAAGATGGGCGGCAACCTAAGAAGTCATTATGATGCAACCTAAAAGTAAAAATCATGCGAAAATAGACTCAAAGCGGGCAATATTTTGGTTAGAAAAATGGTTGGGATGTTATATTAATTATGTGAATTAAAAAAATGATATTAGACTAGAGAGCTACTCATTAGTGCTACTGACCACTCCCACACCAGCAATTAATATATAGAAATTTTTAACGTCGTCGAAATAAAACCAAAGTATGAATTGATATAACAAACGACCACAAATTATTAACTTGATCGATATTCAATCGTTAAAAATTTGTTAATGAACTAATCCCTCATAAGAACAATATAAGTACTCGATACATAATAACACTTTAAAACACATACCCATAATAGAGTATATAGTCTAAAACAAATTTAAACCACAAAATATTAAAATGACCGCAAATTTTAAACCACCAAGTATTAGATTCTGATGTGGCTTCCGTTAAACCACTAAATGCCCAAAAACTATTTGTTTACCAAGTAATAAAGTTAAAACCCAAAGCCCACATGCCCTTGCCTCCCGTAGCCCAAATATAAACCCACGTACACCCTGCCTCAGCCTACCCTTCTTTCTTTGGTCCGTCGTCGGGCTTCGGCCTCAAGAAATGAGTAGATGGACACTGGAGGCAATCGGAACAAGAGGGAGCGGCTGGAAAGCTTTGAGCTGACTGGCCGACTTTCTTCGGTTCGAACGGTTAATCGTTTGAACCGCTAATCTACCGTGCGGTTCAAACTGTTGTGGTTACTTAAACCGTGTTAGTTGGGCCTTGTTGGGACTCGTCTGATTTGTTTGGATTAGGGTTTTAACCCTAAGTTTATCTATATAAGTTTAGCTATCTACTTGTGTGATAGTAAGCCGTCAAGATGTAATCCTAATAAGAGATCAGTTGTGAGCTCTTATGAGCTCACCGTGGATTAGTCTCGATCAATCGATCGAGGATACCACGTAAAATCCTTTGTTTCGTGTGTTCGTTTCAATTCCGCATCATCAAATTCTACAGAGCAGGTGGCTAACGCTAAATGATAGACAGAGATGGACAGAGGATGCCAAGGATGGAGATCTATCTCAGAAGTTCGAGTCAAATTGGTGGAAGTTCTAAGGAACTCAATGGGAAGCGTTACTTCGATGTGAATTATAAATTTTGAGAGATATCTACATTGGTAGCTAAGAGTGATACTATGTATGACCATGCATGTGGAGTGTTTTCAACATACGTTACCCTCCCCCGTGGCCGCATCGACGTCATCAGTTCAATGTCAATTGTGCCGAGGTTGTCTCGCAAATCCGCCAACATGAGTCCCGAGTCGTCGCCGGGAGAATGTGCTCCGTCAATCAGTCGCGGTCGTACGTCTTAGGCTTGTGGCGGTGTCACGGCCATCTCCCGAGGTCATCGTCTCTTCTCTAAAGTTGGATTTAGCCAGTAATAGTCACGAAAGGTCAGCCGCCATCGCTCCGTCGTCCAAGTAATTGGCGCCAGAAAGCACCGTCCTCAAGAGGCTCACATCCTGCGTCGAGCGCGTCGCTATCCCCAGGGTTCAGCATCGTCGGCAGGTCGTCAGTTTTGTAGTCTTTGTCAAGCTCATGTTCGTCTCCAGTTCACACGACCAGATAAATTCTTGTCAGTCTTGGACTCCGATTCCGGTGCTCTCGTCGTTGTGGCCGGGTCTTCTCTTCTCCATATTGGGAGAATGGTTGGTGGGCGTTCGTCCGGTCCAAGGAATTAGATGGTTATCACCAGGTCAATTAAAGTTTGGAGATCGATTTGTGGGCGTTTGCCTTGTGTTCATGGTGGAAATTGGTCAACATATGTGACGCGACCGCGAGTCCGCCAACATCCAGCGAAGATGGCGTCATCATCTAATCTTTCGCACTCATAGGCGAAATCCAGTCCGCCGTCAGATCCAGTCGATGCGTCGTCATCATCTCCGCCATTCATTCTTCCTTGTCGTTCTCTTCCTTACGGTGTCCTGTGCTGCTGCATCTTTCATTGCCGCGCCACCGTGGAAGGAAGAAGAAGAAAAGGGAAGGGGAACAACAGATTGCACTTGAGAAAGGAAGGAGGAATGGCAAATGAGGTTGTTCCCAACCCTACGGGCCATACCTTCTCCCCTCCCACGAATGCGCCGCCCAAAATCCAAAATTGGGCATGTTGACATTTTCTCTCCAAGTGTTGCCAAAATAGCTCTTATGGGCTTTCACATTTGATATGGTAAGGGTTATGGGCTCTTCTATCATATTTTGGGCTAGCAATTTCATTTTGCAGGCTTTTTTCATCAAATATAGTCAAGTATGGATTGAGGCATTCACGTTCCATAAAATGGTCGTCCCCCTGGCGTTCAAAAGGTAGTACGATCAGAGAAGTCATCGTCCCTTCATCGTCCAGTTCGCATTCACGATCTAAGAAATGGTCGTCCCCTCTTCCGGTTCATTAGTGGGCACATATCAACCATTCATCGCTTTTCAAGCTGGGCATTCACGATGTTCATGCTCAAGCTTGAGGGGGAGAATAGGAGGTCAACATACGTCGGTCAACTAACTCAGTCATCAGGTCGACCACGATGTACCAAGTGTGTTCAAGTTCAAGAGACGCAGTCAATCGTCTCCATCATCAGGTTGTTCAGAGAGAGTCAGTCGTCTCCAATCAACCTCGTCCGAGATGTTATTCATCTCGAGTTTTGTGGTTCAAGCCATCATGCTTGTTCTTCACATTTACTTCTTCAAGCTCAACATTCTTGTCATTCATGTCTTCGCATGAGGGGGAGTGTTGCGGTTACTTAAACCGTGTTAGTATTGGGCCTTGTTGGGCCTCGTCTGATTTGTTTGGATTAGGGTTTTAACCCTAAGTTTATCTATATAAGTTTAGCTATCTACTTGTGTGATAGTAGGCCGTCAAGATGTAATCCTAATAAGAGATCAGTTGTGAGCTCTTATGAGCTCACCGTGGATTAGTCTCGATCAATCGATCGAGGATACCACGTAAAATCCTTTGTTTCGTGTGTTCGTTTCAATTCCGCATCATCAAATTCTACAAAGCAGGTGGCTAACGCTAAATGATAGACAGAGATGGACAGAGGATGCCAAGGATGGAGATCTATCTCAGAAGTTCGAGTCAAATTGGTGGAAGTTCTAAGGAACTCAATGGGAAGCGTTACTTCGATGTGAATTATAAATTTTGAGAGATATCTACATTGGTAGCTAAGAGTGATACTATGTATGACCATGCATGTGGAGTGTTTTCAAAACTACTCAGGACTTGCAGGATATGAAACAATCTTCACACGGTGCAACCAATAACGATGTATCATACTCAGGTCATCAACATAACTATCCCATTGTAGCTGGGCTTAAGACAAACCCAACAGTTGGGCGGTAAAATAGGAGATTGAAAGGTCCATTAGAGTGACGCAAAAGTCACAAAGTTCAATCAAAATCACATGCTCTCTTTCTCTCCCCCACTTTTTGTTTATTTAACATTTAATTATTATGATATTTAATTATTTGTATCTATATCTTCATTGATATATCATATGCAACGTAACAAGGTGAAAACTAGTTGTCCTCAACCGGTTGGAGGTGATACTGGGTCTCAAGTTCAAATAAACAAGGTTCGTGTTTAGTCTCGGTCTATTTTGAATTAAAAGAAGACATGATACATTTTTTTCCGTTGAATCAGTTACTTTTCATTACCCAAAACCATTTGCAAAGTACAAATGGCGACCGATGCAACGAAGGAAAGCCTATACTGAGCAGCCTTGTAAAAGAAATATCAACATTCTACAATCAAACAAAAAAGCAACCCACATTAACCTCTACACCTGATCAAGGCCTACAACTCTCAAACCCTCCTCTAGACACTCATTGTTCCTACTCACAAAATTCAAATCAAGAATAGTTTCCCTAACAAGTTCCTCCGCAATCCTGACTGATGTACCATGAACGCAACGAGAACGTTCTTTCCATAACCCTGCACAATAAATGCACCAAATAAGACCATCAACCCTATCTGCTATCGGTCGCCTGCAACTATGAATACCCGGTGCAACTATGGCTACCCAAGAGTCTTGACAGAGAGAACCAAAATGCAAATCTGCTAACATTCGACGAGCATAGACACATCGAAAGAACATATGATCACGAGGCTCCATTTCTGCATTACAGAGCACACACAAACCATTGACCACTTTCCCCCATTTCAACAACTTATCCTTGGTCACAATACCATCCACCATAGTCATCAAAGCCAAAAAAAATATTCCGGATAATCTTATACTTACTCCAAATGAGACTCCCCCACTCTACCACAATATACTTTATACGCAAGGTCTCCCATACATCAGAAACCTTACAAACTGGCATAAGATAGTTAGCCCAGAAAACCTGACCATTTTGTACCTGCACATTAGGCTGAACCTCCAAAGGTAGCTTAAGAATACGTCGCCAGACCTAGGAACTGCTTGGACTAACCTTGAGAGTCCAAATGCTACTTGTTTTCACCTTATATTGCTGAAACGAAGCAACCCAGATAGCCCCACTCTTCATCAGAAACAACCATACTAGTCGGACTGTGCAAGCTTTATTCCAGGCAGCAAGCTCTCGCAATCCCACTGACGACTCTCTTTTCGTGGTCTAGCCATACGACCCCAACTAACTTTTGCCCGTCCTTCTTCGCCACCATGCTAGAGAAATTGAAAGCAGACCAGCTGAACCTGCTTGAGAACTCATTTATAAATGGTAGTAGTGGGCTTCTCACTCTCTCTCTTATCATTTTCTGCTCTCCTCCCCAACTCCAGGATACCCGCCTTCTCTGATAAAGAATAATCAGATCTACCGCCGACCTCTCTATCTCTCACTCTCTAGACGATGGGGGCTAGAAGCTCCATAACCTCTCCAGTCCCTCCATTTTTTTGTCTATTTCTTTGGAGTGGTTGCATGCAGGTTTATAATTTCATGTTACAAAATCAGGGTACATAGATTGGTAATAATCGTAATTTTTTTTGTTTCTACTTGAAATATTCTTTGATCTCTCCCTCTATATTGACTATCTTCCTCCTATTGTTCCTATTAATTGCTTCCTCAGACAGTCAGACATTTACTTCCTGCCACAATGTCCAATTCTTCATTGTGTATAGATATTTTTATAGAAAATTAACTCAAATAAAACCCAGCAAATCATAGACAATGGATTATCGTATAGAAGCAGGGGAATCAACAAAGAAGTGATTAGTTACAGTAAATTTGCAACTTGTGATTCGATTCCAACACTCTAATCCAATATCAAACCGATATAATAAGCCGATTAAAAGAATGTATCTAAGCTTCAATATTGTGCCTGGAAAGTTGTGGGATAGTGAAATTGACAGAAAAGTATGTGCTAGTTTTGATCTTATTGGCCATTTGAATATTGCTTAAATTGAAGAAATATCCAAGGAAACATATCAAAATATTGTCGGGATAATAGGTTTAAGGCCCAACCAAATAAATTTTTTATTGAACAATAAACATTATTTACCTTTCTTCAATTGGAGAAATATCCAAACAAACTGATTACGAAATAGTAGGGGATAATGGGCTTTAGCCCTATCAAATAAAATCTTTAGTGATCAGTAAACATGATTCACGTTTATACTAATTAATATATATTTTTTCAAGTTATGATATACAATATTGGATAGGTAAATTATATAATTGGATGCCTACAATGTTTTTGGACCACGTGAGTAAGAGAGAAGAAAAGCTCAAACGTGAAGAAAGAGCCAGAGAATCCTCTAGCTGACTTATTGAAAGATTTCACCGTTTACATGTCTTCAGTTAATTAATAACGCTTAAAAAAATAAAAGAAAACTATTAATTCCCACCAATGAACTGGCCACACGCAGAGGGGTTGCAGAATTAGCCTTCATACTGGTCTGATTGTAGAGGTCTAGCAGAGATGAAGTATTTATCTCTTGATCAATTGATAGTAGAAAATGTGGCATCGTCTTTAACACATAAATTTTATAATTAAAAATAATAAAAACGGTTAATATATTTGCCCTTGCCCACTCCTATATCAACTTCATTTTATAATTCTTGGGGCATGATTAATTTGGTGGTCCATCATATTAATTTTTTTAGTACATATAACTCTCAATATAATTTCACAATCCTTGATCCTTACACATACGCTCCGTAATTAGAACTATTTGATCCAATTTTGGTTAAAATCGTATAAGTAATAGTCCATTTTTATGTTTACATTTTCGTCGGAAATGAAAATCTAAATCGAGTTAATCCTCTACAATTTAACCGGATAAGATCTCTTTCCACCTCTAGCAGTTAGGTTGGTGGAGTGGAGCTAGAAATTGGAGTGCCCTTAGCAATTCCTTTGGTTTCCTTTATTGAATACAAATTTCAACTCTGTCATCTCCTCTCCCTTACTCTTTAGTTGCTTCAAGACCCCTTCAAACATGCATATAATGGAACCTACAAAGCTGAGATCAAAGATTCTTTTTCTACTCCATAGTTGGTACAAAGCCCCTTCAATGTCTCTCTTAGCTTTCTTTGCATGCCATTGCCAACAAACAATGGACCACCATCAATGCATCCCACCCTTCCAATAAGCCCTATCTTTGTACTTGTGAAAGTTGAGCTACCATAAAGAATCAAGGTTTGGTCTAGTGATAACACCACTAGTTTCGAACTTGAAAGTTTTAGATTCGAATCTACTAAATTGTACTTACACAAAAAAAAAACAAACTAATACCATCCTTATCAATATAAAAACAAATTGTCTAGCATAGAAAGAAAGACGGGTTTGGAATATTGCAATATTTTGGCAAAGGCATCAGAGCACGACATGAAAGGTTGAAAGCGAACATTTTCCATCAAATAAATCGGTGTTTGTGAAACTACAACGAATTTATCCCAAAAAATTTCCTTTCAAAGTCTAAATTAATCCACAGTTGTTAACGACATAAAAAGGTTAAACTACGGCTTAAAGACAAAATGCATGGATGTTGATTTTTTTTTTTTTTTGGTACAATGTACTCTCGATACGGTTTCAATCCTTACACGTACGAACCTTACCGCCCCCATCCAATCTCCTCCCGACGCTTGTAATAAGTTTTGAAAGTACACATTTCAAAACCTAATCAAAGAATCAAATCTTTGACATCACTAGCTAGCTATCTGTCAGCCGCGTGATCAATTATATAGGCGAGAATAGAACTGTTGCATCAAAATAATATGATGGACCACCAAATTAATCATGCCCCCAAGAATTGTGAAATTAAGTTGATATAGGAGTGGGCAACGGCAAATATATTAACCTCTACACCTGATCAAGGCCTACAACTCTCAAACCCTCCTCTAGACACTCATTGTTCCTACTCACAAAATTCAAATCAAGAATAGTTTCCCTAACAAGTTCCTCCGCAATCCTGACTGATGTACCATGAACGCAACGAGAACGTTCTTTCCATAACCCTACACAATAAATGCACCAAATAAGACCATCAACCCTATCTGCTATCGGTCGCCTGCAACTATGAATACCCGGTGCAACTATGGCTACCCAAGAGTCTCGACAGAGAGAACCAAAATGCAAATCTGCTAACATTCGACGAGCATAGACACATCGAAAGAACATATGATCACGAGGCTCCATTTCTGCATTACAGAGCACACACAAACCATTGACCACTTTCCCCCATTTCAACAACTTATCCTTGGTCACAATACCATCCACCATAGTCATCAAAGCCAAAAAAAATATTCCGGATAATCTTATACTTACTCCAAATGAGACTCCCCCACTCTACCACAATATACTTTATACGCAAGGTCTCCCATACATCAGAAACCTTACAAACTGGCATAAGATAGTTAGCCCAGAAAACCTGACCATTTCGTACCTGCACATTAGGCTGAACCTCCAAAGGTAGCTTAAGAATACGTCGCCAGACCTAGGAACTGCTTGGACTAACCTTGAGAGTCCAAATGCTACTTGTTTTCACCTTATATTGCTGAAACGAAGCAACCCAGATAGCCCCACTCTTCATCAGAAACAACCATACTAGTCGGACTGTGCAAGCTTTATTCCAGGCAGCAAGCTCTCGCAATCCCACTGACGACTCTCTTTTCGTGGTCTAGCCATACGACCCCAACTAACTTTTGCCCGTCCTTCTTCGCCACCATGCTAGAGAAATTGAAAGCAGACCAGCTGAACCTGCTTGAGAACTCATTTATAAATGGTAGTAGTGGGCTTCTCACTCTCTCTCTTATCATTTTCTGCTCTCCTCCCCAACTCCAGGATACCCGCCTTCTCTGATAAAGAATAATCAGATCTACCGCCGACCTCTCTATCTCTCACTCTCTAGACGATGGGGGCTAGAAGCTCCATAACCTCTCCAGTCCCTCCATTTTTTTGTCTATTTCTTTGGAGTGGTTGCATGCAGGTTTATAATTTCATGTTACAAAATCAGGGTACATAGATTGGTAATAATCGTAAATTTTTTTGTTTCTACTTGAAATATTCTTTGATCTCTCCCTCTATATTGACTATCTTCCTCCTATTGTTCCTATTAATTGCTTCCTCAGACAGTCAGACATTTACTTCCTGCCACAATGTCCAATTCTTCATTGTGTATAGATATTTTTATAGAAAATTAACTCAAATAAAACCCAGCAAATCATAGACAATGGATTATCGTATAGAAGCAGGGGAATCAACAAAGAAGTGATTAGTTACAGTAAATTTGCAACTTGTGATTCGATTCCAACACTCTAATCCAATATCAAACCGATATAATAAGCCGATTAAAAGAATGTATCTAAGCTTCAATATTGTGCCTGGAAAGTTGTGGGATAGTGAAATTGACAGAAAAGTATGTGCTAGTTTTGATCTTATTGGCCATTTGAATATTGCTTAAATTGAAGAAATATCCAAGGAAACATATCAAAATATTGTCGGGATAATAGGTTTAAGGCCCAACCAAATAAATTTTTTATTGAACAATAAACATTATTTACCTTTCTTCAATTGGAGAAATATCCAAACAAACTGATTACGAAATAGTAGGGGATAATGGGCTTTAGCCCTATCAAATAAAATCTTTAGTGATCAGTAAACATGATTCACGTTTATACTAATTAATATATATTTTTTCAAGTTATGATATACAATATTGGATAGGTAAATTATATAATTGGATGCCTACAATGTTTTTGGACCACGTGAGTAAGAGAGAAGAAAAGCTCAAACGTGAAGAAAGAGCCAGAGAATCCTCTAGCTGACTTATTGAAAGATTTCACCGTTTACATGTCTTCAGTTAATTAATAACGCTTAAAAAAATAAAAGAAAACTATTAATTCCCACCAATGAACTGGCCACACGCAGAGGGGTTGCAGAATTAGCCTTCATACTGGTCTGATTGTAGAGGTCTAGCAGAGATGAAGTATTTATCTCTTGATCAATTGATAGTAGAAAATGTGGCATCGTCTTTAACACATAAATTTTATAATTAAAAATACTAAAAACGGTTAATATATTTGCCGTTGCCCACTCCTATATCAACTTCATTTTATAATTCTTGGGGCATGATTAATTTGGTGGTCCATCATATTAATTTTTTTAGTACATATAACTCTCAATATAATTTCACAATCCTTGATCCTTACACATACGCTCCGTAATTAGAACTATTTGATCCAATTTTGGTTAAAATCGTATAAGTAATAGTCCATTTTTATGTTTACATTTTCGTCGGAAATGAAAATCTAAATCGAGTTAATCCTCTACAATTTAACCGGATAAGATCTCTTTCCACCTCTAGCAGTTAGGTTGGTGGAGTGGAGCTAGAAATTGGAGTGCCCTTAGCAATTCCTTTGGTTTCCTTTATTGAATACAAATTTCAACTCTGTCATCTCCTCTCCCTTACTCTTTAGTTGCTTCAAGACCCCTTCAAACATGCATATAATGGAACCTACAAAGCTGAGATCAAAGATTCTTTTTCTACTCCATAGTTGGTACAAAGCCCCTTCAATGTCTCTCTTAGCTTTCTTTGCATGCCATTGCAAACAAACAATGGACCACCATCAATGCATCCCACCCTTCCAATAAGCCCTATCTTTGTACTTGTGAAAGTTGAGCTACCATAAAGAATCAAGGTTTGGTCTAGTGATAACACCACTAGTTTCGAACTTGAAAGTTTTAGATTCGAATCTACTAAATTGTACTTACACAAAAAAAAAAACAAACTAATACCATCCTTATCAATATAAAAACAAATTGTCTAGCATAGAAAGAAAGACGGGTTTGGAATATTGCAATATTTTGGCAAAGGCATCAGAGCACGACATGAAAGGTTGAAAGCGAACATTTTCCATCAAATAAATCGGTGTTTGTGAAACTACAACGAATTTATCCCAAAAAATTTCCTTTCAAAGTCTAAATTAATCCACAGTTGTTAACGACATAAAAAGGTTAAACTACGGCTTAAAGACAAAATGCATGGATGTTGATTTTTTTTTTTTTTTGGTACAATGTACTCTCGATACGGTTTCAATCCTTACACGTACGAACCTTACCGCCCCCATCCAATCTCCTCCCGACGCTTGTAATAAGTTTTGAAAGTACACATTTCAAAACCTAATCAAAGAATCAAATCTTTGACATCACTAGCTAGCTATCTGTCAGCCGCGTGATCAATTATATAGGCGAGAATAGAACTGTTGCATCAAAATAATATGATGGACCACCAAATTAATCATGCCCCCAAGAATTGTGAAATTAAGTTGATATAGGAGTGGGCAACGGCAAATATATTAACCTCTACACCTGATCAAGGCCTACAACTCTCAAACCCTCCTCTAGACACTCATTGTTCCTACTCACAAAATTCAAATCAAGAATAGTTTCCCTAACAAGTTCCTCCGCAATCCTGACTGATGTACCATGAACGCAACGAGAACGTTCTTTCCATAACCCTACACAATAAATGCACCAAATAAGACCATCAACCCTATCTGCTATCGGTCGCCTGCAACTATGAATACCCGGTGCAACTATGGCTACCCAAGAGTCTCGACAGAGAGAACCAAAATGCAAATCTGCTAACATTCGACGAGCATAGACACATCGAAAGAACATATGATCACGAGGCTCCATTTCTGCATTACAGAGCACACACAAACCATTGACCACTTTCCCCCATTTCAACAACTTATCCTTGGTCACAATACCATCCACCATAGTCATCAAAGCCAAAAAAAATATTCCGGATAATCTTATACTTACTCCAAATGAGACTCCCCCACTCTACCACAATATACTTTATACGCAAGGTCTCCCATACATCAGAAACCTTACAAACTGGCATAAGATAGTTAGCCCAGAAAACCTGACCATTTCGTACCTGCACATTAGGCTGAACCTCCAAAGGTAGCTTAAGAATACGTCGCCAGACCTAGGAACTGCTTGGACTAACCTTGAGAGTCCAAATGCTACTTGTTTTCACCTTATATTGCTGAAACGAAGCAACCCAGATAGCCCCACTCTTCATCAGAAACAACCATACTAGTCGGACTGTGCAAGCTTTATTCCAGGCAGCAAGCTCTCGCAATCCCACTGACGACTCTCTTTTCGTGGTCTAGCCATACGACCCCAACTAACTTTTGCCCGTCCTTCTTCGCCACCATGCTAGAGAAATTGAAAGCAGACCAGCTGAACCTGCTTGAGAACTCATTTATAAATGGTAGTAGTGGGCTTCTCACTCTCTCTCTTATCATTTTCTGCTCTCCTCCCCAACTCCAGGATACCCGCCTTCTCTGATAAAGAATAATCAGATCTACCGCCGACCTCTCTATCTCTCACTCTCTAGACGATGGGGGCTAGAAGCTCCATAACCTCTCCAGTCCCTCCATTTTTTTGTCTATTTCTTTGGAGTGGTTGCATGCAGGTTTATAATTTCATGTTACAAAATCAGGGTACATAGATTGGTAATAATCGTAAATTTTTTTGTTTCTACTTGAAATATTCTTTGATCTCTCCCTCTATATTGACTATCTTCCTCCTATTGTTCCTATTAATTGCTTCCTCAGACAGTCAGACATTTACTTCCTGCCACAATGTCCAATTCTTCATTGTGTATAGATATTTTTATAGAAAATTAACTCAAATAAAACCCAGCAAATCATAGACAATGGATTATCGTATAGAAGCAGGGGAATCAACAAAGAAGTGATTAGTTACAGTAAATTTGCAACTTGTGATTCGATTCCAACACTCTAATCCAATATCAAACCGATATAATAAGCCGATTAAAAGAATGTATCTAAGCTTCAATATTGTGCCTGGAAAGTTGTGGGATAGTGAAATTGACAGAAAAGTATGTGCTAGTTTTGATCTTATTGGCCATTTGAATATTGCTTAAATTGAAGAAATATCCAAGGAAACATATCAAAATATTGTCGGGATAATAGGTTTAAGCCCCAACCAAATAAATTTTTTATTGAACAATAAACATTATTTACCTTTCTTCAATTGGAGAAATATCCAAACAAACTGATTACGAAATAGTAGGGGATAATGGGCTTTAGCCCTATCAAATAAAATCTTTAGTGATCAGTAAACATGATTCACGTTTATACTAATTAATATATATTTTTTCAAGTTATGATATACAATATTGGATAGGTAAATTATATAATTGGATGCCTACAATGTTTTTGGACCACGTGAGTAAGAGAGAAGAAAAGCTCAAACGTGAAGAAAGAGCCAGAGAATCCTCTAGCTGACTTATTGAAAGATTTCACCGTTTACATGTCTTCAGTTAATTAATAACGCTTAAAAAAATAAAAGAAAACTATTAATTCCCACCAATGAACTGGCCACACGCAGAGGGGTTGCAGAATTAGCCTTCATACTGGTCTGATTGTAGAGGTCTAGCAGAGATGAAGTATTTATCTCTTGATCAATTGATAGTAGAAAATGTGGCATCGTCTTTAACACATAAATTTTATAATTAAAAATACTAAAAACGGTTAATATATTTGCCGTTGCCCACTCCTATATCAACTTCATTTTATAATTCTTGGGGCATGATTAATTTGGTGGTCCATCATATTAATTTTTTTAGTACATATAACTCTCAATATAATTTCACAATCCTTGATCCTTACACATACGCTCCGTAATTAGAACTATTTGATCCAATTTTGGTTAAAATCGTATAAGTAATAGTCCATTTTTATGTTTACATTTTCGTCGGAAATGAAAATCTAAATCGAGTTAATCCTCTACAATTTAACCGGATAAGATCTCTTTCCACCTCTAGCAGTTAGGTTGGTGGAGTGGAGCTAGAAATTGGAGTGCCCTTAGCAATTCCTTTGGTTTCCTTTATTGAATACAAATTTCAACTCTGTCATCTCCTCTCCCTTACTCTTTAGTTGCTTCAAGACCCCTTCAAACATGCATATAATGGAACCTACAAAGCTGAGATCAAAGATTCTTTTTCTACTCCATAGTTGGTACAAAGCCCCTTCAATGTCTCTCTTAGCTTTCTTTGCATGCCATTGCCAACAAACAATGGACCACCATCAATGCATCCCACCCTTCCAATAAGCCCTATCTTTGTACTTGTGAAAGTTGAGCTACCATAAAGAATCAAGGTTTGGTCTAGTGATAACACCACTAGTTTCGAACTTGAAAGTTTTAGATTCGAATCTATTAAATTGTACTTACACAAAAAAAAAAACAAACTAATACCATCCTTATCGATATAAAACAAATTGTCTAGCATAGAAAGAAAGACGGGTTTGGAATATTGCAATATTTTGGCAAAGGCATCAGAGCACGACATGAAAAGGTTGAAAGCGAACATTTTCCATCAAATAAATCGGTGTTTGTGAAACTACAACGAATTTATCCCAAAAAATTTCCTTTCAAAGTCTAAATTAATCCACAGTTGTTAACGACATAAAAAGGTTAAACTACGGCTTAAAGACAAAATGCATGGATGTTGATTTTTTTTTTTTTTGGTACAATGTACTCTCGATACGGTTTCAATCCTTACACGTACGAACCTTACCGCCCCCATCCAATCTCCTCCCGACGCTTGTAATAAGTTTTGAAAGTACATATTTCAAAACTTAATCAAAGAATCAAATCTTTGACATCACTAGCTAGCTATCTGTCAGCCGCGTGATCAATTATATAGGCGAGAATAGAACTGTTGCATCAAAATAATATGATGGACCACCAAATTAATCATGCCCCCAAGAATTGTGAAATTAAGTTGATATAGGAGTGGGCAACGGCAAATATATTAACCGTTTTTATTATTTTTAATTATAAACTTTATGTGTTATGGATGCCACATTTTCTACCACTTCAACAAAAGTTAACATTGCTTTAATCACCGTTTGGTCAACCGTTATCTCTAACGATCAATTAAAGCATCATGACATAAATAGCACAAATTATCATATAACGGGATAGGATTAGAACATTGAATAAAATAGTATACAATTAACATTTTTTTTTTATTTCAAACGT